TCTTTTTATTTATAAGTTTAATAAACTATACCTAAAGTAGAACTAGTACTTTATTAAGGCCTTAAAGAAGCCAAAGTACTATCTAAGGGTTTTTTATATAATCTTTAGAACTTATTCTTCCTTTTTTAATAGCCTTATAAATCAGAATTTACTAAGTTAGGATCTTTGAGAATAAAGTTACTCTTACTAAACTTCCCTATTTTTATTCTTTTTAATTTAGGATAAATAGTATATTCTGCTTTCTGAGCTTTCTTAAATTACTTAGAAATAGATATTATCTTATTTCCTAAGAGAATAGATATAAATATCTAATAAGTCTTATAATTAGATAAAATAGTATTAAGAATCCGGATCCGGTCTCTTTTAGGATATAAGTCCTAGTTAATTTCGAGACTAATTATCTAAATATATAACTCGGTAACTATCTTGCTATTCTTCTAATAAAGATCTCAGAGTTCCTTAAAAATATCTTATTAACAGATTTAAGATATTTGGAATATATTAGCCAAGTAAGCCTTAAATTACTTCTAATAAACCTTATATAATAATAGGCTTTACTTTATTATAGCTTTCCAAGTATTATAAGGTTCGTTTTTAAAGGTATTTATAGTAGAGTTAACTCTAGAAAAATATCTATTATAAGTTCAAGATTAGGTTCTAAAAACTACCTTCTAGAAAAATACAAATATTCTCTATTTCTTAAGGAACTTTCTATAATATAAGTCAGATATCCGGATCTTAAAAAGCTTTTCTCGGTTCAAATATATTTTTAAGATATTATATAATAGCTTCTAATAAATAGTATTAAGATTACTCTTAAAGCTTATTATATTAAGAAAGGAAATAGGTTCTAATCCTATTTTAGGAAGTTCCCTAATAGGAATTACTAAGGAAGATAAAATAGACTTATAAATAGAGTTTCTATAAGATATAGTAAACTATAAGATATCCCTAAGAATACTCTTATATTACTCTAATTATAGAATATATTAGTTAATTATATTTACTAATTCTTGCTTTTATTAGAATACTTTGATTTTAATATATAAGCCTTATTCTATAGCTTGAATAGTAGTAACTCGGATATTAATCTCGGTATCTTAATTATTACTGGAATTATTTACATTATTATTACTAGCTCTCAGAGGCTCTTAAAGGACCCTATTAAAAGTATTAGACAAGCCTTTATTATTACCCGTATTAGGGTTAATCTATTTAACTTCTTTTATAGAAATAGCTTTAGTAAGAAATTATATATTTTATAGATTTCGAGATATAATTACTTATTAAACTACCTTCTTTAAAGATATAAAGATTAGCTTATAAGGTATTTATTAGTAGGTAATAAGATAATAGAATAAATTAGTATATTATAAAACTATAGTATTAAATTTAGTATAGAACTAATCTCTATCTCTCCTATAAGATCCAGGGAAGCCCCCTTTAAATAAAAGGCCCTAATAGTATATATATAATTAGTAATTTATAAGTCTAATATATATAATATAAATAGTAATTAGTTGGGATATTGAAGAGCTACTAAACTCCCTAATTAATACCTATAATATCCGAGGTTTATTATATGTTTTTAAGTTATATATAACTCTATATATATTATAATTTCCGTTTTTAAATAATATTTATAAAATATCTAGTAAGTATCTATTCTAGAATATACTAAATCTTTATATTACTTCTTCTAATTTTGATTTATTAATTATCTAATTAGATAAATATAAGTTAATTAGTAAAGAAATATATATAATTAGATCTATAGACAAGAAATAACTATAGTAGCCCTTTAAAATATATTATATAGGCGAGAAATAAGAGTATATAGTAACGAGTTTATTAATAATATTATTAATAACCTTTATTTTCTTAGTATATTTATATTTTATTACTTAAATACTATATAACTAGTATATAAGTTTAATAAAGTTATCTAATAATAATTATATTATTATTAAGTACTTTTAGTTATAGATAGACTAGTTAAATAATAGTTAATAATAACTTAATTAAATGGTTTTAAATAGGTTTAGATAATAGAAAACGGGCTCGGGTTTACTAAGAGTTCCTAATTAAGTTATTAAATAAATAATAAAATAATTACTACTATTTATTATAATAAAACATTAATATATATAGAAGTTAATTAATTAATAGCCTTTATAGACAGGAACTAATTATAAAGATAGTTATATTAGCTAGCTATATTAAATAATATAATAATTTAGCCCTAATATATCTTTAGTATATATTAAAGCTATATAAATACTAGCTAATATATTATAAGTATATTATATATATTTAGTATAAATATAATATAAGCTATAACTTATAATAATACTATAATTTATATAACTATTAATTCCTATCTTATCTTTAGTTCTTTTTATAATAAGTATATACTTAGCTCTAGATATATTAATACTAAATATATATAAGATCTATTATTTATTCTAATCTTAGTTACTAGCTAGTATTATATACTAGTCTAGCTAGATTTTCTTATAAGTATATACTTAGCTAATATATTATATATACTAATTATATACTTATAGATTCTAATTATACTTAAGCTAAGAATAATAATAAGCTTATTTTTAGTATTTATTTTATATATACTAATAATATATAGCTATTACTAACTAATCTAGTAATAATACTCTTATTAAGCTATTTAAATTAAATACTAATATATATATAATATATACTATTTATATTTTTAGTATATACTAATAAAATATAGCTACTTTTTTAATCTTAGTAGTTCTTAGTATAAATAAGTTTTTAATAATTAATCTATAGTATATATCTTATATATATTATATATATGTTATATTTATATTTATAGCTCTAATATTACTTTTATAATATATATTCTAGTATAAATATATACCTAGTTTAGTATTTACTAGATATATACTAATAATATATAATTACTATTACTAATAGATATAATATTATATTATAAGAAATAATTACTAGCCAGAAATAAGTTTTAATTAAATATATTTTTATATATACCTAATTAATACTTATAGTATTATTAAGCTTTATATTTTAATTTAAGATTAATATAATAATATTTTTACTTTTAAGCCCGGATATATATTATTTATATTTCTTATTTATACCGGGCTAATACCTATAATTATAGTATTATTAATAGTTTATATAATTAATATACTTAAGATTATAAGGAAATTATATAAGTTAAATATATATTCTATATATATTCTACTAATATCTCTAGCTATAATAACTTTGTTTTCTTTACTTTCTTTAGTAATTATTTCTAATATCTAGTAAATATAATATCTCTTTTATATATATTATATATATATAGGTATTAATTTATTTAGTATTTCCTATTTCTTTTAAGTTCCGGAAAAAAGAAGATTTATAGTATATTAATTATATATACCAAATATATACTAATAATATACTAGTATAGCCCCAATTTTAATAATAATAAAGGAGATAATAATAATAAGAATTCTTAATTTTCTAGTAAGTTAAGTATTTCCTTAGTATATACTAAGCTTAGATTCTATAGTTTATTAATATAAGAAAGCCAAGAAATTATTAGGTTAAGGAACTCGTAAGTTAAGTATATTTCTGGTTTATATTTAGTATATATATTACTAATATAATTTAGGTTAGAGTAATTATTATAGTATCTTGGCTTAGCTATTTAGGACATATACTCGATATATGCCATATATTAAGTAGAACTAGTATAAAGAGAAGTAGTTTTTTTTTTCTTTAGTATAATATGGTATTATATATGGCATATGTGGAAATAGGATTTACTTTTCTATGAATTTTCTATAATTATAATTTTAGACTAATATAGACGGTATTCTGTAAACTTATACTAAGTATATATTATAACTATGCTTTAATCTTGTAATAATTATAAATTAGCCGAGCCGCTAGTAGGTATATGCAGAGCTCATGCCCAAAATATAGCTGGTATAAAGCCTATTTATTTGCTTGGCTAGCTGTCTCGCTTCCTTAAGCAATACTATGGTTCAGCTAAATAAACGAGCATATGCAGAGTTTAATAATATGGTTTAACTTAAGCAATACTATAGTTCAACTAAAACCCCTGGACGTCTAGTTCACTTACATCGAATACACCCACGGTCTTGGGTTTTGTTCAAGTGTGGGCAAATTGGCTTCAACCCGCGACGCTCATTTTCACACTGGATTTGTGTAAATTCGACGAAGGTTTCGCCTCCAACTATAACTAGCCATCGTGCTAACTCTGGGAGTTCTAAAGCTTATCTCTATTAATACCAGGACCTTAATAGGCTAGGGGCACGGCGTGCGAAATGCAGTCACTTGCCCGAGTAAGCTTGAACGCGCGTGCCTTGAGGATATACTTTTTAAGCGATTATGGGATATACCGAGCATATACTAAAGGCAATAGTAATAGTAAAGCAAAGTGTGTTCTAACTTCCTTATATGCTTCTTAGCAGTAAAGTTCAAGCATATGCTAGGAGTATGCCTGGCGGGCCGTTCGGATGGCGGAGGTCTGGGACGAGGTAGTCGAGAATGAGGACAGCTGTCTATATATCATTGAAGCTAGTATATGCAGTATAGTTTTTGGTGAGGAAAGTTGATCCCTACTATGGGGGAAAAAAGGGTACTTTCGCTAATTGATAATAGTGATCAGCTTAAGCGATAGTAGGGCTCAGCTACTGGCTCACTTGAACCCGAAGCCATGCCTTCAAAATTCGACAATAGACAATGCTCTCCGTCTATCTTCCAAAGTAGGCAGACAGACGCCGAGGGAGAAAATGGCATGAAGGAGAAGGCGGCGTACTAGAGATTGGTAACGATGATTTATGCAGAGCGAGAAATGCCACCGTTGAAGATGTGTGGACAATTCTGGTATTGATACACTCTCGGAAAGAGATTTAGTTGCTTGGTAAAAGTTTTGCTCGGGAACTCTGGTCGTTCCTGCAATTCTAGTAGCTTGCAGAGTAGGCACGACTTTCGACTCAGCTTGACCCTGAGTATCTATCTTACTGTTCGCATGCACTTGCCTGAAATACATTTGCTAGAACGGATTTACAGATCTTTGGGTCTTCTGAGATATTAGTGGCACAAAATAACAATGCATGGATATCCAATATCTCAAACCCTAATCTACTTTGCAAAGGAGAGGCTTGCTGTTCCAACCTGTCTATCCCCGATCCAACTAGAAAACACTAGAATGCCTTTGACTGCACCGAATTCAATCTTGATGACAAAGTCCATTCTATAGTACTTAAGACCGCCTGAAACAACAGAGGGGACGGTGTTCAAGTCAACAGACGAAAAATCGACCTTGACCTCGCCAACCTTCACAACACCTATAACACGGGTCAGTCAGTCCACTTACGGCCCTTTCAAAAAAAAAAAAAATTTAACTCACGATCATGACCAGTGGATAATGGAGCAATGTCGAGGTTGTAGGAAAACAATTCGAGAGACCTGGTGGTCTTATCGCCGTTTGTATGAGTGAAGTACACAGACTGAGATCGGACTGTCTTAGTCGTGACACTCTCTCCCTGCGATATCCAGATCAATGTTTGTTCGTGGAACTACGTGATGGCCGTTGATCTTACCTTCGCAATTTTCCAATTCATCTCAGCAATATTTCTCTTATCCAAGCCTTCCGTGAAGGGATCATTGTAAGCCTTACTCGCATCATCAACCCCGGCAACGAAAGGTCTTCCGACTTCGTAGCCGTAATGCCGGCGCTGCTTCTTCAGGCTGGGTGCCGTTCCTGCGAGACCTCGGAGCGCAGCACCTCTTGCAATAGCAGCTTGTCTAACAAGACTATTAGAAGGAGGAGACAAGTCTTGCAGAAAATACTCACGGCGCCGGAGGACAGATCAGCTTAATATTCCCGTTATCTTTGCACCACGCATCAAGCTTTTCGAAGAGATATGGCGAGTCACCGAATCCGCCGACTAGAATGATACGCTATTTGTTATTAGTCAAGATTGTTAGTGAAGCCATCTTCTATCTATTGGTATACAAACCTCAACGCTGTGGTTCATGCCCTTTGCATCTAGTACCTGGGCTTCTACCAGACCTATGACCTGTTTAATGACTGGGTCAAACAGAGATGTCATATCGGCCCTGCTGATGTCAGCGAAATTGAGTAATGGAGCTACGAGCTAGAGATCTACCAAGACAGCTTCACCGTTCCATCATCGTCGTCATAATATGCTGGATTTTTGGAGGTCAATTTTAGTGGCCCAATGCCTTTCTCTTTGTCGAAACCCTTGGGGAAGTCTCTTTTCACTCGCTCAAATGACTGCATGAACTTGCTACCCGGGCCGGTCTTCTTTGCGTCTAATTTTGTGAACGAGTCCCCGAAACGTTGAGTCATCAGCGTATGCAGATTCCGATCAATGTAAGTGGCGCCGCATTTTCCACCTGATGCCATCAGTGCATATACAATAACATTGGGTTTATTTACCTTCTCCTACGACGAGCTCCTCGAATTCTAGCACAGGATATGTGGCTGTGATAGAGTACGTTGTCAAATCTACTGTCCCACCGCCACAATCACAGATCATGATGTTATCGCCAGTCTCATATGTCAGTAAAGGTGATTCTGGGCGGGGAGATTGCAACTAACCTTGAGTGAATCTTGTGTGCCGGGAACTGTGAGTTTCTTGAGCGCACAAATAGCAGCGGCTTCTGGCTCAGGAATGACATTGATGGAATCCATTGTTCTGGATGCAAATCCGGCTCCAATAGCAGCCTGTCTCGTCGCATCCTGTGCTTCATCAAGCCAAGTAGCAGGGACCGTGATCCAGCACTCCATAGGCGTGAGTTTCATAAAATCCTCACCCTTTTCCTTGTCAAGACGAGCGAAGACATACTTCCGTACTTCTCGAAGGTAATCTTCGCACACGTCTTGAGCAGACTTGCCCCTTGGAAGTTCCAGCATTCCCTTTCTAGCAATTTTGGCTAGAGTTGGGTCATCATACTTTCCTTTAGGAGCATTCTTGTCTAGTAGCAGCTTTGTCCAAGAGTACGAGACCATTCCTGGTTCGACGGTGAAGCCCCATTTGATACCTTGAAATCCATTCTCTGTGCCATACGCAATGACAGTCGGAGTTTTCCATTCAAAATCTCTGTCTCTGCCTTCGCCTGGCCATGTCTGAACCGTGGAGATGTCATTCAGGTCAGATTCATTCGAAAACACATAACTGATACCTATAGAGCAGTTAAATCATACTCCAATTCGTATACTTTGCATACCTGTATATGTAGTTCCATAATCGATAGATAAAATACACTTGATTCTGTTCGAGGCCGATACTACTGTACGACGGGTTCCTGACGCGCTGAGATCGGGAGACATCTTTGGGGTGGGTTGCAAGTGGACCGCGCTCCAAAATGTTCAAATCAGACAGAGAGTGACAGGACTGCGCTACTCCAATTTCGCAAGGGCGTAGTTGGGGGGATTCTATCCAGCTACATATTGGCGAACTGAATGCTCTTTACAAGAATCAGGCTCCAGTATAGAGCCCATGTTTGCTTGTAGCACTAAGCGCTGGGTGGCGTCGGGAAAGCACTGAAACCAACTTGTTGGCGCCGGAAGCATTTGCAAAATCAGGCTAGATTCCGACCAGATAACGAGCGGCGCAGCAGATCTGTTTCAAGTCAGCCTCACAAAAGCAACAGGTTAGAGACTAGTTTTATTGAATTTTCAGCCGTAAGGCCGATTAGTGATTGCCAGGCAGATTCCAACGCGCACCTGCTCAGGAGAAGAGGAGAGATTGGCTCGATCTCCACGCATGAGTTACTCGGTGACTCCTTTAAAACAGCCTACAGCCCCTTTGGCTGGCGCTAAGAGCCTTTCGATAGATAAGCATGTTTAGCAGATGAAACAGCTCTAGGCCAGCCACTACGACCCGTAGATGACAGCCTTATGGGCGAAATGAACCAGCGGAGAATTCGTTTCTTCGATTATTATACTGAGCATTCCTGAAGCAATAGAGGCCTTCCGCACGCAGTCAAGTACTATCATGTCTAGCCATTCTAGCTCTCGAAGAGAAAACAATCGCGAGAGATCCGACTCAAGGCATCATTCTAATAATAATAGAGTAAGTGATCTTACATTACTAGCCTATAGACTCTTTATCCACATTTGGACACCTTTTGATGATTCTGTATAGCCTTTGAGGAATAACTCAACGAGATCGACTAGGTCGGTAGCCGAGCAAGCAGCTAGAGAAGCAACCCACGTAAGAGACCAAACAGTGTAGAATTGCTCGCAAGCTGACTGTCAAGTCTCATCAAGGTCAAACGGCGATTCAGGTGACGAGATACGTATATACAACAGCGGGAGATTACGGAATTAGAAACATGGAACCTGCGGATCGAGTTCATTCTGAAGGTGATTACGCCTGTGACCAGAGAGATACAGTTCCCATGGACTGTGATGAAGAACATCATGAAGTAAAGCAATCTTCAGAAGTATGCCAGATTTCCTGCTTTAAAATCTTCGTGTACTCAGACTGATCTATAAAAGCGGGCGACGGACCGGGACATGCATTTCCCACAAGTTCCTGTCACTGAGCCAGGATCTCTACAAACGATGCCCGGCGCTTTCGGTGCAGAACCTACGCAGTCCCAGAGCCCAGAAACAACCCAAGAGCAAATCTCAGCTCAAAAATCTGGCCAGGAGTACAATGACACCGACTCTAGAGGCGACTCTAGACCTGGTGGAAGTAGAAAAGATGCAGCCAAGAAACGTATCGAGAACTCACACGGACACGCCCCAGGTGGAGAGGATAAGCGTGGGTACGGCCATACCATCCTTAAGCTCGTTGGCGTTTCTACCTCATCCTCCGAGGAAAGGCGACTGATGCGCCTTAACACCGAGCTCAGAAAAATAGAAAAGAAGAATGACGATCTTCATACGAAAAATGAGCAGCTTTCCGGCAGAATTCAGGAGCTTGAACAGCTCGCTGACAACCGCATGACGATAATCAATCGACAAAAACAAGAAATCAAAGTCAGGGATGACCGACTAGCGCAATTCGCAGATGAACAACAAGGATTAGAGGATCAAATTCGCACCGCCCAACTAGCAATGAGCAAGAGATCTGCCAGACCCAAAGTCGATCTAGTTGACGATGAGAGGACAATCAAGGGAAACTTTATGAATCTCCACGATGAAGTCAGGAAATGGAGCAAGGCTTGGGGTTCAGCAGATTTCTCTATTGTCGACAATTTAAGCGGCGAGGACAAAGGAAAGTTTTTAGAGCAGCTTGGTAAAGTCGTGGCACTTGAGGGTGGACAGGTTCCGCATTCTCTGAGAGCTTCAGATATGACTACGAGATCATCTGTACTTTGCGTATCAGCCATGCTTGGGCGATATCTTTGTGCTCATGTATTTGAAGATCCGTTCCGGCCTATCAGACCGCTAGTCGCCCGCACTATCACCATGCTACCGGCCGCGGATCAAGATGAGACAATCCAGCAGGAAAGCTCAAAACAAAAGAGCTTAGTGATGTATGAGGATGACACTCTGAGTAAAGTGTACCACAAGCTATCTTGCCGTAAGATATTCTTTGTTAGCACCGTATTATGCTAATTCAAGATATAGTAAATCAAGCAAGAGCACAAGTTTGGAGGAGCGACATACTATCCATACTCGACCCAAAACCAAGTGATGGAGCACCTGAGGAGGTATACCGGGCACAAGAAGACGCAGAAAACCGACGCAGACAAACTGCTGCAGAATTAACTGCAGATTTCTTGGATTCTCGAGTCGCCGTCCTACTCCCGCCGGTTGAGCCTGAAGATGTTGCTAAAAGACACGAGCAGCTGCAGTCAATTTTTCAGACAGCACTGGACATTTCTGGGAGACTGTGGAAACAATTAACGATTGTGAAATGTAGTTATCTCGAGGATCTCAACCATGAATCGTTTACCTACGAATCGGACTATATGGACGCACATGCCTTTCATAAATTAGGGTTAGATGACGAAAGCGAAAATCGTCTTGACCACCACAAAATTCGTATCGTTTGTTTCCCTACTATCAAGGGGTATGGAAGCAGTACTGGAGAAAACTATCATCAAGATCGTGTCTGGGGGAAGGCTATTGTATGGTTGGACGAATGAGCTTCCGGGTTCAGCTATTTCAAACATCTTGTGGCTCAAGCTTGACATAGGATGATGCATTGACCAAGAAAACGGCTATCCCTCTTCGACCCTTGGGTTTTTAACTCCTCAATTGACATGAATGATTCATTAAACATGTACTTTGGTCTAATGCGTGATTCATCTCAAAAACGAAAGGGCTCACAGTCGTTTTTATAATATATACGATTTTTTTTTAGATTGAATTCCGTCTTTTTTTTAAAAAAAAATAAAAAAAACAGCCCCGGCTTAATAAATGTCGGTTCACCCGATGAACGCGTAGCACGGCGCGTAAAGACGTGATATGCAGTTGCGTTCGTAGTTGATGATTCTTGATTCGAGGATTGAACTCGGCAGCGAGCTTACAGTATATCCCCAATGGTTGCACCACGTCCTGTTTACCCTTTCCAATCACAATATATAGGCGAAAAAGCCACGTGACAGGATCAATAACACAACTTTTGTTGCGGTTTGTTGTCATAAGTATAGGAATTTGTGGGGCCGACTGTACCCCGGCGACTTCACGTCTTTTTTAGGGGTTCCGATGCCGACGAATGTATCTTGTCCCTCTCTCTAGGAGGATCCTCTGAAGAATGAGTTGTGGGCATTTTGAGCTGTTAGTTGAGACTGACCGATGCGGCTGCAATAATGTCCGGGGTTTTGGGATCCCCGCAACACCAATAACCTTAAGATAGGTTGTAGGCAATTTCCCCGGATATAGTTCTGCAGTTGGTTGCACCATGTTCACGATATCGCTGACCACTACTCCTGGCTCGCTTCCCCTATTCCCATCTTTGAACTAATCCTTGCCCGCTTGTGGCCCCGTGCTTCTCAGGTTTGATCTTCTGTTAGAAGCTTCGCGGCGGTTACTCGGCCCCGAGACCCAGCCCAACTACTGTAATCGTGCGTGAGGACTTGCGCCAAAGCCCCTACGAACCTGCGGGTTTGGTGCGTACCAGCGATACAGTCAAAATTCAGCGATACGGTCACTTTTTTCCCCCTAATAAAAGAAAACTAGAACTTTTAGTAACTTCACAACGTAATACAAGATCTTAAGAAAAAAGTTTATATAGAGGTACGCCCGATAATTGCGCAATTTTTGGCTTCTTTTGATTTTTCAATTTTGTGAAATTGTGGAAGCTATTATAAAATATGGCCGTATCGCTGATTTTTGACCGCAGGTTCGTAGGGGCTTTGGCGCAAGTCCTGACGCACGATTAGCTTCTTCATGTTCCACCAACCCCATGAAGCATTCACAGTTTCGAAGACCGACAGCGGCTAAGTTGCCTGTTTTTCACATGCCAGCAGATCTAATCCTTGATTCGAGCTCACTGCATATCAACTGACCTTTCCGAACCTGCCAAAATTTGGTGTCGAGAACCTAAAGAAACCAGGGCCGTTTCATCAAGTCCTTTTCATTGTGACACCTTCTACTCCCAGTAAGCAAATCCGTGTTAAAACTGTCCCGCGCCTGAGGGTATGCAGGAACCCAGAAAGCCGAGGGGCTGAGCTGCAGGGGTAACTCGGTGGGCAAGAGCGGCCCGTTCGAAACCCAACAAAGATGCATACGATAAGAACACAATTGTGAAATATTTCCGCATACTAAATATCTCCGCGTAGACTGTTTTGAAGCAGTACAACTATGTCAAATGACTAGAAGTTCAAGTGCGATTTTCAAACGAATGCTCTGGAAGTACGAACCGATTTCTGGATCGGGCGGCTTCGGCCCGGGCTGGTGCATTGGTCGGAGAGTGCGGGCGTCAAACAAGCCCCCTCAACCGCCTATGGGCAGCGGGGAATCGGGGTCCGGGGATGCAAGCCGTCCTCGAGGCGTTTCAGTAAGTGGCTGAAGGGTTGCGCTTCCTAGTGGTCAGTCACTCATCTTTGATGCATCAATGGGTACCAACAGGCTGGGACGAGTTCCTGCACCTGCCTTGTCGAGTTCGTGTTCTCGAGGCTTTGCTTGGGGCTGACCAGTGATGACAGCGGGAACTCAGACACCAACATCCAGCCACCCCGGCCCACCCGCAGCCTCCGACCTCCTTTCTATGTGGTGTGCACGGAGGATAGCAGTCGTAGCACTCTACATAACTTAGACATCATCTCGCGTTCTTCTTCTTTGAACAGCAATCTTTCATCGAGTTCGATAGAAACGCAAATCATTTCAACCTTCTCCCCTCTCGAAGCACATCATCATGTTTCGGACACCCCAAGACGATTCCGAAAGCGACGATGGACAAAGCCCCACTACGCATGCCTTTAGCATGAATCAAACGTCCGGATGCAATTACAGAGCATTCAATAGATCACCTCTCAAAACCCCATTTCGTCTAAAGTGTGCCCCAACATCTTCGACATCGAGCTCAAGCTCAAGCTCATCTTCGACAACTTCTATAATTTTTGACGAAGGTTTAACGAGAGCTGGGACACCGCTCACTCCAAACTCCGAGACACCCGACTCGAGCAATGCGGGTAGGCCGAGGCTTCCAAGCCCTGGCAAATTATCGACCAGTTCGTTCGTGAAGAGATGTGTGGATACAAGCAATACTCCGTCCGCTACGCCTGCTCCTGCAACAACTTCAACCACGAAGCGGGCCTTCCAATATTTGTCGGATCCTGATTATGAGTTGCTGGTTGAGGGTGTGAAGAAACTCAGCGTTCAAGACGACGAGCAAGCCTCCAATACCAGGGTCTCTCTAGGCTTGGATAAATCACCAGCTCCGGCCAGAAGACCACAATTGAAGAAGAGCAGTCATCAATCTGTGCAAGGAGATGATGACTATTCCGAGACGCCGACGAAGAATGGCATGTCAAATCGCAAAAACAAACACCGAAATACTTCTCGGACAGACGAAACGCCATCGGCAGAGCCGAAGGCACAGCTTTCTCTCAACCTTGCAGGGGCAAGGGCCACTCCACGGTCCAGCAAGAGAAAGAGTGCAGAGACACCTTCTCTTGTTATTACACAAATCGACAGTAAAGACAAAGAAGTGGATGCGGACAGCTCCAGCTCGACTGCTCAAAATCTACCACACCCTGTTCAATATCGACAGAAAGCCACTCTATCAGCTCCTCGAACTTCCCACAAACGCTCCTCGTCCGCTCCTGGTCCTCACAACAAAAGCAACATCATCACACAAGATACCCCAATCGCTTCCACAAGCCCAAAAAATGCTTCACCGACACAGACGAACGAAACAGATGCGACAGCCCCTCTAGCTCCGACCTGTTGTAGCCTTCGACGTCGTTCAACTGGTTCAATTGTACAAGAACATACTGTACTTCCATCTATTAGATTTCCAAGCCCCGGGGATGATGAAGGAGTGCCTAGAGCATTTCCCAATGAACCCATCAATTTTTCAGAAGTTTGTCGCCAAAGCCCTTCCTCCGAGCCTCCCCAGAGAACGCCAGAGCTGCATCCAGATGAAACACGCAAGTCCCCAAAACTCGAACACATGCATCCGGAAAAGAAGAATACAAACGATTTGAAGAATGAAATTCTCCGTTTAATCAGACGCCAAAGAGCCAAACCCGCCGCGGTGTCGACTTTAAAGCACGGTTATGTATACATCTTCAAGTCCGATAGATTTCCAGGACACGTCAAAATCGGGTCAACCGTCAAGGCACCAGGTATTCGCATCAAAGAATGGGGCACGGCTTGCAATTTCAAAGCTATCCAAGTTACGGACAAGAACGATACAGCTTTCAGGTTCTGTAGGATCGTAGAGCAGATCGTACATGCAGAGCTATACAACGAACAAAGAAAATTCTATTGCGATAGGTGCAAAATGAAGCATAGATTTACGATGGCAGAAAGAGCGAAGGGGACGGGAGAAACTGAGCTGGATGTTCGACCCACGGAGCATGGGGAGTGGTTCGAGACCTCTGAAACTGAGGCCCTGAAAGTGGTGAACAAATGGCGTGACTGGATGATCCATCAAGAGCCATACAAGGAAGATGCAACGCTTCTTTCCTGCTGGATCTGGAAGTACGACATGGGGACAAAGTGGATGAAAGGAACAGAAGCAGAATGGGAGGCTTGGCGTCAGTTTGGATGGCTTGATAAATTTCGGCTTAACTTGTATGACCTCAACAAATGGTTGGGAGAAGTTTCGCCGCTGCTGCAGAAGCTTTTGAATTCTCCTGGGTCTGCCTTCGTGCTTGCTGCCGGCTTTTATTTAGGGACCGTCGGAGTGAACTTGGCAAGCTGTCTGAAGGTCGCAATTGTCTTGTTCTTGTATCGATTCATGTGCTTCAAGTTCTGCTAGCCTGAAGCACGGGATATTTGCAAATACATCAAACCGATATATCGTATGCAGCCGTAACATCCTCGTTAGTTCGTTCGCATGGGTTTTCTTTCATCTCCATCTCACGTTCCTCTTTCTTGAAAGAAATGATCTTCACCGAAGTCACCTCAGAAGTTCCTGGAACATCGTTCCCAGATCGAGACAAATGCCGTCAGCGACCAAAGGCCGTCCCCTCCCCCGCCGAGCGTGAAAAACAATTGTATGATTTTCCTTATAACAGTCTAATCTTTCCCCGCGGCATATCCAAGTTCATGATTGGACATTGCTATCCTTGAGTAAGCGAATTTCGTTCAGGAACAGATGTGAATCGCCCTCTTCTTCCTTTCGCTTCTCTGCAAGCGGCCCGGAAATACCTAATTCATTAATATTAGTCGCTTTCTCTAATGCTCCCGCGAAATCAACTACGCTGCCGCAGCGCCCGTGTTCCTGGGATCAAATATACCGCAAAAACGCAGCAAATCAAAGGTCTTGAAATCAAGAATTTAACGATATGATTTGCTACTCAGGTTCACTTGAATGCGTATGGACCGACACGGGCGCTGCCGCAGCGTAACCGATACTCAAACGCTCTTACGAGGTTACGAGTTAGCTGCCCTGCAATCACATTAAGCGCAACTATCTCCTCTCCTCTCTCCTTTTCCTTTATAAACTAACGTTCGAGCTAATTCTCCGGAGGACCATTAAAAGATGTCCCGGTAAAATCAAGGATAATACCATTCTTCTAGGGAAGACTGCAGGGCGGGGGTAGTGGGAGGCATATTAGGCTGCTAATAATGATACTACGATACTGTCAACATTAGTATTAAAATCAAACGAATTAATATACGAATAGTTATACTCTCGACATACCTCAAAGGCAAAAAATCATGAATTCTCACATTAATTGCGGCAAAGTGGGATAATTTTTGGTAGTAGATATATACTGCAACGTCCAAATTCGCTTATTAGTCGGTGAAGCCCCTGTAAGCGCTAAATGATACGCTGAGTCCCCTGGAATAACCCAGTATTGGAGTTAGATTAGACAATTGCCCCACCAGCACTGCTATCGATCGTCACATTCAACTTTGCGAGACACTGCCAACCTTAATCAGTGTATTATCAATCATCAAAATCTAATCAATATAGCATAATGATGGAGAGTTCCGAAGACGACCAAGTTGTTGCTCAATCACAATCATCAATACCAGAAGAAAGTACAAGAGGTTCGACGAGAGTAAGCGATTATGATGGGCCAAAACAGCTTCACACACTTCGAGAGGCAGCTGCTCTGGTTTTCACATTAACGGGCGCAACCTTTTTGAATGTATGCCAAACCTCGTAGTAAACGGATTTGGTCAGCATACTTACAGACACTACAGACCTTCTCTGCGTATGCAGTCGTTATATTGATTCCCACTATCTCAAAAGATCTCAATATTCTAGAAATACGCCAACAATGGGTCGTTTCTGCCTTTTCTTTGACACTCGGCTGCTTCCTAGTGTGCGTAAAATTGGTGCTCCATCTCCCCTACAATTCTCCTGTCCCTGGCCTTCAAGATGGAGGGTCAGGAAAACAACCAGATACCACCGCCATTTGGAAATCTGCAAGCGAACACTGACTCGAAATTCTAGGTTGTGCGGAAAGCTAGGAGATGTGTGCGGGAAAAGAATCTTCTTCGTCCTGGGATGCGTGTGGGTTGCAGCAACATCTATAGCAGCTGCCTTTGCTCCTTCTGAAATAGCCCTCGATATTTTTCGAGCTCTCCAAGGCTTGGTAAGCACAGAGTCTCATTCTCTTCTCAATTCTTTGAGCAGCTGGGATTTTGTCCAGTTCGATAGATGCATAATTCTTCGTCTCCCTTATCAAGCAAAAGCAAGGGGGTTTTAAAAGACAGCTTGGGTGTTGTCACTTGGCAGTGTCTTTTTATCGGAGTAAGTACAACTGACTTGGGCTATTCCACATAATAGGGAGGTGCAATCACCCTCCCAACATCCATGGGCATCTTGGGCTCTACAATACCTCCGGGTAGAGTGAAAAATTACAGCTTTGCCTTCTATTCCGGTGGCGCTCCTGCAGGCCAGGTCCTCGGCAACATATTGGTAAGTGTCTTCTGCCATCCGTACGCAATTTTTCATTGACACGACTTTCTAAAGGGTGGAGTCATAACCCAGTATAGCAACTGGAAAGTAGTCTTCTTCATCATCGCTGGCGCCAACCTTGTAATTGCAGTGCTGGGACTCGTCTCCATACCCAAAGAGCGGAAGGCTGTAGATCTAGCCCTGCTTCCACAAATCGACTGGATTGGTGCCTTCCTTTTTACAACAAGCTTACTACTACTTCTCGTTGCACTATCTCAAGGCAACTCTGCAGGCTGGAAAACAGCTTATGTCATTGCACTTCTAATCATCTCGGTCTTCTTGTTCGTCGGTTTTGTGTTTTGGCAACGATATCTCGAATTCAGGACTGCTAGGGAGCCATTGATACGAACTTCGGTGTTCCAAAACTCGCCGTTTCTCATAGCTATGGTAATCTTCACGCTTTTCGCGGCTGCATTTACCAATTATTTAATATATTCTACGTATTTTTACCAAGAATATCTTCTCCTCGATACACTACACACTGCTTTCCGGTTTATCCCCTTGGGAATTGTTGGTATTTGTATTGCAACAATGGTTTGTGAATCCGAAGCCTTTAAATCGTTGCTCAAGAACTGATCTTTTGTTTTCACAGTCGGGATACCTCCTTGATCGAGTCCGCGGAAACTAGTGAGTGATATAATAAACTTTTCTATGTACCTCCTTCCAAACTATCCACTCACTCTTCTCTTTCCCAGCATCCTCATCTTCGGCCTTGTTTCAACTGCAATCAGCAATATCCTCTTCGCCGCGCCCATCCCACCGTCTACGACCTACTGGGCCTACGGCTTTCCAGCTATGTGCTTGGCTGCCTTCGGTGCCGATACGATCTATCCCTGCCTAGGCCTATTCACGACTCAATCCCTACCACAAAAAGATCAAGCACTTGCCGGTGCCATGTTCCAAACCGTTAATGGAATTGGTCGGGCAATCAGCTTGTCGATTGCTAGTGCTATTGAAACTGCTGTGCAAACAAAAGATGAAAAGAATATGGATGCCATGGAGGCGTTGCTGAAGGGTTTTAGGAGCGTTCAGTGGTTTAATGCTGCATGTGCTACGGTAGCGCTGGTAGCGACTGTCGTTGGTTTGAGGAACATGGGGAAAATTGGGTTGTTGAAAAAGCTGGGTCAAGTCCAGAGGCTTGAGAGGGAAAAGGACAATGTTTGCGTTTAATAAACGACTTCAGCTACTGTTTTTCTTTAAGGCCCTCTATTTCTTTTATATAAAGAAGGTATCGACTCCTCAGCCAAAGTTATAGTATCCACCTAGCTAAATATACCGGATAAAATTCGAAAAAGGCAACAAAAGGTGTCACGGCCTGGACAAGCTGTGGAAGTGGAATATGGGTGTGTTTGTGTAAATATGTATGAATGATGGTGCCCTAAGGGCGGTGAAGAAGCTATATATACGCCTGTGCGTAGCACGTGACAAAAGGTTATAAGCAAGAAGAAAAAGACTTTAATTAAGAATATCCATAAACTTGGAAAACGTCCTGGTATAGATATGGCATTTATAATCCGTTAAAATAGACAGTATATTACTTATTAATCCGTTGACCGAGCAGATTTTCCACTATCAAAGAAGTAACTAGTAAGTAGACCTCCGGGATCAATAGACAAACCAAGTTAATTCTGTATTAGATGTGTTTATATCCTGTCCGTAATATTCTGCTTCCACATAATGTCGAGGCTTAGATCCGATATCGTTCTGCAAAGAAGCCTCAACTAGATTTTTCAAAAATAGAGAGTGAAGAGAAGGATTTGAATGGGAATGGAAGTATTGCACGAGTAGAGAACAGTTCCAGTGAAGCGTAGCTAGCTTGCAGCAACCCGCTCTAGGAATAATAGGAAAGATCATGCATTCGATATCTGACTACACATTTTCCTGAAACACTTGATTTTCCGTCAGCCAGCTCCGTGAAGGGTTCCAGCGCACAAATCGTGTGTTCTGATCTCCTCCCACGACAGAACGACAAACCAACCCCCACGGTCAAAATGGACCATCTGCTCCAATTCAATCCCGGGCACAGACATCAAAAGAATTCCGTGCTCCCGAACGAGCAGCTCGACTTTCCAAGATTTTCTCCCCTGCTTACAGACTACCGAGTTCGGTTTCGAGCATGTTCCTTCTCCTGATAGTCTCATCCTTGTCACCCGCGATCTGATAGAGCTCGGCGTCCGACATCTTGCCAATAAAATGCGGGGAGAAGACCCAGAGGGGACTGGTCTTACCACTGACGAGAAAGTGATTAACTGCTTGTAAACAGATGGCATCGACGAACCTCTTCCGAGCAACCCCGCAGAAGCACGACCTCCAGCTCGTTGTTTTCCCTGACCGTTTGTCTCCAAGAACGTTGACGTACTGTCTTATGGGGAACCTGCTAGTGAAATAAAACGCGACCCTACTTAACCTATTCGCCACATATACCGGCACGTTCTCGAGTCGTTTTTCTATGTCTTCACATGGATATGCATTCGGTATGGGTACGAAGATACGAGCGACGGGTTGATATTTGTGTCATCACGGGATAAATTTCAAAACCTGCTTCACCCTTCATCTCCCCCCCACCTACCCTCCCCCCAACTATCAAGATGCTAATATAGATGCACCATCTGCCCAGTAATAGGATCTTTGAAGGTTGTGTCCTGTTTGCTAGCTATGCTCGTTCTGGGCATTGTGAGACTCTTGAGGGCAGTCTTCACCTCCCTAAGAAGATCGACCGCAAATTCGGGAACGTCTTCAGCCTCTTTTACAAACTTGTGTTTATCTTCTTGAAGAAATTCCGCAACTGCTGCCGAGGCCAATATACCACGTACTGGGTGTCCTTTGGGTAAAAGCGCCGCCGAAACAATATGCTGGGTTGTAAGGCAAAGGGTGTTCAAGTGCCCATCCACAGACACGTTCTTCGTAGCTCGTTGGGCCATGATAATGCCCTTAATACGTTCTGCCATTAAAGCCTCCATCCCAGTTACTTGGCACATATCTGCAATTCTGACAAACTCGATAGTAGCGGTAATTGCTTCTTCTGGTACTAATTCGCCAAAGATGACTCGGCCAAGGTATAGCCACTGCACTAGTAATTGGAAGCTCCGTATCGAAATCACGCCATCTTCTTCACTCAAATCTACTGACAGGTCTTTTCCTTCCCGAAAGTTTCCTTCAAATGTCGCTTTGAAATATGGGGATTGCTTGCACAGGAGAGCCTTCGGGAGATTGTATTCGTGGCTTGGAGATCCGACGCGAATTGTGACTTGCGGGCCGGAATAGAGTGGGAGTAGGCTAAATAATCGTGTCAGCAAAGAACGACACCTGATTCTCTGACTAACTTATTTATAAAATCCTCATAGGGCACGTCCAGACGTCTCTCCTCAGCACTTGTGGTCGACATACTAGCGGCTGTGAGAAATAAAGATCTGCTGCCGTAAATTCTCTCTTCGCAGTCCTGCTCCTTACCCCACAATTTTAAGCCTCCAAGGTCTGATATCCGAATCTGGCATGTACAGGCGTCCTCACAGACCACGGAAACTGGCAGTAGTTTGGATCGATGCTTCCTTGAGAGGAGGTTTATTCAATCTGGATACGCTTACCCCGCATGCCTGTGGTGATCACGACTAAGCGGAGGCGCGTGCCCTCAACCGCCCACTGGTGCCCTGTCGGAACAACAAAGATTTGAGAATTTTTTCAAAGTTCTCAGAAAATTCTAAAAACTTGTAGGATCTCTTTTTTGAGGTCGCTAATAACGAATATAAACTCAAAAGCTTCATTTTATGCCGTTGTTGTGGTGAAATTATAGTTTGGGCCATTGAGGGGCGAACGCTTCTATGAAAGACGGGAAGACGAGGCAGGCGTGGGTAAGGTAAAGGAACTTATGGGGGATATGAGCTTTCATCATGTAGTTTTGTAAAAGGCTGTGAAGTGCAGTGGGTCGTGGAGGGAGAGATGATTTGGCAGGATTATTCAGAAGACTGCTTCTCTTCTAGACGGTCAATTGATCGTCTCTTGAACGTATAATGAAAATCTGTGGAAAGAAAGTCGGAGAGCGGTGCGTTTCGACCACTCAATGGAAACTCAGACAGACGGCTTCTCAAGGCAGGATTGGCAGTAATTGACTTTACCACATATCATAACATGAAATCGGTTTTTTCTGGGGTCTCCAAGTTCATGTCGTGATCATGATGAAGAAAGGAGAAGAGTCGAGAAGCAGATGAATGACCTTGGTCGGTCGTCCGGAGGAACGTTTTTGCTTTCCGAAACCGTGTTCAATTCCAGCCACGTGCCACCTCCTTCACAAGGTCACCCAATTCAGATTCCATTTCAATGATGTCCCAGACAATTTCAATTGGATCGGTATTCCAATTCAGGACACATACGGTATGCCCAGCATCAATTTTGCACAGGACGCGCGCTTCAGACGATCCGACACTCCGTCGTTCACAACGTCACGACCGCTCTTCCTGTCAACGTGCCTCTCTTCTCCGCAACATTTACTCAAGATTGAAATCGCGATTGGAGGATCTCATCTACTCGCGGGTAATCGATTTCCCCGCACGTTATACCCAAGAGCTAAAACCATGGTTTACCACGGAATCACACCTTCCGCTCGAATCATCGGCCATTCATCCGGATGCCTGAGTACGAGCGAAGCATTTTCAATCTATCTTCCCACCAGGTACCGGCAAGAAACAACCCATTTTTATGTAGGTTTAGTGTCATCCGATTGTTTATCATAATGGTTTCTCCGTCGTTTCTTATCGTTCTTTTCTTTGTTTCGTGCGTCATTTGGTGTGAGAGCTCGAATTTCTACAATTCACGTCGCTTCGAAACAGGTAGTCGCCATTTCTCACAGCTATCATGCTTTCTTCTGTCCTGCCACTTATTGCGGTTGCTCTTTCCATTTCGTCTAGCGCTCGAGCCGCACCAATCCAGGAGGCAATCTGCAGCGCTACTTCTGCGTGGCCGGGATGGTGCGGGATTAAGCATGCTTTCATTTTGTGAGTTGATAGTCCCTGACTCTGTCAAGTTCATCACAAGCTAATGTGACGACAGTGGAGATTCGTATTCCACAACAGGCTTCAATGTCAGCCTCACCCAGCCAACTCCAACGAATCCGTTCGGAAATCCAACATATCCAGGATACACGGCCGCCAATGGCCCGAATTGGGTTGACTATTTGACGGTCAAATACAACGCTTCTACTCTTCTTACCTACAATCTCGCATATGGAGGAGCTACCATCGACTCAGCGCTTGTGGCACCATATCTGCCAACTGTATCTTCGGTGGCTCAGCAAATCGAGAATGAATGGTTTCCAGCCTACGCTGCCCAGGATCCAGTGGCAACCTGGAGCTCAAGTGACACACTTTTTGCTATCTTCGATGGAATCAATGACGTCGGGAATTCGTGGTGGAAGAACAACACGGCGATGAACAATGCAATCTTCGCTGTCTATCGAGGCCTTGTCGACGAACTCTACCAAGCTGGAGCTCGCAATTTCGCTTTCCTGAATGTCCCACCAGTTGACCGATCTCCATTGGGGTTGGCAAATTCAGGCTTGGATCAAGCAACGGAGCACATGGATATTGTGGCCTGGAATAATGCTCTTATGAAGATGGCGCAGAGTATGAAAACAGCCAACCCAGATGTCAATATTTTCACCCTCGATACGTTCAAGTTCTTCACCCAAGTGCTGGACAACCCTGCGAGTTATCCACAGACTGCCTTGTATAAGAATGTGACTGGTTATTGTACGGCATACGCAAAGTGAGTACATTCTCGAGGGATACTTCTGGGATTTAGGCTAACTTTCCGCAGTGGTACTCCAACTAAAGATTATTTTAATGCTACTTGCACGATTCCTGTTAATCAGTACTTCTGGCTCAACAGTCTGCATCCTACTTATCCCATGCATGACGTCCTTGCAGAACAGGTTGCACTTCAATTGGCTGCAGGGCCAAATGTCTGTTAGACGGAGTTCTGGACAGAGAAGGAAAAGCTTGGACTGTATACATGAATCAATGAACCACGAGCACAATGCCAGAACGAGGCTATGTCGAGTTTCAAAGCCATTCAGGGGTTCGGGGGAAACCTTTAGTGCAGCCAAAACATCGATCACGTGACGAGGTCGATATTGACCCGACAAGTTATCCTTCCATTGTTTCTCTTGTGGAAACTCCACCTCTAATTAATGCAACATTCCCTTCACCACATACCTTCTGTTTCCAAAGGGATACAAATACTCAACTTGGACAAGGAGGGACAGACGTTGCCGCCATCCCAACCCCACCTTTCTACTAAACCGCATCGGGGCAAGGAACCCGGCGACGTGCTGCTTATCAGCGCCTTGTCCAACCAACAGCCCACAATTATCGAAGCTTGACAGCTTCGACTAGGCAGAGCAGCGGCGGTATGTCGAAGCTATCGTGCATACGGAAGGGTTGCTGGCCTGGCCAGTCAATCCTCACCCAGCTTCAGATAATTGAATTACCTTTTATCTCTTCCGTTGGTCCTTTGACCCGATTGATACACCAAGTCCCGAATCTCTTCTATATCATTGTCTGATCTTCCCAGATCTGCTTTCTTTGTTTGCTATACCTTTTGCTTGCTAACACAGTGTTTTCGTACCTACCGAGCATAACATACAGCTGCGAAGGTAAATCAGCACGAAATGGCCCTCGAAAGACTCAAGTCAGTTGCCCAGCACGTCGCTGGCACAGGCCCTCCTCCTCACCCATTCGATCCCCTCTCCAATGCCGAGATCGAGAAGGTAGTTTCGATCATCCGCAGCGCGCACGGGAAGCTCTTCTACAATGCTGTCACGCTCCGGGAACCGAAGAAGCAGGAGATGCTGAGATGGCTCGAGAATTCAACATCTTCGCCGAGGCCGACAAGAGTGGCAGATGTCGTCGCTCTTGCGCCGGGAGGAGCAGTGTTTGATGGCTTGGTGGACTTGGAGGCGGGGAAAATCACCAAGTGGGAGAAGCTTGAGGGTGTTCAACCGCTGGTGAGTATTATGGGAACAACGGGGTGGATTTTTCGCTGACTTTTAGCAGATCACTATGGAAGACCTCCAGATCGTAGAGCACGTCTGCCGGAAAGACCCCAAGGTCATTGAGCAATGCGTGTTGAGCGGGATACCAGCGTCGGACATGCACAAGGTTTACTGCGATCGTGAGTCCAAGACCAACCCCCTTTGAAAACACTTCTGACTTTCCGAGCTTGGACAATTGGATACGACCACAGATTCGGCAGCGATATTCGATTGCAGCAAGCACTTATGTACTACCGACCACACGTTGATGACAGCCAATACTCGTTTCCCCTCGACTTCTGCCCCATCTTCGACGCTGACAAGCAAGAGATCATTCACATCGACATTCCCGAGATCCGCAGACCAGTCAGCAAGGCGAAGCCCAACAATTATCATGCTGCCAGTATCGAGGTAGAGGGAGGATATAGGAAAGATATCAAGCCCATCAATATCACACAACCAGAGGGTGTCTCATTTAAGGTGGAAGGACGAGTGATTGACTGGCAGAACTGGAAAGTCCATGTTGGATTCAACTACAAGGAGGGAATTGTGCTCAACAATATCACATACAATGACAAGGGAACTGTTCGGCCTATTTTCTACAGACTTTCGTTGGCGGAGATGGTGGTGCCTTACGGAAACCCGGAACATCCTCACCAACGGAAGCATGCTTTCGACCTTGGAGAGTATGGTGGAGGATACATGACCAATAGTCTCTCCCTTGGCTGTGATTGCAAGGGGGCCATTCATTATATGGACGCAGCATTCGTCAACCGTGCTGGAGAAAGCACCACAATCAAGAATGCCATTTGCATCCATGAAGAGGATGCAGGCATTTTATTCAAACATACAGATTTCCGTGACGATTCGGTCATCGTCACCAGAGGCCGGAAACTCATCATCTCGCACATTTTCACGGCTGCGAACTACGAATACTGCGTTTACTGGATCTTCCACCAAGACGGCACTGTTCAACTCGAGATCAAGCTCACAGGTATCCTAAACACATACGCCATGAATCCGGGTGAGGATACCAAAGGATGGGGAACAGAAGTCTATCCAGGAGTTAATGCTCACAACCATCAACATCTCTTCTGTTTGCGGATCGATCCTAACATCGATGGCCCAAACAACACGGTCTTCCAAGTCGACGCTTCCCAGGGTGCAGGCGAGGTAGGTAGTAAGGAGAACTTTTATGGAAATGCCTTCTATGCCAAGAGGACCAAGTATTCGACTGTTAAGGAGGCAGTCAGTGATTATGATGGAGTTACTTCGCGAACTTGGGATATGTGCAACCCCAACAAACTAAATCCACACAGCCACAAGCCTGTCAGCTACAAGCTCGTGAGTAGAGAAGTCCCCAAACTTCTTCCCAAGGAAGGTTCTTTGGTTTGGAAGCGTGCAGGTTTCGCCCGTCACGCTGTCCATGTCACACAATGTAAGTTCACACTTCACTCTTCTCCCCTCCACACTCACCCCTAACACCTCACAGACGACGACGACCAAATACTCCCCGCCGGCCGGCACGTCCCCCAAACCTCAGGCGAACCCTCTCGAGGTATCCCCGAATGGATCGCGAACGGCGATGCCTCAATCGACAATACCGACATCGTCCTCTGGCACACCTTCGGCATCACGCATTTCCCTGCCCCTGAGGACTTCCCTGTCATGCCTGCAGAACCTATGACATTGTTGCTGCGACCAAGGAATTTCTTCGCACGGAATCCAGCGCTTGATGTACCGCCTAGCTATTGCAGTACGCCGAGCCAAGTTGCGAGTAAGGAGAAGGTGTTGGATGCTGCGGATAAGATGTCGAAGCTGGTTGTTACTGGTGGCGAGGCGTGTTGTAAAAAGTAAAGTGACGGTTTGGGTCTGGTTTCTTGATCGGTATCTTCTGTCATATATCCTCTTTTATCGAATCGTCTCAAGTTGATACTTTTTAGTTTGACATGAAATGTATATTTTCGCATCCCCTGCTCCCATTTTCGAATCCTGGTCATGTATATGATATATCGCGAGTTTTCGTAGCCCAGAGGTTGGAGGGTGATCATTTTGGCAAATCGTCTAGAGGAACATAGACCTGAGCTCAAAGAATAATGACAGCAGGCTCCATTTCTCTTCAGATCTAGTCTCTGGACTTAAGCAGCGGCTCGTTTCTGAGCGTTTCTGAGAATTCCTGAGCACGACTTGGGCACGACCTGAGCAACTGAGCATATGGGAGCTGAGTTCAGAGGTGAGTATGTTCACATGGTACGCACTAACGTTTAGAGGCAGTAAGCCATATGTGAATTCAATAGATCTACGTCTAGCAGCCTCAGAAGCACTGGGTTGTATGATATTGCCGGAGTTTCTGAATGATGCCGGGGAATCTGCGAGTAATCCGCTCTCGTCACAAACTGAATCAACGTCCGGAATCGTGAGAAGCATCCAAGCAAAGATACTCTGGTCGTCCGATACTTTTAATCTCCTCCTGGAGCCACCTAAAAGCCTTTTCGCGTTCTCCGTATATCAACGGCTTCCGGATGTCAAAAATTCCCAGTAGGCAATACGCAATATCTTCCACCTTGGTTGTTTGTCTGTCTCTTTGCCGCCCAGGACATCGCTGCGCGACACTAGCCTGTCTCAGGACATCTCCTAGCAGGAACCTCGCAGGCATGCCGGTGATTCTGGATATGATGGATGATAGACCATGCTTGGTGCCGATTCTCGTCCAGCCGTTGGCAAAGAAAACTACTTCTGATGGCCCAGTGAGCTCCTGGAGAGTCCAGCCCCACGTAAACCATTTGCTTGCAGAGAAAGATTTTGATGTAGATGGATCCTCATTGGGCGGGACGTCCGCTAGATACTCAGTGCGCTTTTCAGCTTTTCGGTACCAGTGAACATAGAGTCGATAGCCTCCGCAAGTTCGGTGCTGTTCGATTTGTCGATGCAACGCTTGTCATCCCAGAAGTATTGCATGCTATCGCGTCTCGCCTGCTCCCCGCAAAATCGGATCTTCTCCAGGCTTGCTCTTGCCGGTGCCGCCTATCAGGTCTCTAAAGGTGACCTACTCCCCAAGTGTGTGAAAGCACCGCATAGGGAGGGACGCCGTCGCTGTGGTCCTTGGTCAGGCCGAAGTCGCCATGAGCATCAAGTTCTAAAAGCCGCATAGATACTCATAGATATAATATATTAGGAGCTCGTACACCACAAGAAGCGTAAGTTGGGTTCCACGATTCCAGCTCAGTGAGCAGAGTGTAGAATCCGAGAATCTCCTTGACCGTGGGTGAGCCTTCATGAGTGTGGAGGTGTTTGCAGGTCATGAGTTTTTGCAAAGTGCGGTTGCCGCCTATTCTGCCAATCACCAGAATCATTAGAGTCTCGTACCAAGCGGTACACTCCAGGATGGAAGCGTACAGTTAATAATATAAATGATGATATCTGGGGACAGGAATAGCTATAGATTCTTATTTTGTGCTTTCTTCACGTTCAATATTGAGGAGTGGGGAGCTTCGATGTGGAGGAAGCGACCGATGGGTGACACGGTTGCAAGGGCTCCAGGCATTGGTTAGCGTAGAAGTTTGGGGGCTTCAGGGGTTCATCTCAGGCCCGAGAGGTGCTCGCATATCGTTATCCTGTTACCTCCTTTTGCTCTCAAAGCTACGGCGCGTCCACACAAACAGTCGCGAATTCTTCTGCCTAGCTGTAATGTGAGGCTCATTGCGATCGCAATTCAGCATAAATGATTGCCTTCAAGACAGATAAGACCCCTGTCATAGCAGTTCTTGTTGCGACCTTCCTCATCTGGACTGTATCAAAACATTGATGCCTGATATCCTCTTGGCATCAACATAACCCAATCTCCCTCGTGTTGCTCCTTTCACCTCCAAATCCCTTTGCTCTCTCAATTGTAGTGTATGGAATTCAGCATTGAACTTCATATCCTCGAAGAATGAATTGTTCAATTGCTATCGATCGGGCCTTTGGGCCGAGTGTTCCTCAATGCCGCAGAACATTTGACTTTACATTGTTGTTCGAGGAGACCATCTTCTCCATCGCTCCTTCGGCACTTTTTCTATTGATAGTTATACTTCGACTTTCCGTTCTTTGGAAACGGCCTTCAAGAGTTCAAGGAGGTAATCTGTACAAGCTCAAACTAGTCAGTCTCTCTTCTGACATCAAGACAACAAAAACTGATCCACGTGGAGGTGACCTCAGCTCTCTACGCCTCACTTCAATTCTGCGTTCTCGTGGAGTACTGTACGGTTGGCCTAGCCAAAACCAAGGCTTCAATACCATCAGCTACGCTCGCATTTCTTGCGTCAATCCTGCTCTGCATAGCCTCGGTTCTTGAGCACACGAAATCATCTGCTTCATCATTCCTGCTATCTTTCTACCTCTTTACAACCATTCTTCTCGACACCGTCCGAATCCGCACTTTATGGCAAATTGGAGAATTAACCGCTCTCTGCTTAACCTTCGTGGCTGCATTCGTAGCAAAACTAGTACTGCTCGTCTTAGAAAGCTGGAGCAAAAGAAGGTACCTGGACAAAGCGGACAGTGAGGTAGCAGGTGAAGAACTTGCCAGTTTCCTGAGCCGGTCGTTGTTTCTTTGGCTTAATCCGCTTTTGGTGAAAGGGTCTTCGAACTTTCTTACGCCGCCGGATCTCAGTCCTGTTGATAGCGCGTTGTCTTCCGCGAGGTTGGCGAAGCTGTTCGAGGGTGTTAACTATACGCACTATGGTAAGCTCCCATGATTTGGAAATGGGTATTGGCTAATAAAGGGTGTTGGGAGATCTTGCTCCTAAGTATAAGTTACTTCTCGCTGCTATGAAATCTCTTGGCTGGAGCGCCGCGCGGCCAGTCCTCCCGAGACTTCTGTTGACGGGATTCACATTCGCGCAGCCATTTTTGGTCTCTAGTATACTTGACTATCTCCAGAACTCAACAGCGAGGCCGAAGAACGATGGTTACGGGCTACTTGGCGCCTGTTTTCTGGTTTATGTTGGAATCGCCGTGCGTCATAGCTCTCCCTGAAGTGAATATTCTAGCTGACAATACTTAGGTATTGAGCGGCTGGTACTGGCAGCAGACAAATCGACTAACGACCATGATGCGGGGCGTCCTCATCTCATCCATCTTCTCTAAAACCCTCAAGTTAAGCACCGATGCAGACTCCGAGTCTAGAGCCATGACACTTATGATCGCTGATGTGGAAGGTGTCGTGGGGAGTCTGAAACATTTGAACGAAGTGTGAGCCAGTCTTATCGAAACCGCACTCGCTACATGGCTTTTGGAACGACAAGTCGGACTTGCCAGTTTATCTATGATCGCTTTAGTTCTTGGTGCCTTCTCCTTACCCTACCCCAACATGGCAACCTGACTAATAGGCGAGGAAATAGTCTGTACAGGCCTAACGTTGAAGCTCTCCAAAATGGCCGGGCCTAGACAGCAGGCCTGGTTTGCCGCCATGCAAACACGTATCAAACCCACCTCCCAAATGCTGTCCTCATTCAAAGCAGTCAAGATGCTTGGTGCTGATGAGAGGATACGAGCACTTATCCAGTCGCTGAGATACATGGAGATCAAAGCCGCGAGACCATTCCGGAATCTGCTTGTACAGAGAGTCGTCCTCTGTTCGTCCCCTCTCCCCTCCAGTTCATTTTCAGGCATAATAGGGCTAATTTTAGGGTGATTTGAAGCATATATTACGTTGATCTTGTCACCGGTCTTGGTTTTCGGTACTTTTATTGCCGTTTCGAAGCGTGGTGGCTCGGAATTCGATATTTCGAGACTCTTTACGAGTTTGATTTTGATTTCGCTGCTTGCTACCCCTTTGATATACCTATTTCAAATGATACCTGGTATGGGAGCAGCGATGGGGTGTTTAGAGCGTATACAGAAGTACCTTGATATCGAGGAGCGGCCTGACTTCAGAGAAGTACAGCCCAGTACTCGGCAGTCGCCATCAAATGGATCAGATGATGAAAAGGCCGGAGGAGGAAGTCGATGTGAGGGAGGGAAAGCGATGATATCTATCATAGGCGCCTCCTACTCATGGACCACAACCAGCCGACCCGTCCTCAAGAACGTGAGCTTATCAATTCATCGCGGAGAGCACATCGCGGTCACCGGCCAGGTGGGCAGTGGGAAATCTCTCTTTTTGAACGCAATACTCGGTGAAGCGGTACAACCTGAAGGAAGCACAACGATCTCCACCGCAGAGATAAGCTACGAAGATTGCGGCATAAAGTGACGGGATTACAGGGCATTTACGCTCGCATAGGGGTGTTAGCGGACTCCAGGGTGTGGCTTAAGGTACTGCGCCTGCTATAAGCCTTGTAACTCTAGGCCTGAACCCCTAAAACAAGGGCTGTGAGACATTTCCAAGGTGGTGGAAAATCTTCAAGGGTTATGGTGTTGCTGGCGGAGCAACCGTAGCGCTGGGGCGCTGTGAGAGAGCTATTATAGGACCCTTTAGCGAGTCTGCCCCTGTAAGTACAGGGGATATGCCTTCTAAAGGTGTGGTACCCCTTGTTTATAGTTTATAGCGTGCTTATAGGAGAGTAGCCTGGAAATATAGGGGACTTTAGTGGGTGAGTGTAGTAGAAAGTGGCCTGAAAGTGGACTTGCGGTACAAATGCCCTGTAATCCCGTCACTTTATGCCGCAATCTTCGTACTGCGCCCAAACACCGTGGCTTGAGAATCTCAGCGGAATCAAGACGGTGTTGAGAAGTGCTGAGTGTGATGTTGCTTGGCTGAAGTCGGTGACATGGGCCTGTGCGCTTGAAGATGTGAAGGGATTGAAGGAGTACGCTGAGGGGAGTATTGGGACGGGTGGTATGATATTGAGTGGTGGACAGAAGCAGCGGCTTGTGAGTTGCAACTCTCCTTCTTCCCCGGAGCCATCGGTCTAACAGGCAGCAGGCCCTTGCTCGCGCGATCTACTCTAGAAAACCAATACTGTTGCTTGATGACCCGTTCAGTGCCCTGGACAAGACGACTCGAAATCTTATTTCGGTGCGTTTGTTTGGATCAGGAGGTTTGTTGAGACGTCTAGGCACGACGGTGATTTATACGACTCATGATGGTATGTATTCAACCAAGTCCTTATATCTGGATAGGCCTCTGACTGTGGTCTTAGAACAATTTAAAGGCTCCGCAGACCGTGTGTTGGAGGTGGATGCGGAAGGTAGCTTGACTGAACTTCCACACCAGAGATCAAATCTGCTTGACTTGATGGAAATCTCTTCCGTGCTAAAGGCTTTGCCAGAATCGAAAGAAAAGGTTCTCGAGACCGTCACCGTGAAAAAAGCTTCCGATTCAGAGACCAACCGCACGAAATTATTAATTCAAGACAGAACGGTATACAAAACTTACTTCAAATCCGTAGGATCCTTGCACAGCGGTCTCTTCCTCGCAGGCGGGGTACTGTTTGCCTTCACTCTGAAATTTCCTGGTAGTTATTGATGTATTCCTTACAGAAAGTATATGCTGACTTACAATACAGACCTCTGGGTACAATGGTGGTCGGAAACTTCTTACGGTCCAGGTTCTCGAAGCTTGAACTACTGGATAGAGGTTTATGCCCTCCTACAACTACTTCCCATACTCTCCCTCGGCTCCCTGCTCAACCGCTTCAACCAAGACCTCATGCTCATTGACACGCAACTGCCGCTCTCCATTCTGAACACCAATAGCAGCCTCTTCACCGCACTCATGAAAATCATCCTCATAACAATATCAGTCATCTATTTGCTCGCGGTGCTCCCTCCACTATTCCTTGTACTCTTACTCATCCAGAACTTCTACCTCCGCACCTCGAAACAGCTCCGACATCTAGACTTAGAGTCCAAAGCAGCGCTACACACCAAGTTCCTGGAAACCTACTCGGGACTCACTACTATCCGGGCATTTAACTGGGGCGAGAAGTTAAATGCAGAGTTTCTGGATCTTCTGGATAGATCGCAGGAGCCATTCTATCTCCTACCCTCCGTGCAGAGCTGGCTACAACTAGTTCTCAACCTCATCGTCGCAGGGATTACAATCCTCGTCCTCGGTGTCGCGATCAGTATCGAGAGGAAAGTCAAGCCCGCCGCAATAGGCGTTGCATTCCTGAACGCGACCACACTGGGAGAAACATTAACGCAGTTTATCGTCAGTTGGACATCGCTTGAGACTTCTCTCGGCGCTATAGCGAGGATCTCGTCTTTTGTCAAGACCACACCGAGGGAGAAGGAACCAGCCATTCCGGAAGATGTGTCCATGACTGGCCGTCTCGCGGAGGCATTGAGTTTAAGAATGTGTGGGCGAGCTATGATTCCAACCTCGCTTCTGACGAGGGGGAGGGCGAAACAATGTTCTGTCTGAAGGATATCAATCTCTCCATTTCACCAGGCGAGAAAGTCGCAGTCTGCGGCCGTACCGGCTCGGGCAAATCCTCGCTCGTCCTTGCACTGCTGTCTATGCTCTCTCTTTCTTCTGGCAGCATCCTAATCGACGGAGTGGATATCTCGCACATTTCTCTCTCAACTCTCCGCCTACGGCTGAACACTGTTCCGCAAGATGTTTTCGCGCTTGCGAAGACTAATCGCGAGGAGCTGGATAGCAGGGGCGGAGTGAGTGATAACGAGATTATTTACGTGTTGGAGAGGTGTGGGATTTGGGAGAAAGTACTTGAGGAAGGGGGATTAGACGGCCGTGCGGAGACAGCGAAATTTTCAGCGGGCGAGGCGCAGTTATATTGTTTTGCGAGGGCGGTGTTGAAAAGTGAGACTGTGGGAGGTGGGGTGGTCGTTATTGATGAGGCTACAAGCAGGTATGTTGTCCCGCACTTTGGGTGGTGGACTTGCTGTGCTGACCCTGATACAGTGTCGATGAAGCGACCGAGAAGAAAATCCACAACTTAACAGTTGAGATGCTGAGGGGGAAATCCGTGGTTTCTGTCTTGCATCGACTGGAGACGGCAGTCAAGTATGATAAGATTCTCGTTCTGGATGAAGGGAGGGTGTTGGATTTTGGGACCCCAGAAGAGGTCATATCGCGTTGTGAGCTGTTTAGTGCTTTCAGGGGTAAAGAGGATGGAGGAGGAGATACCATCAATACGTAAATGGGGAATTCGGAATGGGAAGTTTACTACGACGGTGGTTCATGCGAGAATGTGGTGACATTCGGTTAAAAGAACGTTGCATAGGTCAGACCTCAACTTGCCCCTGTTATATGAATCAGGTGACTGGTCCAGATTGAAATCCTCTTGTTCATGAAACGACGTGATGCTCGCTTACGACAGCATAGAGCCTAAGTATTCAAAGTCTAGTACACTTTGACCTCAGATTTCTTCATGCTATCCATGGCTTTCTCATGGACGTCAGTGACGGCAACCTCCTCCTTCATCCCGCCCAACAACAAGTAACTCGGAGCCTGGGCCTGCTCTAACTCCGGCGCCGTGAACGTGTAGAACTTCTCGTCGTGCCACTGCCCAGCTGTCACGTATCTGCCGGCGCTGTCCGTGAACATGGTCTCGTCTTCAGCCCGCAGAAAATACGCAATCGAGTAGCGGTGCTCGGTGGGGTTCAAGGGGACGACTCGATGGATGCACGATTGCATGGTGTGGCCGCTTGCGAAGCGGAGGGAGTCGCCGACGTTGACGATTGCGGAGCCGACTTTGGGTGCGATGAAGCCGAATTCCTTGGCTCCTGAATCACCAGGATGTGAGAGTCAGTATAGATTCATTTGAATTTGGAGTAACAGAGGTGTGAAGGCTGAAAAGGTGGCTTACCGGGAGGTCGAATTTGTAGACCCCATTGCTCGCTGAAGAGCAGAGTCAACGAGCTGATATCCGTGTGTTTCTGATGCCCAATGTTCTTATCCGTCACTGGATCAGAAGGGATGTAATGCATCATTGCCAGTGTGCTGGTGGAAGGGCGGTGGTTCCTGTGCATGTTTTCGAACCGGGCCGCACCCGTGAGGCCTAGTCCAGTTGAAAGCGCCGACAGGATGGTCTTGGTGATGATATTGGAGCCAGCGATGGCGTTTTCGAGGACCTTGATGTCTCCACTATTCTTGATGTTGCGGGGGATGTGGGGTGCGTCTCTTTGGATCTCATCTCGGGACACCTGTGGAAAGAATTAACATGACGCTCGCGAATTGTTACTGTATCAGATAGGTAACTGACCTTGATCATCTCATATCCATCTTTGGTGTTCTCAAGAACACCCGTGCGTGAGCCAACGGGCTCATACCCGAGATGCGGAGAGACGAGCCCATACTCGTTCTTGACTTCCAGGGGAGACTCGAAGAAACGGTGCATGAGAGCTAGGGTCTCTTGTTGGTCGTCGAGCATCCTGCGGCCATCGATGCCTTGCAGGTCAATGTAGAAGAATCCCTCGGTCTGGCAGCAACGCACGAGCTTCTCGATTTCGGCCGGCTCCTGGGAGAGCAGTTGCGAGAAGTCAACCGTCTGCATGGGATAGACTGGGACCTGCTTGCCGTTCCATTGAACCGTTTTCGGAACTTCGGTGGTGATTCCCATTGTTTTTGGTCTAATAGCTGTGAAATGTAGATAGAATTTGAAGAATTGTTGAAGAGAGTTTGAAAGTTGTCAAAGCCAATAATTGATAAGAGCAACGCCAGTCACTCACCGGGTCCCGCTCTTATAATAGACGGGAACTCCTCAAAGCTCCGACTTGGCCAAAGAAAGCTTGTAGGATCCAGGCTCGCTCAGCTCTAATCGGCCGAGATAGGGTGTCCCTATGAAAATACGCCGGGGGTGATGTGAACCTAGTCCTGCTTGAGCTTGGCGCTTGGTACCCACATACCGGCCAATCAAAAGTCGAAAGTTCGTCATCGTGAAAGATCAGTGCATGAGGCTTAGAACCACCGTCACCAACGAGAAGTTGCTAATGACTTCGGGCTGAGCAGTAATGCTCAATCTGGTACCAAGCAGAGCCTTTGAGCAAATACTGGCAAATTCCGGGAGGGGTAATTTGAATATCTTCTAACTTCCTCCCGCGAGTAGCTTGTTCCGTCAATTGAAAAATAGAGTGCTTAAGTGAGATGGCTGAACAAACTAACAAATCTTAATACCCGTTAACGTGTCGAGCACAGCGACGTTAAGGAAGGAATGTGCAGTATTTGATGCCAGGTGGACTTGAGGAAGACTTGATAAACGCTGCAGTCTGCATCAGCTGATTAACGTCCGCGTCATGCAACAAACTCGATCCGCATAGGACCAAGACATACCTCTGCATCCAATATTGCTAAGACCATCATTCCCTGTGCAGAGGTTGGATCTACTTTCAGCTAGATTGTGAAGGGGGGCTTTTGTAGCAACTCAGACTTGTCTCACGCTATTTAGCTAGATAGTCCCACGGTGGGACTCCCACGTTCCTTCACCAAGGTATCCACACTCAACCTAATGGAGCAAGTGGGGGGTGTGTAGCTAGAAATACGCAGCTGAAAGCTCATGCTGGCATTGCAGCCAAGCAGCAGGCTTCCGCCTGCTTCCTTTTCATTCGCTTAATAGCTACCCCGCCCCCTGAAGCTAACCGAGTCAACCCCGCCCAAAGAGGACCAGCGGCCGCCCTTACATGCAAGCCATAATAGTACCTCAACATGGCCGAACACGCCATCTTGTGCCCCCATGAATTGTTTCACCCAGATTAAACAAAATATCTCTGATAAGGGCAATCTTGCAATCTGTTATAAATTTTATTGATAACATATCTGAAGTGCCCCACCAAGAAGTTCCGTGGGGCTCGATTACCTAAATGCCGAAGATCCAGCTTACAGTATTGTGTGACTTGGCTTAGATACCGCATCGGCGTGGTCCCCCGGCGGCGTCGACCTAAGACGCCTCAGAGTGGAACCTATCAACTAGCATTCAGCCAATTTGAGGGATTTCGATAGTTCTAATGCTAGACCCCGAACATCGGAAAGTGGGGTGTTTTGGACTGACATGTGCAATCCTTGGTCTCTCTTCCTAACGACCAATGGTCGGGAAGTTCCCGCATCCACTCTTGCAGCTCCCTCGCTCCTCTCCAACATCTACCCAAACCTTCATTCTGCTGCCAAGTATCTCGAATCGTAATTTGCGAGAATGGGGAGTCTGGGGATCGAACAAAGTCGACTGCAAGTAGCCATTGTTGGCACCGGGATTGCAGGGCTCACGGCAGCAATTGCACTTCGAAAGCATCCCCAGATACACGTTGAGCTTTATGAAAAGGCCACCGAGCTGAGAGAGATTGGCGCGAGTATAACTCTGGGCCCCAATGGTCTGAGAACGTTACAGAGATTGGGATTGGAGGATTGCATCAGTGATCAAGTAGGATATCGTGGGCCGAATCCCATATCCAGGTTCTATCGGCATTGGAAGACGAATGAGATCATTGGCGAGGATTTCTATGAAGATGTTTCGGAGCCCTTGCATTATACTGCGAGATTTCATCGGGGACACCTACAACAGGCTTTATTAAAGCATATTCCAAGTGAAATTATACATCTTAAGAAGAAATTGGTTTCTGCATCAGTAGATCCTCGAGATGGCGTAAAGATGCACTTTCAGGATGGAAGTATTGCAACTGCAGATCTCCTAATTGGAGCTGATGGGATTCGTTCTGTAAGTGCCACCTCGATATTCCAGCATGAACTCTTCACAATTGCTCAACGAATCAAAAACCTAACGACAAGTTCTAAAGGGCGTGAGAACAGCTTTTGTCCCAGATTTCGAACTCGAATGGAGTGGCCACACTGCCTTCCGCGGTATATTTGACGCCTCGCTCGTCCATTCCATTCAAGGTGTCCCACTTGACTCAACGCACTGGTGGGGGCCAGAAACGAATTTCTTTGCAACGCGGCTAGCTCAAAACCTTTTCACGGTTCAAGGAGGAATCTACGCGGATCCCCAAGACCCAGTCGCAATTGCAAAGTTCAGAGATGGAGGACGCTGGGACCAAGAAGCCAACATCAACCTCCTAAGAGAGAAATATGTCGTGAGTAGCTGTCAAGGTAGATGCTTGATTCGAGCGCTACTAATCATGTGCCTGCCAGGACTGGAATCCCGTCGTCAAAGCACTTGCAAATGTAACGCCCGACATTCGATATTACCCCAACTATTTCTGTGGCTCTTCCCTACCGACTTGGACCTTCGGGGGCCGAGTCACGTTAATCGGCGACGCGGCACATGCTCATGGTGGTGCATTCGCGACGGGTGGCTCCCTAGCCATAGACGATGCTTACGCTTTATACCTTGCTCTTACATCCGTCTTCCCTGAAACAACTTCGCAGAAGCCGTCTTCGGGAGAGATTTTAAAAGCGTTAAAGTTGTATGAAGATACGAGGAGGCCACATGCTGTACGATTATTGAAGGTCGTGCATGCGAATAATGAGATGAAGACGAAGAAGATTTTGGCGGAGACGCAGGAGACAGATGAAGAGTTGAGGGCGAGGGCTAAGAGGGGATCGGGTACCACTTGGTTGCATGAACATGACGTTGTGAAGAGTTTTGAGGAAGCACTTGCGGCTTCGTCAAAAAGAATATAAAGCCATCTGAGGCAATGTTGACTTTCAGATATCCCCATTGAACTCAGAGACGGAACGAGAATCACGACAGACTATAGAAACAGGTTGCTCTCAACTTCGAGAACTCAGGGACTAAAAGAGAGCGAAATCGTACTCCAGTTACTAACATTGATTTCCAGTCGACCATTCCCTTGACTCCGGCCGAATGAGTGATCCCAAACTCCGCGAACCCGTCCCATATGCACTCGCACCGTGACAATCTCTCATTTCCTATATCCACAGTCCACAGTCCCATCCCCACCCCGCTCTGCCGATACCTATCCAAGCCCTTAATTACTGACACTCGTCCAAATCCCGACGACACCCGCGGTGATCAACATCCCCACGCGTCCCAAATTCAGCGCTCCCCACCTATCAACCAACACCTTCGCCGTCTCGCCGCCCGCTAGCCCAATCTCAACAACCTCATCCGTCTTCTCCAGCATCCTAGTCTCCTCCTCTTTGGCCTCCAACTTGTTATTAGTCGGCATCAACACCGCAAACGTAAACGGAATTATCCCCGCACTCAACACGCCCGATATTAAATAACTATAACCCGCCCCGTTCCCGGCGAATGGATTCGAGCTCGACAGAGCATTGTAAGCGAGGTAGAAGTATGAAACAGAGGAGAGGAGAGTGCCGGGGATCGCAGCGTGTTTGCCTGCGATGAACATTTTCCTCCATTGCTGAAGCATTAATGGGGTAGGTGATTCGAGCAGGCGGGGAATAGTGAAGAAGGAGAGGCCGGCGGAGACGCCGCCGACGAGGAGGGAGGAGGTGATACCGATGGTTTGCGCGAGGCGGATTGAGAAGGGGGTGTCGGTGGGCATTTTGATGGATTGTGAGATCGAAGCTGAGGGCTGAATTGGTCTATCGCTGTTGGGATTTAATGGAGGGATGGAGGGATGGAGGTGAGGAGTTGGTTGTTGTTGGAAGTTTGTTGGTGTTAGGAGATGGTGTGACCTAGACTGTCAGCCTCGTGGGGTGGGAAAATCCCCCGCACTTGGCATTGCGCCGAAGGCGCGACCACCCAACCGCCCAAAATCGCTGCTTTCCAAAAATTATAATTCAACATCCACATAATATTTTACTATCAAATCAATTGTTTTCTGAAGATTTTTTAGCCCCTCAACATACCTGTAAAGAAAAATCACTATGCCGAGTTCACGGACAATCCCAACGAGCTCTCAGAGAGAGTGCCTGCGATTGCAAATGGCCCATAACAATTATCTCGATTACAAGAAGACTAAATCTATTCGAAAATGCTCGAGAGAGTATGGAATTGCATACGAAACCCTTCGAGATCGAATTAATAGAGTAAAACTGAAGGCATAAGATGCAAAGGCAAGATAGCGTTTATTAGTGAGGCAAGAAGCGGCTAGCTAATCAGAAGAAGGCATAAGGTTTACTATATAATAGCAAATTCAATTAATATATGAGCTTTTATAATCGGAAAATAGAATAGCACCTAAATTGCAATTGAACATTTATATAATGTGAGCAATTCTTTGACCCAAGAATTAGGTACTTAAATTTAGGCTTGTTACCCCTCAAAACACAAGTTATTAATTCTTACCCCAAAGAAATTCAATGAGAAAAGTTATTATAATAATGCAAAAAACCTCCTAATATACTCTCTTATATTAAGATATATATTATTAAATAATTCAGGACATTATATAAGATAGTTAATTAGATGTATAGGAATTAGTGAGGGGTAGTTATGGCGGGGTAAAAATTAGTGGGAAAATGCCAAAAACGCTACTAAATAAATAATTTTAGTAATACCACTTAATCTTAAAGTAATATATAGATGTTAGGTGGTCGAGAATACTTTAAAGTATTAGTACTTAATAGGAGTATAATTTTATTAAGGCGTTGATTAAATATTAATATTTTTTGGTTAGGCGGTTGAGTAGTTTGGGCGGTTGGCCAGTGGGGTTAACCCTTCTACGTGCGACCTGATTTACTTGCAGATTTGTGGAGATCACGAATTGTCTGAGAAGGGAATTCTTAAGGGAATTTCTCTATTGGTCAACGGCTGTTTGATTGGTTCTCTTCTGATCTCATAGAATCCGCTTCCCTAGCGCAAAATAGAAACAGAATCAACTAAGCCATTATGGACTCTAAAGACCTGACACGCGGTCTCCTATAGACTTTCTTTGGTGTTTCCTTTGCTTCAGACTCCTCATCTGTCGCCTCGTCAGTGTCCGTGTTCTCGATCTCTCCAATGATGACCATAATGAGCAGGCAGCCAAGTGTGGAAGAGCAAGTGAATTGACAGAGTCCAGTATTGAGTCCGCCAATGTAAGCGTAAGAGGGATCACCAGCCGTAAGCCCAAAAGATGCGAGAACCAATCCATTGCCAATTGTGCACTATGTAATCCCGGACCCAGAGACAGAGGCCAACGTAAGAGGCCACATCGTTCCAAAGCATAGCAGCCAAAGTATCTAGCAACGCAATAACCTTTCCCGGAAAACGCAGCCAACGGAATCTTTAACGCCAGCCATAACGCCTCCCATAACTCCATACTTTATGCATGCAATCGATGTTTGTAGAATGGATGAGGAATTTATGCCCTGGTGGTGAAGTCGGTCTCGGTTGGCAGGAGTCCGCCATCAGAGGCTTTCTCGCAGGTGCATGCATCTGTAACAGTATCAGTATATTGGGCAGGGAGCTCGTATGACCATGCTAAGGAAAGGCAGATAACTTACCGGCCGGGCGAGCACCACAGGAGCAAAGCGAGCCGCTTGGTGTTACGTTCTCAGTTGCAGCACGCTCACAAGTGCATTCTCCTGCAGGACGAGCACCTGTTGCACGTCAGCAGGTTCTTTGAGGTTCTTCGTCGCAATGCATGGAGGCAGACGTACGGCATGAGCAGCGTGGTCCCTTGACTTCGTTCTCCGTCTGGGCTTTGGCACATGTGCAGTGCAGTGCAGCCTTTGCACCGCAAGAGCATTTGGCTTGAGCTGCGCTAGAGGAATGTCAGCTGCGAAGACGAGGAAGAGCAATCATGTCCTGCTTGCGACGTACCAGACACAACCCTCCCCGCTCTTTCCACAGCAGGTGCTTGGAGTAACCATTTTGATGATTGAGGTTTGTATTGTTTGTAGTGTGTGGTGTGAGGTTGAAGTTGTATTGAGGTGTTTGCGACAGTAATCGAGGTCGAATGTTTGTGTTGATAGAGGAGGAAGAGCTGCATTTGAGGGATCAGGCTTTCCCCTTAAGTACTGCATCAAGGATGTGATTGCCCAGCCTTGCCGATGTGTCAGGCGATGCTTTGAATTGGACGATCACTGATTGGTTGATTGAGGGCGCTAGTGTCCAAGTGGCGATTTTGCCACCCCCTCACCTTGAAACTCGGGTAAAGTGACATCCCATCAGCCACTCATCGTTCTTCTGATTACTTTTCAGCTTCAGCATGACAATACACAAAATCTCAGTGGTCAACTCGTCATGAAAAAGGTTTGCTAAGTGGCAACCTTGTCCAGAGCATGGAGCCAAGTCTCCAGCTCTCACCAGGCGAGACTCTACCAAATCAAAATCTTTGAAATCCCTGACATATATGAGATACTCCAGAAGCTCATCCTACCGACGAAAAGCGAGGGAAATGCTGGCTGATGTACTTCTTTCATGGACCACGAGGCCTAAGAGTTATTGATTACTTCCCATAGTTGCATTTCAAAAAGGCCCCGACAAACACCATCGTACAAATCACATTGAATGATTCCCAAGCGGGAATTTCCTAGATTTCTCCCATTCTTGGAGGTCCTGCCCTTAAGGCTCCAGACATATCCCATCGCCAATCGTGCACGAATACTTCCGAGCATTTTTTCTTCTTGGCATCGTGTCAAGTGGCATTTTCTGAATGGAAGCCTTGTGCACCTTTTGCATTGCCTCATTTCGACTTCTTCTGCTACCTTTAGACTCTATCAACACCACCGAAGATGCTAGCAACGTCCTCGTTGCGGTAAAACAAAACAGACTCTAAGAAAGGGTGGCTAATTCGACAAAAAGAACCGCTGCGACGAATTCTCCACGAATCACGCTATCCTCCCGATCACCAAAGACCAGAGTGTAGCCATCGCGGGTATTATATGATTGCACTATCCAGATCACCAAAGACAAGAGGTACAACAGGATATCGTACATGCACCGTCCAATCACTAAAGACTAGTGGTACAAGGTTATGTGTTACTAGGACGCTCCAGTCACCAAAGACCAGAGAAACGAAGCTATAGGTAACGTTACTAACGTATTCGTAGAGTAAGGAGGTATCGGTGGTAGTGTGATTGTAGGTATTGTAGATGTAGAGGAGACATAAGAGTCATATGCGTAAAGGGGAGTAAGGAGTTATTGGCGAGTAACGTAATTGTGGAGTATCCTCGCCTACTCTTCCTCTCCAGAGTCTTCAACGAACATGCCGTCCTGTGTTATTGCAAAGCCCGGTGGAATGTCATAGACCTTCTTCGTAATCTCGTCCTTGAATCTGCTAGTAGCAGTCTTGAAGTAGCCCGGAGGCACTTCGAATCGTTCCAGCTTCAGTGTAACCTCCTTCGGGGTAATTGGCTTCGAGTCCTTAACAAGCTTCTGCTTCGGAGTAACGTTGGCACGTCGGGCCTTCTTACCGGACGGTTGCGGCTTCCTGGCTGGAATGTCATCCTCGTCGTTGTAGTCACCGTCGTTCTCCTCGGGGGCCGAGGGAGAGTGGTAAGCCTCCTGCTCCTCCGTGACCGCATCGTTACAAGTTTCTAACTTAGGTCGGGTTTTACTACCCAGGATAGCCTGGATCCAGTTAGGATATAAATTCAGGCGCAGACCACCCTCTCTCTCGCGGGGGGGGGTTATCTCGATGGTTAAGTCTCAGACGACGAGGCACAGGTACACAGCAACCACACCACGGTGTCCATATGCCATAGAACATCACATATGTAAGTTTTGTTGCCTTCATCATTATGGAATACTCAAATGACAATGCTCCAGACTGTGTCAACCCTGACAATAGCAACAAACCCCTCCATTTATAAAGCCTATTCCACAAATAAATCAATGAGACGCCACCCCTGATGGACCACCTGTGGGAGCTGGAGCATCTTTGCTCAACTTTGCGTCTTTAAGGTCAGCAATCTGCTTCTGCAACTGTTTGTTCTCCTCCTTCATATCCTTCATAGACTGCACACCATTGTTACTATTGTCGATTTGTTGCAGCGCAGTCTTCTCATTGCTGTTGGAATACAAGTCCGGGTAATCTGCAGCGCACGCATCTCATCAGTCGCCACTCTCCCACTTCGAACCCTCGATCTAGGTGCAAGAGATGACTTACTTGCCTGCTGGTCGCTCTTTGCTGCATCAAACAGATGCTCACACAATTGGAACTCTTTGAACGGATCATGCTCGTTCTGATCTTTAGTATCCATGTGCATAAACCGCGCAAACATGCGCTCCTTATTCTCAATCGTCTTCATCACGTTCTGGAACTGGTCCCTGGACCGCCGCATCCTGACCGGCAGACCCTGCCCCTTCAACAACGCCATCAGACCCGCGAGAACTGCATTCGTGGCTCCCAAAACCGTCAGCGGGATTTCATGTCCGTGATATGAGGCGAGGGCTGTGATTGTTGCCGCGATGAAGATTTGCAAGCAGTATAGGGCGTTGATGAAAAAGTTGCTAAAGTTGAACCAAACGCTAGCCGCCAGTGCTTCATCAAGCGCTCGTCCATATATCCCGTCATTCCTCACTTGCGATCTGAAGAAAAAGTCCTTCACGCTCCTCGAAGGCCGTCCCGCAGCGGGAGGAATATCTTGTCCGTCTGGACCTTTTTCAGGAAGTCTCGGCTTCTGCCCTTTTTCCAAGTCTACGATTTGTTTTGAGCGGGTGCTGTCCGTCGAGAGGATGTGATATGGGGTTCTGATCCCGACGAAATCCTGGAAGGTTCGAAGTTTCTGGAGTTGTTGCTCCTCGGGGGTTGGGCTGCTGTCGTGTGAACGGTGGTCTTTTTGAGGGTCACCTGTTGAGGATGCGGCGTTATTGCCGTGGTCCTGGATGAGTGAAGATATATGGTCCTTTTCAGTACTGAGTGGCGCCATTGCTTCCTCTCCAAGATGAATTGAGCCCATTCGATCTCAAGGAAACAGCCCTCGAACGAGTATTTTTCGATCGCTACCGGAGGTTCAGATTGAACGAGAGTGAATTCGTACAAGTACACGAGGCTGACGCGCTTTCGCCCAAGAGTCAAGATTCGCTCTCGGATTCTGTTCGTCTGCTACGCCCCAAGTAAGCGTGTTCCGAGAAGGGCGTTCGGATAAGAGTTCACTGCTCAAGATAAAAATTCAAACGTTTGTACCGGACCCGAGCTGTCTTGGAGCTTCCTGGGCTTTTATCAGACTTTGGAAGACAGACCACACCACCATTGCGTGAGGCGTGAAACTTGTGGAGCTGAATTGTTATGGTCTCTGTAGCACGAGACCTGCAGGCCAGTAGTAGAGGAGGTAACATTGCAGTAGCTTCTGGTGTTGATGCAGCTGCATGTGGGGGACGAGTGACAATTCGCTGGAGTTGAGGTTGTGCAGGAGGGCTGATTTGGCGCTGCAGCTTCGCGGGTCTGAGTCTTGCTTGAGGGCATTCGAGAAACGGTTCTCAGCTCTCTGGGAAATCCTTATCCCCTCAACTGCTGGAATCAGATGATCATAGAGGGCAAATCTCCCTCAAATTTCAGAACTCAATTGGTGGATTTTCGGTGGGCTTTTTCGGGCTTGACAGATCATGTCAAGTGTGAATGAGGCCTTTGGATGAGGGTGCACGCGGTGGGTTGTGTGGCGTGCGGGTGGTGGGACTTGGAGCTGAAAAGCCTTGGAATCAGCCACAGGCGCTCCCCGATCCGGACGGGTACTTTTGGTACGGGGTAAGCCGCCATTGTCTCAATGGTCCTCCTTGCAGCCATTTGATGATTAGTTGTTTCTATTCGCAGGATGGTGGTTTGGCTGCAGGAACTCAGCTCATGCCCGGAGTCGGGCCTCCGTGCAAAACATTTTGGAAAGAAATGTCCGAATATACACAAACGCCAGAAATTTTAATGAATTATATCCTCCTTCACCTCTTGGCATCGTCCTTCGCCTTCTCAGCCAACTTCTCGGCCTCCCCTATCCTCCTCCGCAAGACATTCTTCACATCTTCATACGCACCCATCAAAATCCCCTCCCCCTGCTCCCCCCTCTTCTCTGCCACCTCTTTCAACTTAACCAGCTGTGGCACAATCTCACTTCCCCCAGGGATCATCTTAGCATACTGCTCAATACTCTGCCCAACCCCACTATTCTTCGCCTTCTCTCCCGCTTGCTTCACAAACCCCTTCAAATCCTCCAAATTCCCCGTCTCCGCCGCCTTCTTCACCTTCTCAAATACCTCCTTGACATTCCCTGACTTCAATGTGTCCGCATTCTTCTCTACCATCTCCTTGACCTGTGGGTTCTTATCCAAATACGGCTTCGCCTGCTCAAGCCCCTTCTTCCACGCTTCATCCCCAAGCTTCTTAACCTTCTCCGTCTTCTCTTCTATAACTTGCTTGACTTTCGCAATCATGTCTGCCGAGAAGCCACCCTTGATCACGTCTTTGATCTGCGTATACGTCTGCTCCAACTCCTTCTTCGCCTCCTCACCACCATACCCATCAGTCATCTCCTTCAACTTGTCGAGATTCCCGCCAACTTGTTCCTTCAACTTCGGATGGCGATCCAATATCTCGCTCGCGGAATCGGACGCCAGCTCACCGAGTTCTGTGATAGCTTTTTCCAGGATTTCCCAACTTTTGGTGGCAGTTTCCATGCTAACGCCAGATTTGGATGCGCTTTTCAACTCTCCATAGGTTCTTTCGACGATCCTGTTCACCTCATCGCCGTGCTTCTCTTGGATCTTCTCTAGATCCCCGAACGCGCTGTCCACATACGGCTTGGCACCGGGAATGAATGCCGCGTAGCTGGTGGCTGTGGACTTGAGCCATTGCAGCGCTTCGTTTGGTTCTGGTGAGGAATTTTGAATCGATTTGGTGAGGGAGGTGAGTTGTTGTTTGGTGGAAGAGGCCGCATTGACGATCGACTTTGCGCCGGAGAAGTGATAGTAGGAATAGCCTGCCTGATGGGAGGTTAGTCAGGAATAGGTGGGGGCTAGAGAATAAAGAGTTAGGAGGCAGGGAAGGTAAGGAGACAAACAAGGAAAACAAAGCCTCCGCCGGCGAGGCCACCGACGAGACCAGAAGAACCGCCTGCTGCAGCAGCTTGCTGTTTTGTGGTTGCAAATCGGAGTTGTCGATATGTATTGCGAGGTCGCAATTGACGCGCTACTGCACGGGTTGCGGTTCTTGAAGGGAGCATTATGATTATGAAGGTACCAGGTTCTGAAAATAAGCTGGAACGTTGCAGCGGTATGAAGAACTGAGAATTTGAGAAAGAGGGAAGACGAGAAGGGAAGAGAAAACTCTGCTTTTACCACATGAACGACGGAGCCATTTGCCCTGTCAGCATAGCTTGAGCTGCCATGCTGATGTGTAAAATCTCCTTGCAGACCTCAGAATCCGTGTCGTCATGGCGCGCAGTGTGGGGAACGATGTCATTGTTTTTGCGACCCTTCAATATCCAAAAAAAAAAAAAAAAAAAACGCCTCAATTTAGTGTTCAAATGTTGAAACGCCATGGCTTTCATCGGTAGCTGTTTGAAGAAAGGATACCCGCTGCGCAGGTATATTGATGCTCGGGAGAAGAGAGAGGAAGGAATTTGATCAATTGAGTTGCAGTTTTTGTCTGGTCAGGGGGATCTGCGTTCACTTGCCGGGATCCGCCACCCCGCAAAACAAGGGAGCCAAGCTGACGATGAATTAATGTGCCACAATCACTTACTGTATCATTGTATGGAAAGGGACACCCTGTGTATTGCGGTGGACTTTGCAGAATACGCTGTGTTGAAGTTCTGCTGCAATTGGGTGGCGGGGAAGCTGCTCGGTAGGAGCCCCTATTCCCTTCAAGCTCAAGCGAGATTGCTTCGGACTTCGGATGAGAAGACCTGAAAGAGCAAATTCCCCGACAGGCAAGTTTATTAAGGTTTGTCTCACCCCCGTGAAACTGCGGTCTACCATCCCACAATAATGCCGAAACGTGTTTAGCATCTATTCTTCTAGGTCTCGTCGCCTCCGCTGGCGTCTCCAGCACGACCCCAATCCAAGGCTTTGCTTATGGTTCTAGAGATGCCGACGGCTCTACTAGGGTCCAAGCCGACCCCCAAGCCCAGTTCTCCACAGCGAAGAAACTGCTAGGACAAATGGCGCGCTCTCGAGTGCGCGTCTCTACACCACGGTCGTAAGTTGAGGTTTTATCCACTGATTCCTCTCCAACTTAATTGAATCACACAATAACAATACCTTTTGAACAGCAAAATGGTTCCACCAGCGATCTGACCGAGGCAATACCCGCCGCCATAGCGGCAGACACAGCTCTTCTCCTTGGACTATGGGCTTATGGCGACCAAACATTATTCGATGACAAAATCGCAGCCCTCAAATCTGCCATCTTCAAAATTCGGCACAACCTTTACCAATCTCGTCGTTGGCATATCCGTTGGCTCTGAAGATCTGTACCGCATTTCTGCAGCTGGGATAGCTGCTAAGAGCGGACTTGGAGCAGGCGCAGTTGTGCTCGTTAGCTGTATCAGCCAAGTCCGCGCCGTAGTAAAGGGGACTGGTTTAGCAACTGTCCAGATCGGACATGTTGATACAGTTCCAGCATGGGCGACTAATAGCAATTCTGCAGTTGTCTCGGCCGTGGACTGGCTTGGCGTAGATATATATCCCTATTTGGAAACAGAGACCGAGTTGGACAGCGTCGACAACGACTCCGGTGTTTTTCAAGACGAATATGGCCCAACTTCTGACGTGGGGAAGGGCAAGCCAGTTTGGGTAATGGGGACTGGCTGGCCGAATTCCGCCCCTTAGTTTTGCAAGCTATCCCGAGCATCAGCAATGCAAAGAAATATTGGGATGATGTTGGATGTGGCTTGATCGGAACGACGAACACCTGGTAGTTTACTCTTGTATCTGCCAGCGTTAGCCCTTACTTCAGTGTCGTGGCCAACTCTTAGACTTTCAATCCATTGTCCGACTGGAGTTGCGTTGGCGTAACACCTAAAGTGTCGCCTTCTTCTCAGGTTAGTGAAGCTCTAATCTCTCCTGTTTGTTTACCTTCTTGTCAACTTTTCTATTGCTGGAATCTACATCTCCTCTTGCACACATCGCATTTTATTCTCTTCACACCCAACGTCTTATCCTCTTTCACAGTCTGTGCCAATCCCACGACATGAGGTGGCAGCCCCCCCCCTCCCCCTGGCGCAGGTACAGTGACACCTGGAAGCACATCACCAAGCACTTCCAATTCAGGAAAGCACGAGTCATTGCATCTCTCCGGCGGCGCCATCGCTGGGGTCATCATTGGCATTCTTGTCATACTCGCAGCACTTGCCTTACTAGCCTTCCTCTCCTTTCGAAGGAAGCGTGCTGCCCGCCATGGCTCACCAGAGCTAAAGAGCGGAGCAGAGCCTCCCAGAAAAGCGAATACCCATGAGATGTCAGGATCAGGTAAGAAGGAGTCGGAGCTACGGCAGTACCCTTTTTAGCGTCAGGGTATTGATGCGTCTTCCGGGGCGTAGAGCTACTAGCTCACCTCTACCAGCTTTATTAGGGCGGCTTACATAGCCGCACGATGCAGTTAGGGCCTGTGCCTGATGCTATTGTAGCCACTCCTGCTGTGAGAACAGTCTCCTCGCGCGGCGAGTGCACAGTGCGGTGGCGGGGATGGCCTTGTATAATTATCATTCACAATTAATGATATACATAACTGCAAGCAAGCAAGAGAGTTCTTGACGGCTGCCAGTGATGCCATCTTCAAATCACGAGATAATTTCTGATCTGTGGGCTGGAATAAACCAGACCTTGCGGGAGGAGACTCCGCGAGTAAGCGCTTCCCAGTCACTAAAGAGGCGGTAGATACTATCTACATTTGAGCAATCATACTGTTGTTATTTGTATATGCTTTGTAACGCGTACGCTCTTTAAGCTACAACCCAGAGGATTGATAGCATCAATGCTCTGAAGATATCTATACAGACGCCGATTATGGCTTTCCGTGGAGCCGTGGTTGCTTAATTTAGTCAAGCATTTTGCACGCCTCGCAGACCATCATCAAGGAGCACAATGAGATTTATTTCATACGAGAATTAGCAAGTTCAAGCTAGAAGGCTACGACACAACGAGGTCCCAAAGATTGGTTGCCATTCCTCGAAAGGATCTCACATTGAGACCTCAAAACTGAAATGGCAACCACCATTTGGCAACTTTTGCCGGCGATGGATCATATCGCCTTGGAATCCGCCGGATGACATTCAGTTGGTTTATCCCTGCGGAACTGCCTAGTCCAGCGAGGTGCGGCCTCAATCCCCGGCGCTTTTACCATCCTCCCCAAGGCATATTTTGCCTCACTGCACTGTGAAGGAGTAAGGGTGGGCGGGTTTGGCGATCAATTGGATACACGTGGTACGATGTTGGGAATGATCAACGCCTGACCTGAGGCTCGATCTTCTCCATAGTGAACTTGGACAGTGAGGCTCCTTGCTAGTTTCTAAAAGGAGGACACTGAGAGACCAAAGAAAATCCTTGCTTAAATATAAACCCCACAACCTTGCTCTCATCAATATTCAATCATACAGAGATGTCGAGCCGTTCAAAAAAGTCTTCGCGAAGAAGCTCAGCAAGCACGAGGGACCAAACAACATCTTGGTCGGAATGGCTATGGAGCGAAGAGCGGGCTCAGTGGTACAAGTATCGTTTGGACTCCAGGGGGGAGTATCAGTACCAGTATCAAGACCCTGAGACTCAACAGGTTCTTGGTCCTGCTACAGCACAAGACAATACATACAACCCCGCATATGTACCAGCAACCACAAGTGGACAAGACCCAGCCGTAGATGAATACCAAACCACGCCGACACACGCTCCTGCAGAAGGTTCTTATCAAAGCTCCTCCTATAGTTCAGTACCGACACCGGCAGTCAATTCTTATGACGAAGACATATACGGGTCAACGCCTAGGCCCATATCAACAACAGAAGGATACCGCAATAATCAACAATACTATCCGGTCCCCAATGATGAGGGCTACGGAGACGACTACCAGACTCACCAGACTTTCAATCAGCCGATACTGGAGGGGGATGAATCAGAAGATTCAAACGAGTCGTACAAGGAAGTGGTCCCAAGACCAGATCCACAACCAGGACCGGTAAGTCCATTTCATTCCCACAGGAGAAAGTTTGAGCTGACTGAATCAGTGTGGTGGTCAACATGGGTGCCCAAATGGATCGAATCGAGACCCAGACGGTCCTGATCCTAGACCTCCGCCATCCGGATACGCTTCTAGAAATACACCAAAGTATCAGGCAAGAGGCTCGAGACACAGGAGGGACTCGACGGACAAAGGGAGCTCTAGTTCCAAAGGGAAAACCAGAACCCACAGCGGGGCTAATGAACCCGTAATCATGGGTGAAACCGAGTTCGACCCTGAGAAAGAGAAAGAATTCGCAATCTGGGAAAATGAGTACAGCACATGGAAGGACGTAACTTGTGCATGCGGATTTGGCTATTACACCGCTTTGGGAGAGTGGATTTCAGGTGCAGACGTTCGAGCGGGACTGGCGCCACCGAGACCTCAGCAAGACACGGTGGAAATGTAGGGCATTGAGGTAAGCTATTCCATTGCCATGTTGGCAAGATGTGTTGACTGATATTCGAAGCTCAAGCAGCCTCATGTTGAGGAAGCTGGCGTGGTAGCAGAGGCCTGTGGGAGTCGGGGTGCAGAGAGTCATGCGAAGACTTGTTGGAAATTGCGATTGGCCGCAGTTGTCCCCGGTTATTTTTGATTGCGTGGTGTATGCCTGATTGCTGTTTGTGTAACATAAAAAAGAATGCATTGGATCTGAAACGATTTCCGCTTCGCCCTGCTAACTCGGTGCTGATGCTTATGCAGGAAACCGGTCAGAAAATTTTAAGCCTTGCTGAGACCCAAGTCTCCTCTGCGCCCAACTTCGGTTAAAACCACTAATGTTCTAAGATATTGTTGCACAAACCATGACAGGGTACCCTATTCCGCCGAGCCCGATTACAGCGAAGTCAGTTGTGGGGGGCTTGCGCATAGTAAGGGTGCCCGCCCGACCTTCTCAAACTAGCCTCGTCGCTGTTTTAGAGTAGAGTCGCATGCGACCCGGGCTCATCGTGCCCTCAGCCTCATCAAGCTGGCATTTATCTCATGGTAAAGAAAGGTACAAGAAGTACGAACCCCTCCTCAGGTTCTTGCGGAATAGTCGAGGTTTGGCCCGAGTGTTCGCAAGCGGACCCAATGGAATCAATCTCAGCAGATCAAACGGACGTCTCGACCACCATCAGTTTCCCGATGGTTCCGTTGAGTCGTCTTGACTTCACTTCGCCCAGTATTGCAAAATGCTGGCAAAAAGGCGTCAACGTATGTCCCAGGGGATGGACGGCGTTTTAGAAAAGAGTGTTAACAGATCTAGATTCATAATCGGGGGTGCAGGCCGAGCGACAAGAGAAGGATAGATAAAGATTCAGTCGAAAATCATTCTGTGTGCACCTTTGATCAGTTTCACAAAGCTGCAATCGATGCCAAAGAGAAATGTCACTTGTCGCGTGGTAGATTTCAAAGAAAGCTCGAGGACTTTATAGGTTGTATTGAGCCTTACTTGCCACTTGTGGATTTCCTTACGCAACAAGAGCCCCACACTAGGATTGTCTGGGGCGGACTTCGTTGCCTGATTAGAGTAAGTTGGCTTATAACTGCATCCAAGTTCTTGCACATATTTGGTTCATGCTCATGAGCCAGACGTCCAGCTGCTAACAAGTCACAAAGATTGCATCTCAGAAGAGTGGGGTTGAGAGCACGATCGAGGATGGGATTGCTATCATACTGATAAATATTGGAACATGGCACCAGAATATTCTCAATGACCCCGAAGGGGAAAGCACAAGTGAAGCCAGCTCGCATCTCTTCGGTTCTGTTCTCAGTTTTGTAATCGAAAGTCGGCTGCATCATGAAAATTCAATAACAGGTTTGCTAAGCGTAAACGCAGATCCTGATTCAATGGTTGGCTAATTATTGGAAGCGAAACTCTGGGCTGCAAGCTTCACTAAACTTCCAGAAGTAATTCGAGGTGCTCTTAAGGCGATGAAAAGTCGTTCCGACGAGCAACACAGAGCTGTAGCATCAGCTGAGACTGCGAGTAAGTCCCCGACTGGCCACAAGTGTCACTGGCTCACGTTGACTCGTTCAGGAAATAACCAATTTCGGAATAGTAAGTCACGAAAACCCGAAGTAACGTAGTAGTGTTCATTTAGAGTAGCACGAATTCGCTATCTTGCAGTTCAAGAGATATTGGACAATGAACAGAGCAACTTCAGAGAAGGTATGTCATGCTTCGATAATCGAAACCTATGCTATGGCTAAGTTGATGCCGGATACAGAGACTCGAAAAACTCACCGACTACTTCAAGATACGTTGGAAGAGATGAGTAGGGTCGCGCTTGAGAACAAGCATCTAGACAGAGGTAACTGTTCTTTGGCTCACAGTTTCACATGATGAACTCTAAATGAATATCCTAGTCAAACGGGCAATCGAAGTTGTGGAAAGTGAAGCCAATATTCCTCTCGTTCCAGAAGCCGCTGAGGGAACTTGCGATTGGATTTTTGAGCATCCCAATTTCCTCGAATGGGTAGGTCAACAGTGTCGCAAACCCCTCTGGATAGGTGGCATTCCTGGTAAGCCGCTCGCAGGACAACCCTGATATCACTGGACCCAGTGCGCCAACAGGACTAATTCAAATGTCAATTTAGGATGTGGAAAAACTGTTCTTGCCAATTTCCTCCGTCAACATACCACGCCTTCGCAAATGACTCTCACTCAGTTTTTCCAAGCCTCCAGAAACAAAGAATCAACAAATGCGAGGTCTTTGGGGGTTTCAATAATCAGCCAACTTCTCAAAAAGGAGCTCTCTTCCCCGAGACCCGACCATCGAGAAGTAATCGATGACTTGGCCAGCTTCTGCCTAGAAATTGGCTACGCCAGTCAAATGATATTTCCTAAGCTTCGGCACATCGTCGAGAAGACTTTGTTGGCAATATCTCAATATACATTGATTATTGATGGACTCGATGAGTGCTCCAATATTGCCGATATCTCAGAATTCATCGAAGCTCTTTTGGAATCAGATTCAAGGACCCTCCCGTGCTCGAAGATTATTCTTTTATCCCGAGAGCACGATGGTTTGAAAGCCATCAAAGAGAAATGTGTTGCAATTGCAATGGACGAAACTGCTGTGAACCCTGAGATCTATCGTTTCATTGAAATAAAGGCCGTCCAGCACCCGCAGCTACAGGCAATTCAGAAGGACATACACGAAGAGGCAGAGAAAAGCGCTCATGGATCTTTCCTCTGGGCCAGTACGATGATTGAGTGTCTGGTACAACCCGTAAGATCGGAGTGGGAGCAACTCCAAAGACTGAAGAGAATTCCTGCCGGTATCATAGATTTCTTCGAAGACTTGGTCATTAAGTCTGGGAAAAAGAGAAGCTTGTCGGAGCTCAAATTAAGACGCGAAATGCTTCTCATCCTTTTGAGTCCGCAGAAATTTCTTACTCTTGATGAGTTTGCAGTATTTCTTCAGTTCAGGCATAGCCGCCGACAAGAGAAAGCTAGACGCTTGCGAGATATACGAAATGCAGTCCTCGACCTTTGCTGGCCACTGGTATCAGTGATAGATGGTTACGTTACCTTGTACCACATGAATGCGGCGGAATATCTGCTTACGGAAAAGAAGAAAGGTGCCGAAGAACGGTTTTCCGTCCATATCAAACTGGAAGAATCAAATGCAACCCTTGCTATTCGGTGTCTGTACGTTCTTTCAGAAGAGCAAAACAGTGCTCCAGGGCGTATTGCTTATTGGCTCTACAAGAACACCTACCCGGAATACAGGGCCAATGCTTCTGATGTTGCAGCCCAAACCGAGGCGTTCGTTGACATCGTGTCATACGAATATGCGGCAAGGTACTTTTTAGACCATCTCACACAGGTGGCAAAACCTTCAGAAGAACTTCTGACACAAGTCGATTTGTTCCTTCGGAACTTCCAGTTCGTGAAATGGGCGGAATATTTCTTCAACCTCAAGGGTGAGAACACCTCATTTTCAGAGCTTTATGGAAACCTCAAGTCTTGGTGGACCACTTTACCAATAGATTCAAAGGAGCGTTTACGTAAATCAGTGGAGTCTTTCTTCACAATTCCGTATCGCAGCCTGAGTGTGTATTACGCCGAGGAAAACCAAGATAAACTTTTACAGTACCTGTGTCTTTCTCGCCTGGGGGCCTACTACACATTACAGATTGAAATTGATGCAGAATATGAAGTCAGGAGAGAAGTAGCAAATGGCCTTGTGAACCTCTTAGGGCCCAGGAATCCTCTCACCTTGAGAGCAAAAACAGCCTTGGGGTTATGCTATACTGCTAGAAGCGATTTCAGAACAGCCTTGGAACTGTACAAGGAAATATCCTTAACGCAGAAGGAAGTTCTTGGTCTTGAACGCCAAGACTATTGGTCAACTCTCACCAGCATTGCGTTTGTCCAATTTCTCATGGCGAATTTTGAAGAGGCTGCGACCACGATGGCCGAGCTCTCCGCAGGCTGGAAGAGCATTCCAGGACTACCTACTCGCTTCCTCATACTTTCGAACAACTTAATCGAAGGATACATTTATGAGGCACGAGAAATGTTGGGAGAGGCCATGAACCTATACCGGGTTGTGTGGAATGATCAGACCGAAATCTTTGGAGAAAACAACCCAATGGCATTGTATGCCCAGATCGGCATGGGATCGATCCAGCGCAAGCAGAAAGAGTACAAACAAGCTATAGCGAACCTGGATCATGCTTTCCAAATCCGTACACAGCTTTGGGGTCTCGAAAACGGCTGGGTGATCGACCCTGCTATTCAGCTCATTATCTCATATCGCGAGAACGGGGAATTCGATCAGGCCATGGCTCGAATTGAGTTGCTATCTCAATGCGAATTTCTGAAGAGAGACTTTGAAAGAAAATGCCAGGTCAGGCACCTCGAGGCACTTGTTCTCTACGATGAAGAAGAACTTGAGGAGCAGCGCTTAATTTCGGATGGGGCTGTTCTCGTTGGCCATGAGCAATTTGGAGAATCACGAAGAATCTTACAGGATCTTCTACATGAACAAATTGAGAAAGGGAGGGACGCCAATAACCGCTCCCTACTTTGGATCCGTCTGACACTTGCTACCCTTTTGAGGGCCGTTCAGCGAGACGATGATGTTGCACCATTGTTTGATGAAATCGTCACGCCATTGACAGAGGGGCTTGTTAGCCCTCAATTTGAGCATGTTGAGTCGCCTCAATTGTGGAAAGATGCCGAGAAGGCGTTACGATTAGTTCGAGACAGGAAAATAGATGAAGCGGACCAAGAGCTTCGACAGAAAGGTCTCCGCTGGGTGAGGGCAGAGGACTTCTGGCTTTTTGAAGGCGGTCCCGGAGTTGATACTGCTTGGATGAAAGGTCCATGAGCGAGGAATATCCGTTCGGAGATGGGTCTTCGAATATCATGGCATGGTGGTAAGTCTTTGGATCTGAGATTTTCTTCTGTCTTTGAACCCTTTTCGCTTCTTGCCTTCTATGACATCTCCTATTCACGTCAACCCCTCTATTTATCGAGAATATTTCTTATAAGCAATATTTTTGGGGCCCAGTTCAGAGCGTAATATCCCAGCCGCACGAAACATGACATATTATCATACAAGATATATCAATTGATGACAAAACATTTGAGGTAGTCTTACAAAAGTTGAGGTATACACGAAAGAGATCTAAAACGCCCTTATCGAACGCCGAACAATACGCTCAGAAGCAGTGTGGGCTCCGATAGGCTCGATAATCGATAATAAATTTTTATCAGAGCCCACACTACTCGGAAGGGTACAAACAAGGGAATATGCCAGCAAACCGCACCCAGACTAGCAATCATGCACCCCCAGTATTCATCTCCATGACTAGTCTCTCCCTTTTCATCAACACGGCACTCACGAGTGCGACCGCTCCAGCAACAACTACAAGCATATATGTCTTGCCAATCGCCTGCACAATAGCCTCAGTAACGCTCCCCCTCACCTCTTCACTAACACTCTCAAAGACCGCACTCTGTGACCCCGCAATCGCACTCCTGACATCCTGCTCACTAAACCCCATTCCCGCCAAAATCTTCGTCAAAGACCCGAATGCTGTGTTCTGGAACACCGCACCCGAAATCGACAATGCCAGAACGATACCTCCAATCTGAGCGACGTTGATAAACCCAATGGAGTCTGAGATTTTGCTTGAATGGACTTTGACAGGTGTTATGCTGTATGCTGCCTGACTTCCGATTCCAGCACCAATTGCGATCAAGACCGTGAAGCCGTAGATGGCGGAGGTTGAAGTCGCGGAGGTGACGGTGTACATCAGCGCTCCTCCAATAACCGCGAAGACCCCGGAGACGACATAAAAGGGAAAGTAATATTGTACCAGAGGCATGAGAATCCCTTGGCCCATGATGAACGTGATGTCCACGCAGATGAATGGGAGAAGACGGACGGCGGCTTGGAGGCCTGAATCACCGCGCGAGAATTGAAAATACAGCGGGATAAAGTAGACGGGGACGAACAGGGCAGCTCCTGCAGCTGCGGATGCGATATAGAGGAGGATCATGGTGCGGGATTTGAGGAAGTCGAGGGGGAAGAGTCGATTGGTAGGCGTGGTGAGGATGGAGAAGTATTGTTGAAGGGAGAAGAGGATGAGGATGATGAAGCAGGCAACGAAGGTCCCGATTGTGCGGCCGCCTCCCCATGCCCAGGTTGTACCGCCGAACGTTAGTGCAAGAATGAATGAGACGTAGAGTCCTGCGTTAAGGAGGGCTCCGATCCAGTCGAGCTGCTTGAACTTGGTGAAGGTTGGGACTCCTGGTTGTGGCTGGTAGCTAGGGATGAGGATCATGGCTGGGATCATGAGAGCGAAAATGACGAGGTTAATGTAGAAACTCCACCTCCAAGTTGCTCCGCTGTCTGCAAATGATCCGCCGACCACAGGCCCGAGAATGGTCCCCGCTCCCCACACGATGCCGACACCACCCATATAGACAGACCGTTCCTTAAGTGAGGTGTTGAGGGTAATGAGGTTGAGATTTCCAAGGTACAATCCTCCGCCTCCAATTCCAGCAATCACTCTGCCGACGATGAGGGCATCCATAGTTGGAGCTGCACCGCAAATGGCGCTCCCGATGGCAAACACCGTGACGCTGCTAATGTGAAGCCATTTGACGTTGAAGATACCATATGCTTTGCCACTGTGCGAATCATCAGTACTAGACTCAAAGCAGGGAATAGACAACTCACAGTGTCAAGATGGTAGCGATAGACCCTAGTGGAAATCCACTGCCAAGCCAGGCAAGTTTTGAGATATCACCAAAGGATTCGATTACAGCAGACTGGATATCTGCTGCTATGGTGTTATCTAGTCCGTAAAGAAAGCCAGAGAAGTAGAAGCCGGCGCAAATGATGACCCATTTGAGTCCGGTCACAGTTCTCACAGGTCCTTGTATTGAATCTGGAATTGTCGATCCTTTCTCGCCGTCCGGCGAGACGTAGGGTCCTGATGTGTGGCCTTCCTGGAGTTCAAGCTGGGGTATGTTGCTCATCGTTGACATTGTTGGTGCTGATGAGACGGGAATAGACTTCATTGAAAGTAAGTGTAACGTTGATCGGGAGAAGGTTGAAGAAGACAGAGAACGCCGGGGATGTAAAGCTGCTCGAAATGATCCAAAACGAAGGAACGGGTAGAAGTACACTTCACTCACGGCAGAACCTCCACACCGCTCAACGTCATTTGTAAACAAAAGAGAATCTTTTTGAGTATCATTGTGTTTATCGGCGATATTGGACGTAATCTGACAAACCAAATGTACTCGTAAGTGAAGAACGCCTTGGCTGATAGGGAATGCCCAGCGGAATTGCAGTCATGGCTACCAGAGAATGCCTTCGATTGAGGCAGCTTCATAAGCAAATCAGTTGTAGCCGCGTCAATCGTACGGAAAGGGTCACTTGAGACAACAAATGTTATTGCGAAAGATATGAAACGAGAACTCGTAAAAACGAGATGTGTATTTAATTCCCGCATTGGGAAAATGCATGAGGAAATTGCGTGCACGGGCAGCTTTTTCGGAGATAGGAAGGTCTCCACAACGGACGTAAATTGAGCTCTATTAATAATGTACCAGAGAGGCTCCAATTACTGTGTACGAAAAGGAGTGGCTTGCCTACAAGTCTAGCAATTTAGCATATCAGATTGAAACTCTGCTATTTAATCGGGTATGAATCTAGGAACCCCGAGCTCCCCTATTTGCCCTCAGTTTTAAGCGAGCTCGTTTGTAAGGGGCAACGGAAAGGGAATATAGGTAGAGCAAAAAGATTTTGAATGAAGAGAAAAGGAACGTACTCAAAGCCCCCTAAGAAGATTTGATCCAACTGTTGGCCATGTGCCCATATGGAAAAAATTAAAAATCATTTCGCCCGATGTTTCTCTGTCTTCAGACAGAATTGGTTAGCGTCCTCTGAAACCCCACGTGACCTGGTGACACTAAACTTTTGTGGCACGACGTCCTCCCTTCCTTGACGCGTTTGCGACCGAAGCAAAGTAGACAACATTTCAACATCGCTCTCCACTTGACCGACTTCTGGTCCCCCGTAGAGATGGATGAAGATCTTGAGTAAGATTTTTATTCAACTTGCCCTGAATCAAGCGAGCACATAACTAACCCACATCACAGACGTGGGCTCGTGGCGTCTTTGTTGGAACAAGCAGGTCAAATCGATGAAGATGCGCAGCTCCAGGAAGCCATTCGACTTTCCAAGGTCGAGACTAGGGTAAACTCTTCTACACCCGTTGATGATCAGCTCCGTGAGAGGAGTGCGAGAATGAAACGCAAGGCGGAAGAGGAGCTACGGCCATACAGCGTAAAGCGCACATCCTCCGCTTCTCTCTCCATGAACATACCCAGCACCAGATCTTCAAGGTCGACCGCTCTCGCAAAAGCACAAGACAATGAAAGCGAGGCTGTGCTGGACGATACCAGTAAAGCAGCGACTTGGCCGTCCGGTCCAGGCTCGGCGGCAGGGGCAAAGGCTCCGAAGAGAAGCTTAGCTGCAACTAAAGAGATTTCCCCCCCTCCATTGAGACGGAAAGTTGCCACTGGGTGTAAGTTCACCGCTGGCTGATAAAGCTCTACCAAAGCTGATAGCATGCGCCAGCTTCCCTCCCTTCAGCGGCTCCATCAAAAGTCAAGATTGCCTACTCAAATGGCGCCCTTCGCATCACCCGTACGCCAGGTCGGACAAAGACTAAAAATTGCGTCAATCTAGAAGACGTGATTCATAAGCAGCATCTCGTGTCGGCCTGTGTGTTCTCCTTCTTTATCAGCGAGGAGGAGTTCTATGGTCATTTTCCTCTTTCGCATTCTTCTGATGCAGTGCCTGTAAGTGGCTTCCTCCCACATACTACCAGGCTCATTCCAACTGACATCAACCTTGTAGATATACATTGGCCGAGACGTAAACATGGGTAAGAAATTTGGCTCTTCTATCTTTTATTTCCACCCTGTTATTCCCCACATGCTTTGTTTGCGCCTGAGATAGTCCAAATTTTTATCACTGACTTCTCGGTGTTCCTAGATCCGATGGTTCAAGAAGCATGTCACCAGGCCGGCATATCCTTCAAAGATAAAGACAAACTATCGAACAAGCAGCTGCAAAGCATCCTCCCCACTCTCCACCAGCTTTCTGGCCAGCGGTACGGAAAGAACTACCATGCCTTCTACGCGTGGTCTCCCGGCTGTTCGCACTCAAAAATACTTCTCCTCGTATACTCCAGTTTCCTGAGACTTGTCGTGACTTCATGCAACATGATGGATATCGATACTGTTCTAGGCGATAACCACTGGTACATGCATGACCTGCCAAAGCTTTCCTCGCGAGCCAAATCCGAGCCCTCCTCGTTCGAGGCGGGCCTCTTGGCACATCTGCAAGCTCTGAGTACACCCAATGCTTTCCTCGACTCCATTCGAGGAATGTATGACTATTCCGCAGTCAAGGTGCATCTTGTCACTTCCGCTCCCGGTGTATGTGCTGGTATCAAGGCAGAGAAGCATGGCCTTCTTCGTCTCAGACGCGTCATCCAAGATCTCAACCTGAAACTGCCTCAAAAAGAGAGCGGGGATTTGAGACTCGAAATATGCGCAGCAAGCATCGGCAAACTATCCGCCAAGTGGCTCAGTGGCTTCAATGATTGTGCTCTGGGAAAGGGAACGATTAAAGTCGCTGATGAGGGCTGTGCCGTCCCAGACTTGAAATTGTTCTACCCAAGTGTTGGGGATGTAAGTCCCAAGTTCTCGGAGTATCAATTCCTCTCTTAGCAATGCCCAACAGCTCTAGGGACATTCTACTAGCAATGTCCAACAACTGCTGGAACATTCTATTTCCGAAAATACCCGAAAGAATCATGCTGACTCCGATTTCTTGGGAATAGGTCAAGAAGGCACACGAGTCCGCTCAAAACGCAGCTAGCAATATTGGGTGCGCCACACGTCCGTGGGACAATGCTCCAGATGGAATCAAGAACATCTTCCACCACTATGAATCGAAAGATACCGGGCGGCTATATCACCAGAAGTTCATTATGGCATACAATCCCCGAGACTCAAAGGCTCTGCCGTATTTTGTCTACATAGGTTCTGCAAACTTGTCCCAGTCCGCATGGGGTGCACTCGAGCAAGACAAGAAAGCAACCGAGGCGACCTGCAATACGAAGCTTATCAAGCTGAGCAACTTTGAGTGTGGCGTGGTGATTCCTGGCCACCTGATGGAAGGTTTGCTAGAGCCGGGCACTGAAGGTTGGCAGAGTGGTATCGTTCCTTATGTCCAGACTGGAAAGCGGTACAGTCTACCCAAAGATAGACCATGGAACGGTACGTTTTATTCCCACCCCGACGTTGTGTTCTCTTTAATTGGGAGTTCCGGGGCTGGATTGAGTTCTCGGGGTTTCTCGAAAGCTTGCAGCACCACTCCGAAGAGTGATTCTGCAGTTCTGTCTGGACATTCAGCACGCACATTTGCTAATGAATCGGCAGATCCGAGGTGGGTTCAGAACTGGCAGGAAGACTACCGAGGAACCTAGTCTCAAAATGTCTAGGGTGGGCTGTATTCTCGAAGTGTTATGGCTGAAATTAGGCGAGATACCCCTTTTCTTCGATCCCGGAAACTTGCAAATTCTGCGAACATTTCATATTCCAAAACCTCGCAAAACCGAACCTGCACCGTGCACCTCGAATATCTAATACATTGCCAGTGGCTTGGAAATTATCTAGCCCCCATATTTTAGCGACATTCTATCGGAAGCAGCTAGGTAATCGCGAACGAAGGACCTTTAGCTTGCGACCGCAAACGGAATGAATTGCATCGCGATTGTAAACTGGATGGTTTATCTCGTCGCGGATATAACGGTGCTAGTATTTTCCGAACCGTACATATGACATCTTCAAGAATAAGCATGCTCCCGATCATGTTGGTCCTAGGTGCGGGTGTTCAAGAGCTACAAATCCAACGAGGTATCTGTCCTTGTTGATAGTTTTTCTATATATATTTTTTACACGAGATTAACAACGTGGACACAATTATGACAGAAGCACAGCAGCGGGAGGCTTATACCCTTCCCCCGACGAACGATTTTGTCGGCATGCATGGAGTTCCTTACTGGCAGTGGGTTTGAAACCCTGAAACTCTACTAATGAATTATTTTTCCATTTGAAACCCAAAATTTCGTTCTGAACCTGAACGCCCAATGGTGGCATTATTCGAGTCTGTTGAGGAAGTCAAACACTCTCCTCAGTCTTTTGTTTGGATACTTTTGTTCCATTCCGAGATCTACTGTGGGAACTTTTATTTTAAATAAGCTACCGTGCCAAGATGCCTGGGTCAGCAGTGCCCTGGCCATTACTGTTAGTTGTATTCTTTGTCATTATTAAGGCCTGAAGTTTCTGAGCCGCTGTTTGGGTTTTGAGAAGCAGTGTCACCAGCTTCACCTCACTTCCGTCCAACAACCCTCCAGTTGGGATTGTGGGTCATGTTCGCCTAGGCGAGGTCTCAAACTCAATTAAGGGCGCCGCCAGGTCCAATATTTCGAGACAGAATCGCAAGACTAAGCGATTAGGGTCTAAGTGTTATGGCATTGTTTAAGACTTAAACACAGTCTTACCTCTTACACATAGCATTGGGGACGGCTCCACTTTTCCTTATGTGAACCAATCCCATTCTCGCCCTTGACATTGACACCTTACTCGTGAAAAGAGTTTAAAACACAAAGAAGTATGATCTCGGGACAAGGATGTATCTCAAAAACTTACATTGAGCACAAAGGCTTTGTGTGAGTCGTTGGCGCTATGAACCTTCATGGAAAAGCAATGAAGGGGCGGGCTTTCCTCGCTTGCCTCGTTAGGCATGTGAACCCCTGAGACTTGAATTTTGCTACCCACGAAGCTTGCCTTCCTGATTAATTCCAATTTTCAAATTTCTAGAACTTGCGTGCTCATTCTAGAGAAATCGTATCTTTATACTCCAACTTTCCTGACGTTCGGGCCACATTCCCACCCCTTATACTCTCCACAACCCCCCAAATCCCATCATGCAGCACATCACAAACGCCCTCCCTCCAAACCACACTCCTCAACCTCGCTCTCACCTGTGCCTTACTCTGGACCACGATCTGAGGATGCATCTTCCACACCAAAGCCACGGCATCCTGAACCTGAAAACCTGTACCTCTTTCTAATTCGCTTCCGCTCTGTGCCTTTTGATGAGGCGGATAAACAGAGCTGGAGGCGGCGGAGCAGATGAACATAAGCCAGAGGAGCAAATCGAGGGCTTCTGGGGAAGAAAAATCTGAAGGCGAGAGCGAGGAGATAAGAGAGAGGATTTTGGAGGCGAGGCGGAGGTGGAGTTTTGAAGGGTTGGGGAAGGATGGGAGGAGGCGGAAGGTGAGGTGGAGGTAGACGAGGGAGGCTAGTGTGAATGCTTGGGAGAGAATTGATTGTTGCGTAGTCTCGGGAGCGAGAGTGGTCGCGGTGGAGAGAATTAGATACTCTGTATTGGTAGCCGTGGATGTGGCGGCGTGCTTTTGATAGGGTGTTATGTTCGGGAGTGAGACCATGTAGGATATTTGTCGGAGTTTATGTCGGAGTTGAAGGGCTTGATCGTCGAGGGGAAACTGCCGCTGATCTTGGGGAAAGAATTCGGCATAGATGTCTAGATTGGATACTAGGCATGGATATTCGGGCGGAGTACCGAATCGCGTTGAGTAAGCAATGTCCGACCTTTGGAACTTTGTTAGCCACTTCGTCTGCCTTTGAAGTGTATTTACTTACCACGATAAGACGCGTACCACCGGGTTCTGCTCAAGGCTCCAGATTCCGCCATAGACGTTGACCATCTTAGCGAGGCCGATCTTATGTGCTGTTGCCGCCTCGAATGATCCATTGATAGCCTGATATTACTACTTTAGCATACGATCCAGGCCATGGCAGGTTAATCTTACTTCCAAGATGACCAGAAGTGCTACGGATGTGATATCTGCATCCGTGACTTTGTATGTTTCGTCGAGCAGCCGACCACTCATGAGCCTCATCACTTCTCCTTTGTGGAACAAATTCTCGGAGGAGTCTTCCACTCCGCGCACAAGATCTTCGTGCTGGGCCACCAAACATAGAGTTGCATGCAGCAGTGCTGGGTCTGTAGCGCTGAAAGGCTTCCAAGTATCATCGTAGTTGATTGCAAACGCGTTCGCGATGAAGCCCGTGTTGTCTGCGCGAGTGTTGTTAAAGTGGATGTGACAACTAAAGAGGAAGTGCATACAATGATAGAGTAGTTGTTGTGTACGACTGCTGGATGTGGATATCGGTAATCCTCCATAAGCATGTAATGAAGCATTGATGCCTGTCTAGTCGTGGCTATTGAGAATTTGTATGAGGTCTGGCTGGATGTGCTCACCTGTGTGAATTTCGCGGCATCATCTCCGGCATTCTCAAATACTTGTTCCACAGTTTCATGAACTGGGTTGTTCTTCCGCTGCTTCTTCATTTTCCAAGTATTCAGTTTGAACTTTCCAGAGAGCTCTTTAGAAGTCTTGGTTTCAGTTTCTGCGGTCCTTTGCGACGCGGATATTGCTTTTTTCAACCTCGGGTTCCTTCTCTCGTGGACAACTGCCTGCATAGCATGGGAGCGAACTAGATATGAGAAATCGCTCTTCTGAGCTGCAGGCATTTCCGTCAGAGTTATAAATTCAAATGGTGGAGGTCGCTCAGGAAGATCTGTAACTGTCATTTTGCCGCTGGGTTTATCATCAGAAGAACTGCGAATACGTGTTTGTGTTAAACCAAGTTAATTGTATTTGGCAGCTTTGCATCTTATTCGAGAGTATGAAGACAGAAAGTACATGGAGATGGACTTACTGAGGCTGAGTCTCAGATCTTGCTTCCTCGGATCCAGGATTCCGTCTGAATATGTCATCTTTTCGAGGCATGATGAACCGAACAGAATAAAATTCCTATGTTCCTTTGATAACTTCGGAGATTCATAGCTTGAGACAATTTAAAGAGCCTTGACGTATGGTGAGTGAAGCATGGATAGGTATAAATTCTGTTCACGTGATTTAGATTTCTAAGCACGATACGTGGAACATTGTCTCAACGGAGGGACCTAGGAAAAGGCCATGATCACGAGAACTTTCTGATATAATAAGCAGTGCGCCGTCGTACGTTTCCCAGCGCCAAATATTCGCACTTACGAAAGTTCGGCCGTATCAGGGGCGAGAGAATACTGATTAGTGAACGACGGCATTGCCCCAAACCGGAAATTCGGCGAGACAAGGATGCCGGATATAGAAAACATGGTGAAATGCGGCACTCACCGGTGACTGACCGGTAGCCGGTATGTACCTCCCGTATAATAAGAGCCTCCTTACCTCGAGGCTTGACCATGAACTTTGGCTGGGCTGGGAGACTCCTCCCTATTAGCAACTAAGTTACTGTCCTTGAATTTGATTCAGGAGAAGTAAATTGGCTATCTTTGTGTGTTGATGAAATTGAGATAAGGTGACATTTTCAGGCGGAACAGCTAGTACAAACATGAATTAAAGTCAATTGTGTTTGACCTCCATTTACCACGTCCCCGCCGTCGGCTACCTTTCGTGAAAACTTCTGGCTCTCTACCAAGGGGTAAGTTTATCTATATAACATCTGTTAGCACGCTACCTTCTGCTCGGGGAAAAGGCAAGACGAACCACAAGTGTTTGGATACCAACTTACGCCAAAGTCGTTAGTTGTGATCGGTCCTTGAATTGAACAGGACGAGCAGTGCGTCCAGATTTCGTGAGTATCATAAGCAAGCTGAAAGTAACAAAGGCCAGCACCTTAGACGAAACACTATTTTCAAAGACATATGAGAGCATCTCGACCGCCCCAGCTGCCGCAGCAGACACATGGTGGAACCTTACGGAACGGGCCTCGTTGCAGGTTCGGGCTAGCGCTTGCAATGGTGAGGCTGCTTGAGAGCAAGACGAGGGAGAGCGAGGTGGTGATGGAGGGGCGCATTCTGGCGAGTTATTATTAGCGAACGTTTTGGAGTGGTTGAAGTTAAGAATGAGAAAGACTTAAAGATTAGAAGATATCAATAGCGGAGAGAAGACTCTTTTGCCTCTGAGTGGCACCGTAAACATCTCTCTCTTTTCTTCTTCATTTCAGGGAAGACGCAGAATTAATTGATGTGGGCTTTCTGCATAGTGTCGAATTGCGAAAGGGGCTGAGCGTTAATATCGAGCTTTCCAACCAACATTTACAAGGCACAGAAGCAGATTAAGGCACAGCCTGTTGAAAACGGCCAAAGAAACACAATACTCACCGGCAGGGAAGGGTACGGGAGTGCCTCGTTCGCCCCAAGACTGCCGCGTGGCTGAGCCACATCGCTGGAGACAAGTGGGTATCGAAAATCGGGATTTCCGTGAATAATTTGTTGAATGCGAAAGCTGGGTCTTATGGAGTTGGTAGGTTCTGTGCAACGAACTGATTTGTGATCACTCCATGTATATAGACTCTCGTTGCGGAGATTTTTGGGAAACCAACTTAATCCATAGAGGAGATGTGTTCACCGAAAATGGAGATTTCTTCGTTTGGTAGCCGCGGCGGACATAAAAAGCGGCACCGATTGTCAATGTCCCATGTCGAAGCCGTACATTTGGCTGGACTTAGATGGGCACCAATTGTGTCCTTCTAGATCCCCGAGATAGTCTAGGTTGGAGGCCGTAATTCTACAGCAAGTCAAAGGAACATTCGTTGGGAGTTTTTCTGAAACATCCCGCGTTGACTTGGGACATTGAGACTTTAGTACCGCTTTTTCTGTCCACCGCGAGAGTAGGTCAACACAAATCCATCTTTAGTTGACTATTCTGCCCGTGCTGTTAATACTGACTAGAGAGAGTATTGGATTGATGAAACTCACGGTCTGACATCTTTGGGACGACTCTCAGCCCGCTACCAAATGACCGAGACCGCGGGTGAGTCATGACAAATCCCCAAGAGTCCCGAACTCAATTTCAATGTCGACTACAACTACGGCACCAATGGAGAACTACTTCGCTCCTTCTCTGTTAAGTTCAAAATACACAAGAAATTTTCGTCTCCGAGAGCAGGGATTCTACTTCTCGACACAAATTTTCCACAAACGTTTCATTATCGCAAGTCCAACTTGAACGAGAACAATGCATATCTTCCACGAACTCGAGCAACTGGCTCTCGATGCGGCAAACGCACCTGCTGAGGGAAAACAAGCGCATTCCGTAGACACAGCCATCAGGTGGGAGAGATTGTTCAGATATTCGCACGCTGATGCGGTAGAGATGACAAAGCTACACCGAGGGGCTATTTTTCGCTGAAGCGGGTGAGCGATGAGCACTGGGCCCCTCATGAGAGAGGAGAACGAAACAAAAGGATATGATCGCGAAGCCTATGAGTATGAGCTTGAGATTGGGCAGAGATCGAATCCTGCCTCGACGAAGACGGAGGCAAATCGAGTGAAGCGTGATGAACGGAAGGATAGGCATTTCGTTAAGTAGGGGGGATTGACGCATGATATCATTCGGGAAGCGTCTGAGACCAAAAAAATTCCGGAAGTCGAGGGAGGAAGTTGTGAGGATGGCGACGAGGTTCTGTGTTGTAGATTCGGAGACCAGGCAAGCTCTCCTCTGCCGGTTTTCAAGGGATAGATTCGTCAGTATTCCGAGTCCCGCCGAGAAAGATCTCTTGAATGAGTTAGTATACCCCACTTTGGAAGTCAATATCACTCTTCCTCAATTTTGGCCAAGCACTTGGGAGGAAACGTTCCGGCCTGCTCAGGATGAGTACTGGTGTGGTAACTTTTTCTATGGTTCTCTTGCTGGATCTAGAAGTCTTAACTCGCCATCTATCAGTGATCGAGGAGCCGGTACTGCACCCCACCACCGTCACTGGAGGAGTGCTCGAGACTTGGGGAGGGAAATATCTCGCCTTGGTTGATGGACCAAAGAATGCGAGGTTTTGAGGATCTGCATTCCAAGTCATGACAAGGGAACATGAGGATGAACCGAGAGCATATGCGGCGGACGCGTATGAGGTGGCCAGATGTATCATTGAGTTTGAGGGACGCGTGGAGCCGGGGTGTACCTTCAGGTTTGTGGGACATGGATCGATGAGGCGAGGTGCTATAGATGAGGTGAAGAAGCTGAAGACATGGCTATGAGAACAATACGAAATAAGCCTTGGTATTCTAGAACTCTTACTATTCGTGTTAAGTTTTGGGTCAGGAGTTTACAAAGAGGAAAGTAATGACTTTAGTGTGAAATAGGACGCACAGAGTTCAACCAAAACCCATAAGGGCAAGTCAGAGAGGCTGGGACGGATCAGAGCAGCATGTACCTATCCCTATCAGATAAGCACGGGGTATCGAGCTTAAAATCAGATAATGGAGGCAATAGCAGTGCCTGGAGTCATATCAGAGTCTCAGCGAGCTTTCACTGGCAAGCTGTTACGCATCGATATGACTGTTTGAGAATGCGGGCAATAAAATCTTAGGAATTCAATAGATGCATATATATGAAGGCGCCTTTCACTACCAAAACGCGATCCACGCCCCTGAAAAAGTGCACTCTTTGAATACACTTGATGTTGATGTTTGCAGATGTTGAAGCAGAAGTTCACTCAACCGCCAACGGCTCCACAGTCCAGTCCCACATGAGGCTGGGGCGTGTCTCATTGGCCACAACATCAAGCATCCACTAGCGGCTCCCCCACCCATCTCTTCACCGATCAGCGACCTCATTTATCACCAAGAACGCAACAATAACGTCCCCCGCAAGGAAATCAGCTTTACCACAGACTATTTACTATCCCTCAGCAGCGGGCGACGTGATTGTCAAGACGGCAGTCAGGTCCAACCCACACGAAGTTGATCAGACTTCGAACACCCTCCCACTATCAACGTTCAGCCTTCGAGTCAACTCGCTGGCTCCTTTGTCCGCACAAGATGCTCCAAGGGGCACACGTTTTCTCTCACCAGCACCAATATAACCCACAAGGCGAGCCGTCATGGATGCATCAGCAAAGTCACCATCAGCACGCCCAGCAAGCTGCTGCTGCCGCAGCCTCCGCCGCTCAGCAACAACACTACAACCGCATCGCAGCTAACCACAACCCTGCTGCCCCTTCCATTGCCTCCGCACATGGTCAGGATAGCATGATGGAGACGGTCTCGGAGGAGAACAGGCGGACCTTGAACTTCATCGCCGATCTGTTGAATGAGGACACAAGGGAGGCGGCTCTTTTGGAGCTGAGCAAGAAGCGCGAACAAGTCCCAGAGCTGGCTTTGATCCTGTGGCATTCATTTGGTACGTATGCAAGCTGAAATGGTGGTGCTGGGGATTCTAACATATGCCAGGTGTCATGACATCACTTCTTCAGGAGATTATCTCTGTCTATACATTGCTCAACCCTTCTCAGCTCACTGCTGCTGCATCAAACCGAGTCTGCAATGCGCTGGCGCTTCTACAATGTGTGGCATCCCACAACGAAACCCGAGCTCTGTTTTTGAACGGTATATATATTCCCCACGCCTCACTGTCCAGGCCCTGCTAATTTGCCCAGCCCACATCCCACTGTTCCTGTACCCGTTCTTGAACACCACCTCTAAATCGAGACCCTTCGAATATCTACGACTGACCTCTCTCGGAGTCATCGGTGCTCTTGTTAAAAACGATTCTTCCGACGTCATCAACTTTCTCTTGACGACCGAAATCATCCCTCTCTGCCTCCGAATTATGGAGACTGGCTCGGAGCTCAGCAAGACCGTGGCTATATTCATTGTCCAGAAGATCCTTCTTGATGATCATGGTTTGAATTATATTTGCGCAACATATGAGCGATTCTACGCAGTCGGAACTGTACTGAGCAACATGGTCTCGCAGCTTGTGGAACAGCAGACGGCAAGACTCCTCAAGCACGTCGTGCGTTGCTTCCTTCGGTATGGATATCCGCCCTTGTTATGCGGACATGGAAACTAACCTTTCGCAGACTCAGTGACAACGCTCGCGCTCGTGAGGCTTTGCGCCAATGCTTGCCCGAGCCCCTTCGCGATGCCACCTTCTCCTCCGTCCTCCGCGACGACGCGGCTACGAAGCGGTGCCTTGCGCAACTCTTGATCAATCTATCCGACAATGTTGTCGAATCTTCCGCTAATCATCAGGGCATCTGATGCAGAACACTCCACTCCCCTGTACCATAACACACCGATTCATACCTACGACCGTAAGGGCGCGTGGGGTTTCCATCTTCGGTTTTGCATAGACACAACGATACCCGGTCTCTATTTCGGAAAATGTTGCCAGTCTGCAGCTGGCTATACAACGGTTCTCATAAAAAGCATTGCGGAAAGTTTGAGGTTCGGCTTTGGGGGTGTTCAGCGCGTTCGAGATTTGGGAGGATGGCTTCTCTTGACTTTAGCAGGACTGGAAATGATCACCAGATCAGCCCAGCTAATTGCCTTGCTTATTTCTTTCCACATTTACCTGGTGTCTTTGGCTTTGGTCTCTTGCATTGTGCGGCTGGCGTCACGGGTCGACGAGGGAGCTCAACGGAAGCTTTGGCGGCTTAAATGAGCGACTTTGTAAAATAGGAGGGTCTTCAGGAATAGAAGGATAATGATGGCATTCCGCATGACTCCCGACCAGTGTGACCGGATGAAAATTCGGTGCGATGACGAGTCAAGATGCAGCCAAGACGAGAACTGTTAGGGCTGAGAGCAGCCTTATAGCAGAAGTTCTGAGGAAATGACCTCGACAAAGCACCTCATCTGTGTCACAAGGCTGTGCTTTGCAAGCACATGCCCTTAAGATCGGCGTTAGTTGAGGCTATCGGGTTCGAGGCAAATGCAACATTTTTGGAAAATTGCTACATGCAGAATAAGGTTGCCTCCTCCTAACCCCCACTGTGGAAGGACCGGAATTCCTGCTCGCGCAAGCATATGCGCCAATCAAAGTGGCTGCTCTGCAACTGTTTACCCGGCAGAGGGGCCTTGAAGCGGAAAATTCATTTCTCCAACGCAGCGGTAAGTTTGAAGTCGGACGGTAGGCATCATTAATAGGCCCTGGATGTCGGCCGATGAATAATCAATGCTTGCCCAGGTGCGGAGTTTTGCTTCAGTGCGCAGAAAGTCCGCAAAACCGACCAGGGTGGCATGGCCAAGCGGCCGGAGATGCACGTCAAACCGACCGCCCAGTCAATCGGCTTCCCGTGCGGCTTGATCAGTAATCCTTTAAACTGCCCTCGGCAACCTAAATACTCGAGCCGGAAGGGCGCTCGAGTACAGTCATTGTTCGGCAGCTTACCAAGCGGTGGACTTGCGTGCGCAGGGACAGTGTGGTAACATGGGGTCCACGTGTGGTGAAGCGACCGCCTGGCTCTGCTCACGGTCATTGCTGACCAGCTCTACGAAGTATAAGGAGCCGCGTCCAACAACGGGACTTCCTGAAGCATGGAGCCCTCCTTCAACTTCCCGCAGGATGACTTCGCTCTAGCAATCCTCACCCACGCGGCAATGCAGACCAATCACGACCACAACACCCCAAGCTCTCACACTAGCAACTCCAATTCTGGCTACAACCGATCGTCCGGGCCTAGTTCCACTTTGACAGGAGCCGACGTCCGGGGTTCTTCAGCAACGTCCATGATCAGTAATCGCAACCCCAACCTTGGTATCAATCGCAGTCAGGACTCCAGCCTTGCACACTCGCGGCCTCAAGATATATTAAGCTACACATCCGCAGTCACATCGTCACGCAGCATGGAGACTCTCACGTTCAATCCAGCACAAACCGGGAGACAGAATTCTTACATGGGGCCAACGTATCGCGGCATTGGGTCCCAGATATCTCAGAACTACGCCCAGAGCCTGGGGATCTTGAATGCGGAGTCGTATGATGATGGGCGAGCACAGCAACAGTCGGGAGAGATGCGGTTGAAGCAGACCGCGCCCCCGGACCCATTGTTGCAGTTTGGCATGATGGAGACTCCGGAAGTGAGAACGGATAGTGATGAGTTGGACAAGGGGTCTAGGCGGCGGAGGAAGCACAAAATTGACCATCAGATTGAGGACGATGACGAGGAAGCAAGGAAGAAGGCTCGTGGAAGGCCCAGAGTCGATACTAAGGATGAGACTGCTGCTGATGTAAGTTCTATCCACCTCTTGATCTATTTCCAGCTCTGCCCAGCCAAATGCTGCATATTATGTCGATCTTGGACATTGAAAAATCTTGAAGAAAAGCAATTTCTTTTCAAATATCTTCGTCACGTGTATCTCCATGAACTGGATGCTGATGTGCATTTCAGCGGAGGAGAACTCAAATACGAATGGCCCAGAGAGCCTACCGCCATCGTAAAGAGACCACTATCACCTCCCTGGAAAAGCAAGTCCAAGACTTAAGAGGTACAAATGAGGAGATGAGCAACATTTTCATCAGCCTCTATGATTTTGCTGTCAGCAAAGGGTTGCTGCAGCGTGAACCCGAATTTGGACAGCAACTTCAGTCGACTACTGAGAGATTCCTTGCTCTTGCAAAGTCTACTGCAAACGATGAAGAAAACCATGATGAACACAGCAAGGATGGGAAGTCTGAACCGGAATCCGGCCGAAAAACCAAAAAGACCAGGACTTCTCCTGAGAAAGTCCAGGAGTCAGAAGCTTTGTCGTCGCAACCATGGGGTGGATACTTTGCAAAGTCCGAGAGTCCAGTAGAGGAGACGCAGCCGCAGTATCTCGAGCAGCAGTCTTACGGCCAGAGAAATTACCAAAGAGATTTGGAGATCATCACTCGACCTACTGAGGATAATGCAAGCTTTCCACTTGATCTCATGGATCTCCAAACATACAGAGTCGATGTTCCTCCTGTCGAGAACTTCATGCAGGACTTTTACTCTGAAGCACAGCTGCCGCTTCCGAACACTCACAACTATGCCGAGTTTTCCTTTGCCAGAAGAATTCAACGAGGCGCGATCGAAAGAGCCTTCAGGCTCATTACTGCCAAGAATCCACCGCAGATCCGTTTCCAGGAAGTCTTCGGCTTTTGCTTCCAGTATGAAAGTAGGGAGTCCGTGGAGGCTAGATTGAAGCGTCTTATTTCCAGCAGCGCAAACGAATCCCTCCAAGAATGGAAGGCTCCGTTTGTCCACGTTGGTGGTGCCGGCACCTTCTACCCGATGCATGATAACGATGTAAATGAAGACTTGATGCCCAAGTTTCGCACTGGGTACTCCATGGGTCCCTTCTCGCCATCTGTCGCACCAATCCAGGAGAAAATACAAGGAGGCATGCGGCTCAGCCTCCCTGGCTATGAGGGAGAATGGTTCGACCCGAACGATGTAGAAGGGTATTTGAGGGGCCGTGGCCTTGAAATTCCTCCCTCTGCGGATTACATCACTGCTGAAATCGATCTTGCGATCCTAGGAGAGGTTGGCAGCCCTCACAGCGATAGCACAATCACCACTGTATCACCGAGAACACCACAAAGTCCACTCGACAAAATGTTGGCGGACGGTGGTAATATGACCTACAATTTCGAATTCGCTAAACCTGAAGGAAAGGCTTTTCCCTTTCCAATAGGTTATGCGGATTGGGACAGCAATGTCAATGTTCGGGAAGCAAGCAACATCGATCCCATCTTCAATGTCGCTCCAAATCGAAACAATTCAAACAATACGTCAGACGTCAATGCGACCGAGGTTCCACGTATCGAGAAGCGCTTGGTGACGGTCAATATCAAAATCTTGCTTGAGTGTAAGTCCCCTTGACCCAAAAGGGGAGACTCCCCACTAATTTCTTATAGCAATCCTCGATCATGGGGTCTGTTTAGGCCGGGCTCCTGGCTTTAGACCGTCTGACGTAAATTCTGCTATCATTGCCGCAGTGAAGGCTGGATTTTGAGCGCGCTATCGACTTTTATGGTCAAGCTCCCGCCAGGGCCCGTTCCGTACCAGTGGAACTACACGATTATGACCCCAGAGGCTTCGGTTCTTTGGGACGCTCGGAATTTGCAAGACTGGCGAACCAGACACATGTGAACCTGGTCAAGTAGAGTGAAATCTTTCATCGTTCGCCGATGATACCGATATGGCCTGGATGGAAATTGAGAATGAAAGTCCGAGCAGGACCACTTCTTCCATACAACAAACACACACATTACACTCAATCTTCTCTGGACATTTCGGCAACTTAACATCATGGCATATCATCAGAAAAACGACTCGGGGATCTGCCTCGAAGGGGATTTGGACCCCAAACAACCACAGCCCGCAAAGGATTGTGGACTGAATCCATCAATCACGTCCGGTCCACCGCCACTCTACCCACGAATCTGCCGAGGCATTCACTACAGTCAATTGACCAAAAGCGAACGATCAAGATGGCTCCCCGGTTGGTTCAATATCCCAATCCTACCCCACGAAAGCTCAAAGGCCAAAACCCTCTCGGGATATCCAATTCCATATTTTTACAACATCGCTCCAAAGCCAGACTCTCACATGAACCAGCCACCTCGAGAGCAACTACAGCCAGTCAACAAGGAGCCCCTTGTCTCCGAACCATCTGAACCAAAGCGGCGTAGAAATCCGCGGCAGGAGAAGGCTGAACGATTCTTCGACATGTTTGGTGGCAGGACTCCGAGAGGGTTTGAGAAATTCCTGCGAGAATACCCTTCCGAATATGAGCATGAGCTAATCGAGTATCTACGATGGCATGCTGCGGAGGTCATGGAGGAGCTGACCATGCTCTCTCGGCATCACGGACCACTGCGTCCTGATCCATGTGACCGGGCTCGACCATCTGGGCCGAAAAAAGGAAAGGAGGAACTTCCCGAGCGATGGTTCAATAGTATTGAGGAGGCCTGGGCTCATAGACCTAGACTTGCACAGGACGATTCACCAGAATGGTCCCTTTTGTGGATATCCTGATGTGTCTATCGGAGAGGGGGTTTATATTTTTGTAATATTATTATAAGAAGGAAAGAGCTCCTATCTCCTATCTGCCTTGGATTTTAGTCTGGCGATACAGCGAGCGGGCGTTTGATTGAAAGGAGCACTGGAGCGGCGGCTGTGTTGAAGGCTTGGAGTCGGCGGTATGCATTGCATGGAGTTGGTCAAAACAGCGTCTGGATCGGTCAAAAGGCGCGGAGAATCAAATGCAATTAGTTTATATTCAATCTTCCAACTATTCAGTGACTGATGCCAAAAATTACTTGCAACAAATAAGGCACTCTTTTCTTCATCGAATTTGAGATGCGCACGTGACCGGTCTCAGAAATAAAATCTTGAGCTCCATCTCAACATCACAAACTTGAAGAGCTCAGCAAAGCACAACAACCAAATGAATGCCACTCCACATCATCCCCCGTAGGATATTCGCCCACCGAATAGCATGTTAGTCTTTCCTTTCTTTCTCGCATTGGCCCAACCCCTACACCAAAGCTCTCCCAATACAATCAAAGCTAACACATCAAAAGGCAAAGCACTCTACCGCGCATGCCTCACCCAATTCCCCCGCATCCCTGCCCCAGATGACGTCTCATCACAAGGCGCCGTGCCTCTCCTCAAGCACCTAATCCGCAAGGGCTTCAAGAAGAACATTCATGTTACCTCGTCGCGGTTAGCGGTGCAGGAGTTAAAGAGGGGATATGCTGTACGTCTCCCTCCCTATTCCCCATCCTCTCTCTCCCCGCATACTAATAAAATATCCATATCGTAGGCCGAAGAACTCCTTCGCAATGCTGGGAACGGGAACAAGGTCGCCATCGCGCAGGTACATGAAATCCTGCGTCAAACAGCCCGCTCAAGAGACCTCTCGCGCCTCGCCAGTCCCCGCCGACCACGTTCCGCTCCCACACACAACAGCACCATCCCGGCTCCTTTCCCAGGCGCGCCAAAAGTGCTCGATACCCGTCCTCTGCCCAAGGAACAATTGAGTGGGAGGAGGAAGGTCCCGACTTTGACGGCGGCGAATTGGCTTCCTTTTCTAAGGTTCAAGAGGCCGCAGAGTCGATACTTGGGACGCGTGTTGAGGGATAAGTTGGAGCAGAAGATTAGGCGGTGGGGGGCGGTTGAGGAGTGTGATGCGATGATGGAGGTTGGTGAGAGTGAGGGGGTTTGGGAGGGGAAGATTGCGAGGCAGGTTAGGAAGGAGCTGGCGTTGGCTGGAGAAGGCAGGTTGGAGGCTGGGGAGGAGAGGGTTCGAGAGATGAGGCAGTGGTTGGAGGATGGTGAAGGGAGGGAATATGGGGGGAGTAAGGAGAGGTTTTATGCGAAAACGGGTGGAGAGGGCGGGAAGGAGAGGAGGAGTATGTGGGCTGCGGAGGCGGCGCGGCAGAAGTGGGCGCTTTGGGAGAAGGTTAGTAGGGAGAATAAGTTGAGTTTGGAGAGGGGGAAAAAGATGCTGGAGATTGTGGAGAGGGAGAGGGAGTTGTGGCTGCAAGAAAGGCAGGAGAGGAGGGATGAGAAGAGGGCGAGGAGGGGGAAGGGGCCTGGGGGAAGGAGAAGTGGTGGGAGTAGTGGGAGTGTTAAGGAGGAGCAGGAGACAGTGGGGTATAAGCCGCTTACTTGGGAGGAGGGTCCAGAGAGGAGGTCGATGCCCATACCAAAAATGCAGCATAAGGACACAAGGCCCATTCCAGATTTCAGGACTGGCCAAAGGAAACCCGTTACAGGCCGTAGCTTGGAATGGACACAGTGGGAACCTAAGAGCGCCGATACCAAGCCGGAGACAGAAGAGGATATCATGGAGAAGAAGTTGAAAGCCATGCAACTTTCACAGCGTAATGCAGAAAAGGCGTATAAAAACGCCGTACCTACGTTCTAACAAGAACCAATACTCCACACAAATCACAATAAATCAATGCACAAAGAGCATGCTGGAACCACCGCATTCCATTCCCCTGTCTCGCGTAAAGACATCAGATCCGCTATAGAAAACCTATTCGCCGCGCTGATGCAACCTTAAGCCCCAAAGGAAAGAAGCCCATTCCATTCCTACTGTCGCTGCCATTCTTCATCGTAAACAATTGCTTCATTTCTATTTTCCGTGGTCCGTTTATGGGAGCCAAGGCTCTTGTGCTCGGTAGTGTACGTCTCTCTATGTGTAGACGGAGCCTTCCGGGGGTTGAGGGAGCTTCTTGTTGGAGGGGTGGGCCATGTATCTACGTTGGGATTAGTGGTTTGGAAGATGTAATGGTGCAGTATTTCTCACCTCCTCAGTTCAATCAAGACGGTCTCCATTGTGTTGTCTCGGGTCCAGTTGGCCAGGCAGGGAAGTTTGGTGGGGTCGACCTAATCTTGTGTCAGCTCTTCTCCTCGAACTCTCGTCACGGACAATATAAAGCTGCTTGCAAAGCCTGGCATGTGTATGGAGTAACTGACGGTTCCGTTTCTTGGATTGACACAGGGCAGGTTAACTTCGGTAATGAATTGGATGAGCGGTGGCTTGTCAGGATATTGATCACCGCAGTGCATCTTGAGGCTGTAGATTCGGTTTTCATGGACACTCTGAAGAAGACCGGCATTAGCTTCTGGGCATTTGCGAAGTAGATAGGCTGCTTGAACATACATGTGGGGGACCTAGGATTGTGCCGTTCCAGTTGGACATCAACAGATCGTCGCCTTCAGCCAGGCCGTAGGAACATGCTTCTGAGGCAGCACAGTGCATCAGCGACGTGCTCCGAATGTACATGCAAGTTCTAGCTTACCAGCTCCGAGACCCTTCTCTCCTTTCTCAAGCTCCTCTAGCAGTCGGAAGTTTCGAGGGACTTTGGCACCCATGTTGCCGGATCGCAGTCAGACTTGAGGTTGTTGTGTATTGTAGACGTTGTACTTGGGAAGGCCAGGCGAATGAAAGTGGAGTCTTAAATATGCCAGGATCTCCAGAGAGTGAATGTGGAGGTGGTTCAGGCGCAACAAACTTGTGTGACTTTACTGTTGATGGAGGGGCAGGAGATCCGCAAAGACGGTCTGGGAAAACTTCGGCTAAACTGTCTCAAATGCCACCTCTGGCCAGAAGGAGCTTCCCTTTCACATAACAACCAGGCAACCAAGTCATGGATATATTGATTCTAATCCGGTAACATGACAGCCCAGATACTGGCATCAGAACTTGGGAATCTGATCCAAGAAAGCAAAAGGAAGCACACGGATCTGAGAAATGTGAGTCTGTTCTCAAAGCCCGGGAGTGGACCCTAGCTAATGTCACAAGGCTGCAGAGAAGTCTCTTGAGGAGCTCAAGGCTCTACGAGCCACTTCAGAGGCTCAGATAGCTGCTGGTATATTCTCTCAAATATCTTTTTTTCACCTCACTGATTCGAATAGATCTCACTCAACGACCCAACTTCGTGACACCATTTCTCATAGCGTGCGGCACGAAAAATGTCAAATTCACGGGTATTGCAATCGTCTGCTTGCAACGCCTTGTGGTCTCACGTGCACTCCCAAGACCAAGGTTGAGGGAGGTGCTTGAGGCTTTCCGAGAAGCTACTTCGGCCGGACTTGATGTCCAGCTCAAGATCCTCCAAGCACTGCCTTCTATGCTTCAGAATTATGCAGATGATTTGAAGGGTGATTTGCTGGCTGCTGCGTTGAATATATGCACCATTTTGCAGGCTAGCAAGAATGGAATTGTCAATAATACGGCTGCTGCAACCTTGCAACAACTGGTTGTGTCAGTGTTTGACAAGGTGGTCGCTGAAGACAGTGAGTTTTCTGGTATTTCGTCCTAACACTCGTCTGACAATGCGTAGAAATAGCTCTTGAAGTTCCGACAGTTGGTGAAGCTCCTACTGAAAATGGAACGGTACAGCTTCGAGCTGCAGCTTTGGATGCCTATAGAGTTTTCAATGATCTGTGTCTTCTGACTGAAGCTCAAAAGCCACAGTTCCTCAAATCGGCTGGAATCCCTCAAACTTTCGGCCTGGAGTTGATCGAATCAGTACTGACCAACCATGCTGAGATTTTTCTTACGCATCCGGAGCAAGCAAATATCCTCCGCGTAAGGGTAATGCCATTTATCATCAGCTCTCTTTCGCAGAAGCTGAACTTCGCTGTGACAGTCAGAATTGTCAGAATTCTTTACAGCTTGCTCAGACGGCATCTAAGCATCCTCCCATCAGAGGGCGAGATGGCTTTGGGTCTTCTCACTCACATGTTGGATCACGATACTGCTCTATGGAAGAGGTCCTTGTGCATGGAGGTCCTGAAAGGAATCTTTGCCGAAGCCGCACTTATCAGACGCATATTCTCAATGTATGACGCTCAAGATGGAAGGAAGGCAATTCTCCGAGGTCTCGTAGCAGCATTCGTCCGGATAAGCACGGAAAAACCAGCTGTGATTGGTCTAGGAGCTCAATCCACAATACCTGTTGCAAGGCAAGACAATTCTGGATCAGACCAAGCAATGCTCGAAGCGAGTGGAGTTGCAGGTATCATAAGCAGCTCTGTTGGGTCGAATGAACCAGCTTCTGGCATCAGCACACAATGGAGCACAATGCGGGTACCTTGTATTGATCAGTTAGACAAGACGGAACCTCCATCAGTCCCAGAATCGTACATCTATAACCTCACTTTAGTCTGCATCAGTGGGTTTTCGGAAGGCCTGGCTAAGTTCATCTTACCCCTGACTGTCCCTGACAGGCCTCGGAAGAAAGGGCGACAATCAGAGGTCGAAACCAAAGATTCTGATTCGACACCTGGAACCCCAGAGCCGAGGGCAAAGCTCGACAGGCGATCTTCGATCAAGAAAAATCCTGTCCATGTTAACCCCTTGACACTAACAGACCATCCACTTTTCAACGATGTCAAAATCTGTGCTGGAATCGTCGATGAATGCTGGCCCGCTATTTTGGCTACCTGCTCGACCTTCTTGTACGCTGCCCTGGATTCAGAGTACTATCACGGTCTTGTCAGATCATTTCAGAAGTTCACTCATGTGGCTGGGCTTCTGCGACTTTCTACTCCTAGAGATGCTTTCTTGACGACACTGGGTAAAGCAGCAGTACCTCCGAATCTATTGACGGCTGTAAACCCCCCTGTAACACCACCTCCACCAGCTACGCCAACAGGCGAAAAGCCGAGCATGTTTAGCAACGCGAAAGGTCTTCTAAGTGTGGATAGCTTGGTTAGTCACGCCGGTATGTCTGACCGGGGTCGCCAATCATCTGTCGATGCGACTGCACCATCCCTCAATACTCGAAATCTACTTTGCCTACGAGCTCTTCTCAACTTGGGCATCGCTCTCGGCCCAACATTAGATGCCGCCTGGGTGATTATTCTTGGCACTCTTCAACAAGCCGATTTAGTTCTCTTCTCTAGTACCAGGTCTGCCAGAACTCCCACAACAAGCCAAAAGCCGAATAACCAAAGCGAAAACGATGGGTCTTCACTCCTAGCTAATTTTGGCACCGAAATCAAAGCTGTAGAAACCGCTGCTTCCCGGCTTTTGGAGAGCACCATCGATTTCCCTAATGATGCATTCGTGGAGGTCGTCACGGCACTGTGCGCTTTATTTGGGAAAGAAGAGACTCCAAAAGCAGAGGGTTCAACCATCTCCAGCCCACCATCACCGAATGCTCGGCGGCCATCGATTACCCATCGTAGAATCCATAGCATCAATACTGCACCATCAACGCAAAATCAAGAAGACCTTTTTGCTCTGGCTAAACTTGGCGATGTCGCGAGTTTCAACATCGACCGATTGATGGTGTATGACCCCTCAACCAGCGGCTGGGGCACTCTGACTTCGGAGTTGATCGCAGCCGCGTGGTCTCCCTCTAGGCCATCGTCAGTTAGGCTGAGAGCCGCTGAGATACTTGTTCGACTAATCCTCGAAGCGGCCACAACAACCCTTCCTATGGCAGACGATGATCGAAGCCCCATTCAACTCCGCTTACTCGAAACTCTTCAGTGGGCACTGAGTCCGTTGGATTCCGATGAACGTCGGACGTCAGTGTCTAGCCATTCAACGGATATTGATGCCCACAAGATCGTTCTCGAAGGCCTGAAAAGCATGTTGGAACAATGTGGCGAGACGTTCACCAGTGGTTGGGATATTGCTTTTGACATCATCGGTAGTGTCTTCGTCGAAGACAATTTCCGTGATGATGGAAGCATCAAAGAGTCCAAAGCCACAACGACGCGATCTCCACGACTTATCCGATCTTCATTCAACTCTCTCCAGCTCATCTGTTCTGATTTCTTGTCCTCGCTTCCCAATTCATGCTTTATAATACTTGTCGATACCCTTTACAATTTCTGCACGCAAGATGACGATTTGAACATCTCCTTAACTGTGAGTTTGCAATTCTGAAACCTCAACCTGATGCGATAACTAACTTTTTCAGACTGTGACCTTCTTCTGGGTCTTATCGGACTTCATTTCTGGAAGGACGAGCGAGTTTACATTGAGCCCGGATCTCATTCTGGGGTCAAGTGAGCCAGCTCTTGCTAAATTAGCATCTGGAGATGATCTAGCAGTATCCGATGCTGCGTTGTGGATGCTTTTGCTGCTAAGATTAGCCGCAGTGACAACAGACGAAAGGTTGGAGCTGAGGAATAGTAAGTTCAGTCCCAAGTTGTTGCAGATACAATTCCATCTGACTCTAGAATAGGTGCCATTCAAACTTTACTCAGAATATTCGATGCGTATGGGCATCAATTGAGTCCTGAAGCTTGGTCGATGTGTCTCCAATCTGTGATGTTCAACTTGCTGTCTTCGATCGAATCGCAGCTTGAAGAAAACAGCGATCCTGGCTCTTCTATATCGGAGAAAGATAGGACTGGCTGGAATGAGACGACTGTCGTCGTTCTGAGTGGAATCACAAATCTTCTAGCAGATTACCTGGATGTTCTCTCGAGCCATCCTACATTTGCCAGATCATGGCAGACACTACTCGATCACTTCAATACTTTGCTCGACTTCAAAGTCCTGGAAATCAATACCGCTGTCTTCAAGGCTCTACAAAAGCTGCTCTCGAGAGGCAACCTTGAAGAAAAATCTCAGACCAACTTCGATCGATCTGCCCTTGACTTGGCTTGGGGTCTCTGGTCACAATCGCTACCTGTGATCAAACCTGACCATTCTGCCAAGCGATTCGACAACCAGAACTATTTGACGGCATATGTTTCAGCCTTTCCCGAGATTTGCCGGCTCATACAAGCCGATCTTAGTGCTGAGCGAGTACGAACGATTATCACACTGCTTCGTGAAGCAATACAGCAGGCAAGCGCAGCGGCGTATTCGGCAGATATCGAGTACTTGACGCCATTGCAAGCACAAGTCCTGGAAGCTCTGAGAATGATCCGTACAGATATCGGTGGTGTGCCAGCTGCGCTGATCAGCCAGGTGGCAGAATTCGTTGCATTGGCTTTTGACCGGAAAGAGCCTTCAAGTTCTGAAGAGAAACGCCCGACTTATGTTGCACTGTCCAAGGCTGCAATGGCGGTGCTGGAGAAACTGATAGTTTCTCACTCATCCGATCATGATATTTACGCAAGCGGCGCTCTCTCGTCTTCACTCACTGCTCTCGCAAAACCAATTGTCCTCAAATACTCGTTTCCAATCACTACGAAGAGTATGTCTCCATGGAAGCAGGCAACAACATCGACCCTGGCTATACTTGAGTCAATATTGCCAGTACTTACCATTACCAAGTCTGGGTTTAAAGATGAAGCAATACGCTCCTTATGGACTTCAATAGTTACAATCGGGAACGGCATCACAACCGCAGAGAGTGAAGATGCACCAGAAACAGTGAACATCAAAGACGACGAAGCCTTCGATATTTCCGCCTTCCTCAAACTCCGCGAACTCATAACACCAGCTCTAGGCTCTTCAATAATACCAGACAAGACTCGTCGAATGTACACCGAATCCCTCTTCCACACGTCACTCATCCACACCCCCCAGCCACAAGAGTTACCACAACCAAATCAGGAACTCCTTGCAACGCTCTACCAACAACGGAAAGGACGGACAGTCGATCCAACACCTTCGCCAAGGTCAAAAATGAGCTACGTCTGCTTTGACGAACTGATCTCCCTCGTCACCGTCCGCGATAGTTCAGAAGCCCGGATCAAACTCGCGCAAGCCGCTGCTCCCTACCTGATACTGCGGGCAGGTCTTACGCTCCGAGCTCATATCGCCGACCAGCCATTAAGAGGTCGGATGCCACAGCCGCTTTCCCAGAGAAGGGAGTTGCTTTATATTTTGAAAGCACTGGTGAAGTTGAGATGCGAGCCGGAAGCTATTCCTGCTGCGCCGGGAGTGGAGAGTGAAGAGAAGAAGCATTTGCATAGACTTTATTCGCTGCTGGCTAAAGCGGTTAGGTCAGCGAGTAGGGATCAAGAGGTGCTGGAATGGTTTGGGAAGGCGCTTGACGAGGTTGGGATGGAGTTTGGCGTTTAAGGTCCTGTTCTGTCTATTTCAATGTTCAAAAGCTGGTTAGGGGGGCATATTAACGGGTAAAGATCGCATGGATGTTGGGACGAACAAAATGAGGTGGCGGGAGTTTTTGTTTGGATTTGAGATTTTCATTTTTACGTTTATACCTACTGCTGCGAGCTGTGGTATTGTTTTTGAGAAGTGATTCTTTCACCGTTCAATTCCTCTACAATGACTGACGCCCGCTTCGCCATCCGTCCCCGAAACATAGAAAATGGCATGATGCTGGTTATTGTACATTACTTTTCCTCACATTTCATTCCATCCTTTTCAGACATCTACTTCTTCGATCGAGTGTTCTCAAAGGATGCGAGCATGCTTCGCTTCATCTCGTCGTTTGGTGACTCTGAGCTGTAGCTTTCGTCAACCTCCTCTGCTGTATTTTGGACCTGTAGTGCCTTTGCCGCCATCGTCTTTGCTTGTGCGTCTCCCACTTTTCCGTAGACTGCCATCGCGCTAGCAATCATGCTCCCGATATCACCCACGTTTCCCGGCACAACCACAGCCGTCCCTTCCTTAGCAAGTTTGCCGAATGCCTCGACATACTTCTCCGCAACACTCAAGCTCACAGCACCTTGAGCAGACTCGGCTCCTGCCTTGATGCTTGCAGCAACTGCATCGATACCCGCAGCCGTTGCCTTGGCCTTCAAAAGTATTGCCTCGGCCTCACCACTCGCCATATTGATCTGTTCGCTCCTCAAAGCTTCGGAAGCAAGAATGACACTCTGTTTCCGTCCCTCGGCAATATTGATAGCGCTTTGTCTCTGACCCTCCGAATCCAAGATCTCAGCCCTTTTGCTCCTCTCGGCTGTGACTTGTCTGTGCATAGCTGCGACGACTCCCTCTGGTGCATGGATATCTCGGATTTCATAACGAAGACAGACAACACCCCAATCCTGCGCTGCCTCGTTGATCGCTTGTGTGATGTTGGTGTTGAGAGCTGCTCGCTCTTTAAGAACGTGGTCGAGGGTCAGTTGACCGATTTCTGAACGCATGGTTGTTTGGGCGAGTTGTGAGATAGCGTATTCAGCGTCTTCGACCCCATAGCTAGCTTTGTACGCATCAAAGACACGAGTATATAGAACACCTGGAGAATGCCAATTTAATTTCTAGATCTGAGGGTGGGAGGAAAAGGGAGCTCACCATCAAGCTCCAAGGTGACATTGTCTGCTGTAATGGCACTTTGGCTTGGTATTTCGATCGCAGCTTCCTTCAAACTCTTCACATATGCTATTTTATCTAGGAATGGCCAGAGAATAGCTAAACCGGGCTGTAGAATCCGGTTGAACTTCCCCATCCGCTCGACAATCCATGCTGTTTGTTGTGGCACGAAGCGAATTATAGTATTCGCGGGGAGTGAAGGACGTTGAAAGTAAGAGGAAGGTACATTCGAGCTACTCACTCCGAGTAGGCTATTGTTCGGAGCTCTGTTTCGAGGGGTAAGGTGAAGCTGTCGTTGCTGTTGGTGGGCTCGGAGAATTGGGAGCGAGGCTGCTCGTGTGAGGGGGATTGAGGGTGTAGCAAGAGCTGCAGTGACGCTCTTAGAGAGCAATGGGCCGTTAAGAGCCATGCGAGAGGCCACCTCGAGTGCCATCTTTGTGAGCTGTCGAGTTTGAGATGTTGAGGACAATGAGGTGGGTCGAGCTTCCAGCAGGTTGCTGGCGGCCTTGTCAGCAAGGGCATTCGAGGCTAGATTTTTTTACGCGAGGCGAAGAGGCTGAACCCGCCTTAAGTTCGTAAATACCTCCTTCGTACTACCTCAACTCCACCTTTCACGTACCGTGAGACTTTTTGACCGATCACCAGACAGCTCTATTGCGTATCGTAACGATAACTCCAGAGGCTTTGTCCGCATCATACGTCAGGCACAGACAAGGCCAGCTCCTTCACAGGCAGGGAAGATGTCAGAATATTGGAAATCGACGGTGAGTTGCTTGATTATACCTTCTGACGTCTACATACTGATTTCTGTCATAGCCAAAATACTGGTGCAAGCACTGCAAAACCTATATCCGGGATACGAAGCTCGAGAAGACAAACCATGAAGCTACTCCTAAGCATCAAGGCAACCTCAAGCGCTTCCTGCGAGACCTGCACCGAGGTCACGAAAAAGATGAGAAAGACAAGGAAAGAGCGAAGTCCGAAGTTGCCCGACTGAACGGCTTAGTAGCAGGCGGAGGATTAGGCGCAGCTTCAAGCTCGTCAAGCTCGGGACTTGGAAGAGGACCGACGCCATCGATACCTAAACCACAACTAACGCCGGCACAAAGGAAGCAGCAACTAACGCAGCTAGCAGAGATGGGTATTAGCATACCGGATGAATTTAGACCGGATATGGCAATGGCTGGAGAGTGGCAGGTCACTTCAGAACGTATTATTGACTCCGAAGATTCAGAGAAGAAGCCCGAGGCTCTTGCTTTGGGAGTACGGAAGAGGGTACTTGATGAGGATGAACTGGAAGCAGCTGAAGCTAAGAAGAGGAGATGGGGCTCGACATATAAATCACACCCGACCGAGGAGGACAATGAGTATCTGGATGCGCTTCTGGGCAACGTGACGAGGAAAGGGAAGCTACATGCCATGAAGACCGAAGCCCAGGAGGAAGTGAAGGAAAGGATCAAGGGAGAACCAGAAGTTGACGATCAAAGCGCCATTTCGCAGGGCCTGGAGGAGCCAAAATCTGCCGGCATCAAGAGAGAACCATCAGATGGAGATGTACCTCCTATTATTCCGCCTTTGGACTCGGGACTCAAGCCGGAAGGAGAGGAGCGAGCCATCCCTGGGGTCGTTTTCAAGAAGCGGAAAGCGAAGAATATTCGCCAGAAATGAATCTCAAAAGCAGACGATCCAATTACTTTTCCATGAGAACAGGGACTACATAAAATAGTATTCGGAGACCTTTGGCCAGAAGAGGGAAAAAATGGAGATGAATGATTATTACCGGTACCTGGCCTCCTTTACATTGCCGAGCCCGGCCGTGACGGACGCCCTAGGCCTCACCCCACACCTGCGTCATGAGTTATTGCATCAGTCCTTACAAATCCGAACGAAGAAATACCCCCAATAGTCTGCCATGACTGCTCCAACGGTACTTCCAAGAACCAGTCGAAACCTCTACAATCGAGCAGTAAAAATTTACTCTTGGAGATCCCGACCTGCCTCCATCAATTGCTGCCACCTATACATTCGTCCGAGAACCCAGAGAAAGTTCACCACGTCAACACGATTCAATATGAAGGAAGCAATTGTTGCTAAGGGCCCAAAGGTCACAATTCACGATGTTCCAATCCCCAAGCCAGGAACCAGCCAAGTTCTCATTAAAGTCGTATACTCTGGTTCCAATCCCAAAGATTGGAAGAGACCTCAAATCGGAGATCCTCACAACTCTGGCGATGACATTGCTGGAATCGTCGAGGCTGTTGGCAATGGGGTTCTTGAATTCAAGAAAGGGGATCGGGTTGCTGCGTTTCACGAGATGATGGCTCCACATGGATCTTTTGCGGAGTATGCTATTGCTTGGGATTACACCACATTCCACCTACCAGAGAAAACTTCCTTTGAAGAGGTAATCCTTGAATCGAAATAAATAACAAGCTCTGGGTTGAGCTAACGCCCCTCTCAGGGTGCTTCAATCCCTCTTGCTGCAATGACAGCAGCAGTTGGCCTCTACATGCGCATGGGACTTCCAGAACCGTGGAATGCTACAACTACTCCGACCCCTCTTATTGTTTATGGTGCTTCTGGTGCAGTGGTAAGAATTCTCGCCAACTATTTATCGTCCTGACCCTGACAACGTTGCAGGGAGCGTACGCAATAAAGCTCGCCAAGTTGTCCAACATCCACCCAATCATTGCCGTTGCCGGACGAGGTGCAGCATTTGTGGAAAGTCTTATCGACAGAAAGAAAGGCGACACCATTGTCGATTACCGGAACGGAGATTCAGCAGTTGTTACAGGCATCCAAGAGGCATTGAAGAAGGCCGGGACAAAAGAAGTCAAATATGCCTTCGACGCCGTTAGCGAGCACAACAGCTTCCAAAACATCAGCCAGGTTCTCTCTAAACACGGCAGCAAGATCACCTTAGTTCTTCCCGGAAAGGATTTTAGCGCAATTCCAAATCACATCGAAAAATCTACCACCATGGTTGGCTCTGTTCACATGGATCCATCAGAAGGCAAAGCCGAGGCGGGAATCATCACAGGTGGCAAGGAATTCGGCTATGTGTTCTTCAGAATGTTTTCTCGAGGCCTCCAACAAGGATGGTTCTCAGGCCATCCTCATGAAGTCGTTCCTGGTGGACTTAATGGCGTTGAGAAGGGACTTTCGAACCTGAAGGAAGGCGTAAACTCGGCCACCAAATATGTGTTCAAGATTGAGGACACAAAGTGAACGGTAGCATTAGATAAATGAATAGTCTTCCGAAAGATATTAGTAAAACTTGACTGCCTCTCCATCTTCACAGTTGCTACTCTTCGCAATTGTGAGGCTCCTTTGTAACTCCACATGAGCATGCCCTGCACCCCACCTTTCATAAGATTGGCCCCCAAGCCGCTTCTGGATCCGCGAAGCGAAAGCTCGAAAATAGTCGCGGTTGCTCAACCGCGTTGCTTCGAGTTGACAGCAAACCACCTAGCCATGCGAATCTACCTCCACCGCTTCCCTGTTTACAGCTATGAGATTCATCAAGCCCGACTTCCTTAAGCATAGTGGTATGTCTGCCAACATTCCCTCGACACCGATCCTCTGGCGGCAGTTGGAAGCTTTGAAACCAGATTGGGCTAATTTTTGCGCTTCCTTGCGCCTCGACGTTTAGGAGAGCAGAAAGACTTCGAGGTCTACAGCTGTCATGTATCGCCGGATGGGAGCAGGCTAGCTACAGCTGCCGGAGGTAAGGATGTCGGGAGGCGATGCAATAATGGAGTTGTGCTGAGATGGGCGATTTAGATGGCCATGTTCGGATCTGGTCAATCGACGCCATCCTCCAGGCAGGAGACGAGAATTACTCGAAGCCCAAGCAGCTGTGTCATATGAGCTACCACTCTGGCACGATACATACGGTCAGGTTCGCGCCGAATGGACGATGGCTGGCTTCCGGGGCCGATGACAAGATTATCTGCATTTACCACCTCGACACAAATCCCCCATCACATTCGGCCTCATTTGGTACGCGCGACTTTCCGCGGGAATAACATATTTTATGTAACCATGCTGATATAAATTCTAGGAACAAATGAACCACCTCCGGCAGAGAATTGGAAAATCTTGAGGCGTTTGATCGGACACGAAAATGATGTACAGGATCTGGGCTGGTCTTACGATTCTTCGATAATGGTATCTGTGGGCTTGGACTCGAAAATTGTTGTTTGGTCAGGGCATACTTTCGAAAAACTGAAGACACTCTCGGTGCATCAGAGTCATGTTAAGGGAATCGCTTTCGACCCTGCGAACAAGTACTTTGCTACCGCGAGCGACGACCGAACCATCAAACTTTTTCGATTTACCTCTCCCGCTCCCAATGCCACTGCCTACGACTCGATAAACAACTTCGTTCTGGAACATACCATTGTCGCTCCATTTACTTCATCGCCCCTCACTACCTACTTCCGAAGATGTTCTTGGTCTCCTGATGGAAATCACATAGCCGCAGCGAACGCTGTGAATGGCCCTGTGAGCTCAGTTGCTATTATAAATCGAGGAGGGTGGGATAGTGATATCAACCTGATAGGACACGAAGGACCAACGGAAGTGTGCACATTCAACCCCAGATTGTTCAGCAAGTTTGAAATAAGCGCAGAGACCACGGATAACAGCGGCTACAGCACACAAGCGCTGGTAACAGTCATTGCATGTGCAGGTCAGGATAAAACTTTGAGTATTTGGAATACAAGTTCTTCGCGGCCCTTGATCGTATGCCAAGATCTAGCTGGAAAGTCGATTTCAGATCTTGCCTGGACCCCGGATGGCCTGACTATCTTCTCAACGAGTTTAGATGGAAGTATTATTGCAATAGAATTCGAGAGGGGCGAGCTCGGGTTCATTGCCCCGTGGTCAGAGAACGACAAGGCCTTACAGAAGTTTGGCGTTGGTCGCAGAGGTGTTGGCGTTGTTGAGGACGTCGCGGGCCTTCGACTCGAGGAAAAGAGCAAGGCTGGGGAATTGCGAGGAGCGGAAGGAAGAATGGGCGCTCTCATGGGTGACGCTGGTCCGAATCCACCTCCAGTTCTCAACGGGAATGGAACATCAACTCCGATGGCTGGCGTGACGTCCACAGGCCCAGCAGCACCCGCAACAAACGGAACGGCAACGAGTTCACCTACACCAGCGGTTGATCCTAATGCTGCAAAGTTGGAAGCAATGAAGCAACGAGTAACGATCACAAAGGAAGGAAAGAAGCGAGTTGCTCCTCTGCTTGTTTCATCCTCTGGAACTGGTCTTTCATCATTGCCTCAATCTCAGTTGGTGGCTGCTAGTTCTAGCAATGTCCAAAACGACGCTCCACAATCGATTCTAGATCTTTCGAAACCTTATGACGGCCTTCCAAGAGGTGGTCTTGCTGCAATGCTGCTTGGCAGTAAAAGAAAGGCAATAGCCCTCGACGAAGACGAGGAAGAGCAGCATCTTCCAAAACGACCACAAATGTCATCTGGACCGGTTCAAATTATGGTGAATGGCGTCAACGGTGTGGAGCCTGCGATACCCGTTCCAGCAGCTACTGGTGTAGTACCGACTCCAGACTTCATCCGGCCAGCTGTCGTCAATCCGGTGATGTCTATCAGCCAGGTTCGATTAGCAGTGCCAAAGATCAGAACCCACATCCTCAGATCTTTGGATCGTGGAACCTTACCGCCTTCGAATTCGACTACAAATGGTACAAACGGGATCGAAGAGTCTGCCAAAGCTGCTGAGGACGTTATTTTCGAAGCACAAAACCCTGCAACGATACCGAGCCAGGTCAGAGATCCATCTCGAATTAGTGCTACGAAAAGAGGTGTCACTCTTTGGCAAGATTACCTTCCTCGCGCAGTCATTCTCGTGACTGGGAACAAGAACTTCTGGTCAGCTGCCTGTGAGGATGGGAGTATCTATACTTGGACTCCGGCTGGAAGGAGGATACTCAACGCTCTTGTTCTAGAATCTCAGCCGGTCATCATCGAGTGCAGAGAATGGTGGCTGCTTTGTATCACCGCAGCGGGGATGTGCTACGTCTGGAACCTCAAGACTCTCCACTCACCCCACCCACCAGTCTCTCTTGCTCCGGTTCTCGAGATTGCCATGCACTCTCTTGGAACCCATACTACGAGTGCCCCTGGTGTCACCTCAGCACATCTCAATTCAACTGGCCACATCATTGTGACTTTAAGCAATGGTGACGGTTATCTGTATTCGCCAAACATGTTTGTCTGGCAACGCCTCTCAGAAGCTTGGTGGGCAGTTGGCAGTCAGTACTGGAACTCGAACGACTCTTCCATTAGCAGTCTTCAGTCGACTGGTGTTGGGCCAGACTCGCGGAGAAACGGCCAGGTCAGTGCTTCCAATGTTTCCGCTGGTATTATCCCCCACTTGGAACGACATACCACAAACGAGGTCCTTCTCAAAGGAAGAGCATATACACTGCAACGTCTTGTCAAGACCTTGCTATCGAAAGAAGGATTCGAGAGCTTCGAGTCAGGAGTCAGCATTGCTCATCTCGAGAATCGTGTTGCTGCAGCTTTGCAACTTGGCGCCAAGGAAGAGTTCAGGATTTATCTGTTTATGTATGCCAAACGTCTCGGTGCCGAAGGGCTGAAGAATAAGGTTGAAGAGCTATTGAGGACTATTCTTGGAGGCATTCTGCAAGAAAAGAACGAGGGAGCTGTCACCGAGAAGGGCGAGGGCTGGATGAGTGAGGATGAACAGATATGCGGCTGGGACAGAAAAGAACTCCTTAAGGAGGTTGTATTAATACTGGGTAAGTTCACATCGATACCTGGTGCAGACGTTACTAATCATTGCCAGGAAAATTCCGAGATCTGCAAAGGTTAACTGTTCAGTACGCAAGGGTTTTGGGAATGGATGATGAGGAAAATGGGGCCTGAACTATTTGCACTTGATCATTTGCGATGGCGTTCAGGTAGCATTTGCGGAGTTTCAATGTTCGGGATGGAGGGCGTCCGCAGACATTTGTGTAGGTATATGTGGTCTCGGTAATAACGATCCAGGTTGCTCCAAAAGAATGGAATTATTACCCACAGCAAGTGCGACTGCACTTGAAGTGATGGCTTGCTTCTAGTTTAGCATCCTCCCGCCTCGTTCCTTCCTTGTGACCCAAAATGAGATATAATGTCCAAAATCGGACTGCGGAACCTCAATCATGGACGATCCAACAATGCCTGACCGCAACTTTCGCTCGTTCAACAATCGCGCACTTCCATACACTCCTATTCGTTCTGTGACTACTGTCTCATCATTGAACAGTAACTGGTCTTTCAGGTCTGTTTCCTCGGCTTCCAGCACTGACTCCTCAACATTCTGGAAGACTCCTCCGAAGAAATGGAGACCGTCAGCATGCGGATTTAGGCGTGTATCAATCCCTGGTTTGACTATTTTGCAGCATCAGTACGATAACCCACTCCATCGCTCTTGCCATACTGACCTTGATAGCATCTCTTCCCGTCGCCTAATTCTGTTGACCATCCTCTTGGCGTTGGTATTGATGCGATTGATCCTGCTTCCTACATATCACGACTCGATGCCCTCGACCGTTCACGACCTGTCAGCGTTTCAACCTGTACGAGCTACACTTCCTTCTACAGACAAGAAGAAACCAGATCCGATACGATGGCTGAAAGAGAACTCGAATAATAGATATGCGGTGTCGAGAAGGAGTCCGCCAAACTTTTCACTTCTCCATAGCAGCAAACCTCGAGCAGCATTGATCAGCCTTGTCAGGAACTCAGAGCTAGAGGGCATGATGCAGAGCATGAGACAGCTCGAGTCCAGATGGAATAGGAAATACCAGGTAGCTCCCTTCTTCTGAAGGCATGCTCTGAATTGATAGTGGAATGCAGTACCCTTGGATATTTTTCAATGACGAACCTTTCACCGAAGAATTCAAAGCAGCTACGCGCAATTTGACATCTGCGAAATGCTACTATGAGGTAGTTCCCAGAGAACATTGGTCACTTCCGGAATGGATCGATGAAGGGCGGTTCATGAATAGTCTTGAATATCTTGGAACGATTGGGGTTGGGAAAGGATGGATGGTCAGCTATCACCATATGTGCCGCTGGAACAGCGGATTCTTCTACAAGCATCCTTTTCTCAAGAACTATGATTGGTATTGGAGAGTCGAACCCGATGTAAGCACTCCATTCTTGCTCTCAGACTCGAACTGAGAACCATCAGGTTCATTATTTCTGCGACATTGATTACGATGTTTTCCGATTCATGCGTGATAACAATATGAAGTATGGCTTCAACATGAACATCCTCGACGATGCACGCTCCTTCCCCTCCCTCTGGACACGAACAAGAGCTTTTGCCACAGCTCATCCACATCTCATCCACCCGGAAGCAGATCTCGGGTGGCTCCTCGATTCCACGAATGGCAATGAATACAACAACTGCCAATTCTTTTCCAACTTCGAAATTGGTTCCCTCAACTTCTGGCGTGGCGAACCAAACGAAGAATATTTCAACTGGCTTGACGAGGCTGGCGGATTTTACTATGAACGCTTTGGCGATGCTCCAGTCCATACTTTGAGCGTGGCGATGTTCGCACCGAAGAGCGAGGTGTGGTTTTTCAGAGACATTGGGTATCAGCATGATATCAACCACCATTGCCCACCTCATAGAGAGGGGAAATGTAGCTGTCAACCGACGAGAATGGATGAGAATTTCTACAAATTGGTTCCGCTTGAGAGTCCACAGAGGAAGCCAGCCGATACTTGTATTCGACAATTTCTAGGAGGCGAGTGGTTGAAGAAGAAGAAGGGGTGGACAATGGAAGGGGAGAAAGAATTTGGTGGGGATGGATATCATGGGTATGAAATGCTTGGGGATGAGTTGTGAAGGGTAGGATGTGTATTCAGAATCTCTGTTCTCGTCGTGTTTGAGATTCATCGAAACCATTCGATAGAGGAGTTCCCGGGGAGGTGAAGCAAGGCCTCCTATAGGTATAAGGAGTTGTTGCTTTTAATGTCCTCCCGGGTCTCATTTCCTGCTCCCCCACTTCTCTCGGATTCACTTTTCCTTTGCTTCAAACATAGTTGTTGGAATGAGAGCCCGGCGGTCCTAACTTTGAGTCAGAACCTTCATTTCATCTCTTCTCACGAACTATGAAGGCAAAGGAGCCATCTTGATACCCCATTAACCTGGACCGTTGCATATCATAAGATATTGATCGGTGTTCTTCTCTTTGTTTGTTTTGTCTGCTTGTAGTGTGCTGCATGATTCTCAAAATGAGAATAAACTAAGGTTGTCTTTAGTACGCGTCATCTCTGTGAGTGCCGCCTGCTAGCTACTATTTATGCTTGTCTTACTCTCCACAATCTGCTTCCTCACTTTGAATCCAAACAGTAATAGCATCGTTAAATTTCGAGATGGCTAGTATTTCAGGCCCCGTTTTGGTGTTGCTACTGAGGCCCACAGCTAGCTAGCGGACAAATCCGAGAAGCGAAAAGTGATTTTCTGATTTTCTGATTTTCGCACTGGCGCCCCGCACACCCCCCCCCCTCCCCAAGGCAGAATTCCTAATTAGGGGTATAGCACCCACACGTGACTTTCGGCTTGGATAACGCAATAATAGTAAGGCTGCTTGCTTGTCTAATTAACGAAGTGAGAGCCCATACTACCGCGTAAAATCGTACCAAAATTGGGCCGGATAGTATAATGTAAAATTGAGTATTTATTGCAAATTACTGTGGTCAGGTGACTATAGGCTATAAGCCCTTCTAGGATAACGCTATTAATAGGGTCTAATAACTTCCTTAATATTCCCGAGATTAGAAATAAGAAAATTAAACTATTAAAATAACTAAGAAGCCGGCTAATTACTTTTTTTTAGTAATTAATTAATAAAATCATATAAGAGTAATATTACTTGAGTTTTTTAGTACTTATATTACTAGAAAGTATATTATAATAGTAAAGTATACTCTGAACTTAATCTTTATTAAAATAACTTAATAGATTTTATTAAAATAATACTATAACTTTTAATAAATCTATTACTATATTATAAAGCTATTACTAAATAAGCTTATATAAATATTAATTAAAAAGAAATTATAAATAGATTAAAAGATTTATATAGAATCTTAGTTAATCCGTATATAGTCTAATAGTAACTATAAGAATAGAATATCCAAATATATACTCAAATAGTAGATATATCTTTCCTTTATATATAGATTATAATCCTATATTATCTGGAAGATATAGATAAGGAAATACTTAAGGATCTTAAGAATTATAGTTATATAGCTTTAATTACTAGAGTTATCTATATATATAAGAAGCTTAATCTTATTTACTATATAACTATAATAGATAAGCAAGCAGTAGACAAGTAACTATTTATAATACTATAGAATAAGCTAAATAATAGGCGGGTTATAGGTTATAAATAGCAGTATTTATATATATACTTCTATTAATAAGGTTTATTAGTAATCCGGTTAGTCTTTCTATACTTTACTATTTTACCCTAGCTTAGAAAATTAGGGCCTTATTTACTAATATATTTTATTATTTATAGGGAGAACTTATATATAATATTATAACTCCTGGATTCCGAGGTAATTATATTATAAATATAATAGATATAGTCTAAAAAAAGAAAATATATTATACCTGGGCCGGACTAGATTTAGTTAATTAATAGATATAATAAGCTATTACTATTTAGAATCGAGATATATACTTATATTAATACTTATTTATATAATATTATCTAGATATATATTAGAATCTCTAATTAGATTACTTATTTAGTTATATAGTAGTATCTTCAGATTTATACTTAAATAGGCTATTACTCTTACTTTTTTAGGGCTAATTAAGGCTCTAAACTCTCTCTTATTACCGAAGTATACTTTATATTCTTATAGATAACTAATTTATTAGTTATATATATAGAGAACTACTTTATTTCTGGGAAAAGCACCGAGAATTAGCAAGTTAAATCCTAATAATAGGAGCTTTAGAAGAGCTAGCTATACCGGTAATATATAAGTAATTCCGTTTCTTTATATTTACTTCTTATTCTTTCTATTATTAGGAGAAAGTATTAGGTACTAATAATTATACTACTTTTTATTAAGGCTATTAGGTCTAGTATTATAATCCCGAATTATATAACTAATTCCGATTAGTATATATAGAACTACTTTTAGGAACTGGCCTATACCGGGAATTATAATTACTAATACCTATAGGACCGAATTACTTTATTAGTACTTTATATATAATAGATCCAAAACGAGATATATAGGTTTACGGACTTATAGAATATCTATAGGATTAGAAAAAACAGATCTAGGTCTAATATAGTAGCCGGCAAGCCATTTAGACTATATATAAAGCCCCTAGGCAAGATATAGTACTAGGGTTACCCTATAAATATAGAGCTTTATAATATAATCCTTAATAATTATTTAGTTTAGGGTAAGTAATATAACCTTATATAGCTCTATATAAATAGTTTACTTATATACTAATATAGATATTAATAAGTTTCTATTAAGAGAAATACTAAAATAATACTATTAGAAGCTTATATCTTATAGTATAAATATAGCTAATATTCGTATAAGAGATACTAATAGAAACGGTAACTAACTATATATTTAAGCTTACTATTAGCTCTAATATATAGTCCGGATATATATAGCCTTAGGGCAGCTACTAATATTAGGAGAGTTCGAGAAGCTAACTAGTAAATATAATACTACTATTATACGGAATAAAATTCTTAAGTAAGTTATCCTAATAAATATAGAGTATATAAATAATATATAGGCCAGAAGAATACCCGTATAGTTCCTAATAATCTAGAACTTTACTTAGGAATAGCCCTTTATTAGTAATACTCCTAATAATATAGGATAATTAAATGAGCTAATTACGAAATAACTAAATATATTAAGATAAGTATTATTTATTATTAAATATATTATTTTCGAAATTCCCTTCTCACTTTTAAGAATAATACTAATAGAATTATTAAGTTTATTTACTATATAAATATTCTATATCTTTAAATTCTTATCTCTTAAAATAGTACTATTATTTCTCAAAACCTATCCTAATACTATATGTCCTATAGCCAAATACTAGTATAATAATATCTAATATTACGAGTTCTATTAATCTACTAATAATAAATATAATATAAAGGCCACTGCTTTACTTGCCTAAAGTAATAATACTAGTAAACTTAAATCTTATAGTTCTGGAATTCTATCTATATTTACTTCTCTTTTTATACCTGAAATACTTTAGATTCCTAACTTTTCTTAATATTCTTATCCTATATCTTTTCTTCCAGAAATATCTACTATATCTATTTCTCTAATTACTATTATTATATAGCTACTAGGTACTAGTTCTACTCTACTTCAGGCTTCTCTTATTCTAATGGCCCTATAACTACTTTCTTTCGTATTTCCTTTTATTATAAGCTATATTACTTAACCTAACTACTTTTCTAATAATATTTATATTACTATATAAGCTTAATAGGCTATAAATATAAGAATTACTTAGGCCGCTACCCAGGCCATAGCTCCTTATACTAGTAATAAGCTACCTAAAGCCCTTTAAGGTCTTATAAATCAAAATGTGGCCGGATCTAGTCTTATAGAATTACAGACTATAGTTTTATAGCTAGTTCTCTATAAATAGGTATTTAATAATATAAAGAATTAGAAAGCTAAGCAAAGAACTATTTAACTTTCTAAAGAAGTTAGTAATAAGTTTTCTTCTATTTCTTTTATTAGATTCTCTATATGAATTCTAATAGATATTTTTTAATAAATAACTTTTAATTTAAAATAAATAATTAAGTCTTTTCTATTCTTTCTAATATAGTTTCTTAATAGCTACTTTCTTATTTCTCTTTCTATATTAGTAGACCTATTCGCTATTATTAATTTATTAATAATATAAATAAACTAGTATTCTATACTAGTTCTAATAGTAAAAGAGCCTAGGAACTTATAGTCTTACTAGGTTCTATTTAAACTATCTTTAACCTTTCCTGCTATAGTATATATCTGGGCCCTAAGGGTATCTAGATAATTTTCCTTATTTTATACTAGAATAAGACTTTATATAAAGATATCTATTTTAAAATTATTTATAAAAAGCTAGAAAATATTTAGAAAAAGACTTTATATAAAGATTTCTATTTTAAAATTACTTATAAAAAGCTAGAAAATACTTAGAAGGTATAGTAATTTAAGGAGATTAAATAATAGACTAAGAAGGCCTAGAAAGCCTAGAAAAGTATTACTTACTAGTATAGATATAAGACTTTAAGAGTAAGGAGAAATCTAATAAACTAGTAAGTAAATAAAGATATATATATAATTCTCTCTTTTAATTCTGGCTTCTATTCTTTATTCTTTTTATAGATCCTTTTTTATTTTTAGGTTTAATTAACTTATATATACCAGGATTCTTCTCTATTTACCGACTTTTAAAAGCTATAAAATAATACAGAAAGTACTACTAAAAGTACTATTAAAGCTAATCCTAATAGTAATAATAATAATAATAGTAATAGGCTATTAGATCCTCCTTTAATTTTATTATCCTCTCCTCTAGTAAAGAGAACTATAATTAATCTTATAGACTATATAAGTATTACTCTATAATAATAGGTATATTAGAGATATAAATATACTATCTCTTTTCCTTATTAGATATAGAGAATTAATAGATATAATATCTTTAGCTTTATAGGTAAAACCCAAAGTACCCGGGCTATTACTAGTACTTTGCCTATTACCCCAGACAAAAGTCTAACTATTATTATTAAACTTCCTAAGCTAATTAATCTTACTTCTCCTAAGTAAACCTATTATATAAGGTCTAATAAATTATATATAAATATCCGCTAAGGTTAAAATAATTAAGAAAAAATAGGCCTAATATCTAATATACTTTTTCCTATATTTTATAATTAGCTTAGTACTATTTTAGGTCTTATTTCCTTATAAATATATATATACTTGGAATTTATAATTAATACTTTAAAGTAATACTCTTTAATTAGTTCTTATATAA